TGTGTCATCTTTTTTGCTTTTCAAAATATGGCAACCCTATCTTGAGCCAGCCTCAATGATTCCTGGCTTGGGATTGCCATCCCAAGTTTCCCCCTTCCACTTAAGGTTTCTCGTTGTTGTTTTTGTTTAGTCATTTAGTCATGTCCGACTCTTCGTGACCCCATGGATCAGAGCACACCAGGCACTCCTGTCTTCCACTGCCTCCCGCAGTTTGGTCAAACCAATGCTGGTAGCTTCGAGAACACTGTCCAACCATCTCGTCTTCTGTTGTCCCCTTCTCCTTGTGTCTTCAATCTTTCCCAACATCAGGGTCATTTCCAGGGAGTCTTCTCTTCTCATGAAGTGGCCAAAGTATTGGAGCCTCAGCTTCAGGATCTGTCCTTCCAGTGAGCACTCAGGGCTGATTTCCTTCAGAATGGAGAGGTTTGATCTTCTTGCAGTCCATGGGACTCTCAAGAGTCTCCTCCAGCACCATAATTCAAAAGCACCAATTCTTCGGCGATCAGCCTTCTTTATGGTCCAGCTCTCACTTCCATACATCACTACTGGGAAAACCATAGGTTTAACTATATGGACCTTTGTCGGCAAGGTGATGTCTCTGCTTTTTAAGATGCTGTCAAGGTTTGTCATCGCTTTTCTGCCAAGAAGCAGGCGTCTTTTAATTTCGTGACTGCTGTCACCATCTGCAGTGATCATGGAGCCCAAGAAAGTAAAATCTCTCACTGCCTCCATTTCTTCCCCTTCTATTTGCCAGGAGGTGATGGGACCAGTGGCCATGATCTTAGTTTTTTTGATGTTGAACTTCAGACCATATTTTGCACTCTCCTCTTTCACCCTCATTAAGAGGTTCTTTAATTACTCCTCAGCGAAGCAGCATTCTTAAGGACTGTGCTGGTGTGGAGGGAGGCCGGCTACAGAAGAAGCTGGCTAAGCAACAGCCCTAAGGCAAGAAGAGCCTTTAGAGCAGGGTTTCCCAAACATGGGTCTCCAGCTGTTTTTGGACTACAGTTCCAGACCAGTGCCAGATTTACATATAAACTAAAGAAGCTCTAGCTTAGGACCCCACTCTTTTGGGGGCCCCCAAAAAATTAAAGGAAAAACAACAACCTGGATGTACATTTCCAAAATATAAGATAAAAAACAAAGAAAATAAAACCCACATACACAACAGTGTTTTGTGTTGTGTAGACTCCTGTGATGTAAGTAATGGCCCCCGCCTGATAGCCTGCTCCCTAAAATATCACTGGTTTTGTTATGTGCAAATGGCTTTAGATACCTATTAGGTCCATAAATTACCATACAGCATATATTCAACACAAAAAACAGCGACAATTTGTTGTTGACAAAGGACAGCTGGACATATAAAAGGCCCCATTACCTTCAGTAGCTTAGGGCCTCATCAGACCTAAATCCGGCCCTGTACAGTTCCCATCATCCCTGACCACTGGTCCTACTAGCTAGGGATGATGGGCTTTGTAGTCCAGCAACAGCTGGAGACCCAAATTTGGGAAACCTTGCTAGAGAACTAATGAACCCAAGAGTTTATCTTTCCCCCTTTTAAATATCTCTTTGCATGTGGTAACGGTAATGATGGTGAAGCAGCGCAGAGCAAGCCAAGAACATAGCTGGCTGTGCCCCACCTAGTCCCATTTCCCTATCCTTCTAGGTTGGGCTGTTTGTTTAAAGGGAGATTAGCCACTGTTTACAATCCCAGGTTTCCAGCTTCTTTTGTCCTATGACATACTACCTGTTTCATGAATAAAAGAGCCATTGTAAAGTTTTACTGCAGGCAGACACAAAGGCTTGGTAAAGATGGCTGTTGTCATCCTTGGAAACGTTCACAGGTGCTGGCGGACTCACCTTCGTACAGGACTGGCCTAGGACTGGCCAAATATTTATGGTGTTTCTGTTTTTATATTTTCATATGCTTACTGTGATTTTATACCTGCTGTACAGCACTTCAATGTTTTCTGTATGAGTTAGTGGTATACCTGCGCATGCATATATATATACAGGTACTTGTATTTTCCCCCAATACTGGTGATGGGGGTGGGGTCATTATCCGCCATACTTGAGAGCAGCCAACTACCTTAAGGCAGCACCTCATTGCCACATCTCAACATCATGTTACCTAATGGGAGGGCCGTACTACACAAGTACAGTCGTACTTTGGATCCCAAATGCCTTGCAAGTCTAATGTTTTGGCTCCAAACGCTGCAAACCTGGAAGTGAGTGTTCCGGTTTGCGAACGTTCTTAGGAACCCAAACGTCTGACGCGGCTTCTGATTGGCTGCAGGATCTTCCTGCAGCCAATCAGAAGCCACGCCTTGGTTTCCGAAATGGATTCCGTTTGACTTCCGAGGTACCACTCTATCCTGATTTCACCTCTGCCTTCTTAAATCCATATGCTGCTGCTTAGGTTACCTCAGGGGTCAGCAAACTTTTTCAGCAGGGGGCCAGTCCACTGTCCCTCAGACCTTGTGGGGGGCCGGACTATATTTTGCAAAAAAATATGAACGAATTCCTATGCCCCACAAATAACCCAGAGATGCATTTTAAATAAAAGGACACATTCTACTCATGTAAAAACACGCTGACCATCTGTGGGCCAGATTTAGAAGGCAATTGGGCCAGACCCGGCCCAAGGCCTTAGTTTGCATATGCGTGGGTTACCTCCTATACCTGCCACCTCTTCTTCATTTGTGCTCATTTATTTGCTCCTATCCCTGAGAACTATCTGCAGCAGAAAGCCCTTGTCCCTATCCTCCTCTTAGGACTCCTCGTGTAGCGGTCAGGAACAGGTGTGTATACACAATGGGACTGAAATTGGAGTTGAACAGTAAGAAATGTGAATTCATCAAGCCTCTGCCCCAGCCCTTTCCCATCATAATTTTAACTAGGGTTAAGATGAAGCCAGTTACCAGGGCTTAAATCAGAAACCTCTTGGGTTTCAGTTGTGGCCTAGCCAGAGCTCTCACAAACTATGTATACATGACATGTGATTCCATGGCTTTTTTCCTCAGCATTTTTTAAAGAGCAAAGCAACTGTCTGAAGTTTTGAGGCTGACCAAGAACAGGAGGAGAAGGGTAGAAGAGGTGCTGAAAACTTTTCCCTTGGTCTGGATTTGCACTCAAAATCCTCCCCTCTCACACATACTTTTCTCCCTGGTAGAAAATGCTGGTACCCTTATAAGTTTACCCCTTGGGGAGAGAGACACCCTGCGGAGACTGATTCTGAGCAGACCAATGGCAGGAAGGGAAAGAGTGGGTGATACAATGCACGTCTTGTGTGGCTTGACTAACTTTCTTGACTTATCTGTTTGGTACGTTGGACATTTTCCTGTTTGTGTGAACTGTGCTTGCCAGATATTATGTGTGCATGGTCCTGATGTGGCAGAATACCTGTAGGGATGTGCAAAAGCTTCACAGAGGAGGAGAAAAAAATGTGCATGAGAGAGGGAAGAGAATCATGTTTGTGGGACAAGTCTTGTATGAGTTTAATATGTACAGCGGTTCTTGCCAATGTGTGGTAAGGTGATGTGGGGGACCCAGTCTACATATAACACACAGAGCCCAGAAAATCCTGTTAGCACCCCATAAAATAAGCTCTGATGGCAAAAGCCAGAGTTCCCTTTTTCTCTTTTGAAGGTGGGCCTAAATTTGAATCTACATAAATAGAATTAGCATATGCAAATGTTATGCAAATTTGGGTTATGGACACCACCATTCCAAGGCTTTATGTGCCTAGCAACACGTAGAGGTGGTTCTTTTGTGTACAGGCAAGCTGCCCACTGGACACAGCTATTTCCCCTCCCCTTCCCTTCATAAGCATTTAGAAACATAGCTGTCAAAGTTTCCCATTTTTTAAGGGAAATTCCCTTATTCCGAATAGGATTCCTCGCAAGAAAAGGGAAAAGTTGACAGCTATGTTTAGTAACTGTACACTGTAGTTGGCTGGACGTTTGTGGTACACTCTGGACCCATTGCAAGTGACAAGGGTCTCCATGGTGGCTTCCACTCTCAGGACCTGCTCCGTTAGTAGCCTTAATTAGGGCCAAGTGCCTGTTTGGCAGTGAAAAATCTTCTGTTTGCTGCATTTTTGGATCTAATAGTGCCCGAGTTATGGCGGGTTTGTGTGCTTCACTATTGTTTTTTTTAAAAAGATGCAAGGCCCATGATGTGGCTAAGCTTAGAGGGAGACAGGGGTTGGGGCTTGCGGATTTAATAAAGGCTCCCCTACCTATAGTTTGAGCACTGGTTCCACCTTCCAGCTTTGGCTGCTCACCTGGGGAATGGAGGCTGCGAATGCCCCCTCCCGGCTTTAGTATCGCTTGCTTTCAGCTTTGGCTCGGCACTGACAGAAGCGACTCTCCTTCCCTCCAATCCAGCAGGGCCTCAGGGACTGTATTTCCCTTTTAAAAATACCGCCTTCACCACCTAAGCAGAACTTGACAGAGTTGAGATGGGGAGCACCATGGTGTTGTATGAAAGGAGAGGTTAGCACTCCCCTTGATAAGGATGGAAGAGGTCCTTGTGGCCTGTACAACACGCATATGGTTAAGGCATTGCCACCTACTTCGTGGCATCTAACCAAGTTTTTAGTTGGTGGAAGAAGATTGGAAAAAATTTAAAGTATATTTACAAAAATATAGTAAAATTAATGAATGTTAGAAGGATGTTGGAATGAAGTTACATGGTTTTAGCAGAAATGTTATTAAGAACTAAGTAAAAATGGGTTGTTAATGGGTCAAAGGGTAAAATTTAAGGTCAGATCGGGTTAAGGTAATTTATAGAACAAAAATTGAGAAAGATGGAGAGGATTTGTTGAAACAGCTAAATTGAATTAGAATACAAAAAAGGGAGGTGTGAGGAGGTCGATGAAACAAGCAAATGAAAGACAAGGATATGGAAATACTGGATGTGTTTTTTAAATGTTTTTGTTTTTTCCCCCTCATTGTTGTGCTGTATTATTTTTTATTTTTTGTTTTTTATTGTTTTTTGATGTATTGTATTGTAACTTTTTAATCTCTCTTTTTTTCTGTAATTGTTAAACTTTTAATAAATATCATTAAAAAAAAAAGAGATGGGGAGCACCGTGGAAGAATTGCGTGGGTTGTGGGTATCCTGGGGTAGCACTTTCTGCTAAGCCAGGTCTGAAAGGCATAACTCCTTTTGATACCTACCAGAATGTGGTTTGACTGGTCAGACCAGGAAAATAACAGAGGCAACCTGAGCCTTCGCGTTGCACCCCACTCCAGACTAGTGAAACAAGAAGCCTCTTCTCCCTTCCTAAGCTACTCATGTTGACGTATTTTTCCTTCTGTTGCCACAAAACAGAAGGCAGAGGAGAATGAAGTGGTTGAGGCAGCCAGGGCGAAACAGCCTAGGCATCTGGCTCCAGCTCCTCTCCTGTTCTTATATTTTAATTTATGGTGCATAAAATGCCCACATTAATTAAGACAGCCAAGCCTGACAGCCTACCCCGCATTTATATTTTACAGCGCACTAAATGCCACCCAAACGCACTGAAATTCCATTGCTTACAGAAAGGAATCTGGTTGCAAATTGGTCCCTCTAAATTACAGCTAGTTAAGCATCTTGATCACTATGGTGAGATGCATTGCATTCTGGTCATATTGTAGCAATTATCCATACACCTATAAATCACCACATGCAACTTTTATGCAAATTTGCTTCTTGGTGGGGGCTTGATGTATTTCCTCTGTGGGGTGAAACAAAAGCAGGCACCCTGTTCTTCTCTCAAGGACAGGAAATCGTTGTCAGATGGCTTGAAGTCTGAAGAGAATTGGAGGCGGCTATTCTTCGAGATTTTGCAATATTCTGCTATCTAAGCAACAAGTAATGTTTGTTTCTGGTGAATGGCTCCAAGGTCCTTCAGATAATTTGTATCTGTGAAGTGTCTTTCCAAAAAGGCCATGGCATGAAGACGGCTCAACCCCTTTCATTTAGACCCCAAGTAGCCAAGACAGTTCAAATCTAGCCTGCTTTCCCATGGCAGTCAGCAGTCTCACCCAAGGCTCTGACTGCCAGATGTCAGAACAGCTGAGCAACAGCCCATCATCATATTATAAGACCTGTGGCAGTTCTTATTATGTCACAGTGCACCTTGCAAGCCTAAGGCTAGGCAGCTGTTTTAATTGCAAGAAGTTAAACACTTTAAAACAAAAACAAAACATGCTTAACAATGCCCAGTTAACATTTTTGTTAAAAATGAATTGGAAACTGTGGAGGGGCAATACTTCCCTCCCCCTACCATTTCCCCACTGGAAACAGATCCTTGGGAGGGAATGAGCAGCTGAGAGGCATTTGTGGTGGTAAAACAGCTTTGGGGGTGAAGGGATTAACCCCCTCTCGCTGCAGTTGGAATCATGCAGCTGCTGTTTTGGGTTGGGTGGGCACGCTTTTTAAAAAGCGGGCTTAAGGTAACATGTAGTTTGATCCTGGCACAGGTCTGCTATGGCACTGCAGTAGATGAGTCAGAATTATCAACAAGGTTATTTAATACCACTCTGTGCCTTTCATTATACGGACAAGCCATTAACAGTATCCACCCCCACCCCGAAACAGAAGGGTCAGTTATAAATTATCTGGTAGTAACAAGCAAAAGTATCTGATACTAATGCATGGTTGAATTTTCTGCTTACAAAAGGCTCTTTGCGCTTTGTTGTTCATCGCTTTTCAGACTTTCTCCTTGTGATATCTTTCTAGCAATTTCCCTGCTTTTCTCTGAGAAATTCCCACGGTGGCTTTTACTACCCTGCTTGCAACCAGCTTTCCCCCATTGGTTCTCCCCGCCCCCCATCACTGAGGGGAACTGAGGCAGGGCTTCCCCTCAAAGGTGCTAAGAGACTCTTTCTCTCCATTTGTTGAAGGTCAATGTTCTTGTAGCATTTACAAAAGGCAACAATCTGGAGTCACTCCCGTTCGATTTACTTTTAATTCTTGCTGGCGTAGACAAAATCAAGGAGCTCTTTTCATTGAAAGATTCTTGTCTGATTCTTATTTTGCTGAATGAAAAAGAGAGTCAGTGGCAAAGCATACTACCCCAGAGTAAAAAAATTGCCATCTTTCATCCCCAGTAGTAGCAGTATCAACTGCCTGTGGGCTTGTTCCTACAATACTTGTTTGTACACAAGTTTGAATACCCAGGGACAAAACCCACATGTGACTTGGTCAAATCTGAGGATGAAAGAAGTCTTGGGGGAACAGTCGCAAGTCACCTGAGATGCCCAAAGGCACAAGTCTGCCCAGATTATTGGCCCTCTGCAGCCAGTTAAACATAGGAATGTAGGAATCTGCCTCACCGAGTCAGACCTGTGTTCCATCTAGCTCAGAATTGTCTACACTGACTGGCAGCACCTCCCCAGGGCTCCAGGCAGGAGCCTCTCCCAGCCCTACCTGGGATTAAACCTAGGACTTTCTCCTTGCAAGCCAGGTGCTCTGCTACTATGGAGCTATGGCGCTTCCCCATAAACAACTGGACCACAACAGGAAAAGATGCTGCTGGCATGGGACAGCTCCTACACATTCACTTAAGTGTAGCTGCTCCTGCGCATGGATCCACCCGTACACTTCGGTGTGGGGTGGCCAAATGTAGACCAAATGTAGGGGAAACCTGTGTTTGGAAAGCCCTTGGGTTGAGAAATCAGTGTCCAAGCAGGTGTTACCTACATAAAAAAAGGAACTAAAATGAACTGTAATGCTTTGGAGCCCATCCCTTAAATCTTTCTCCTCTTTGTTCCAGGATAAAATTTGGAAGAAGGCAGCCGGTTATAAATGCTATTTCTGCCTTGTGATCAGACTGGTTGTGCAGACGTGCTTTTGGACTTTTTTTTTGGTCAAATCGAAAGGCGGAGTGGAAAGAATACACGGTCGGCTCCAGAGGTGCACTCGACATGTGCACCGTGAGTTATGTTTTGTGCAAGTTTGGGGGAGGCACAGGGGGGCCCTTGTGTCTTTTGCACTGGAGACGAGACCCAGTGGATTTTCTTGCAGAGGCAGCCCCCTAATCTTCACTGTCCTGGTTGCCAACAGCTCCTGACTCCCAGCGCTGGATTAAGGCACTCCTCTGTCGGCGGAGGATTCGAGGGCTTCTCTCCGGCTGTGGGGTTAAATGAGGGGAGAGAGAAAGTGGGGAAAGTGAGCGAGAGTCCACAGAAAGTGAGGAAACATGCAGGGTGAAGGCTGGGGCAGAGAGCTTTCTCTGCTTAGTGATAAAGGACTTGAGGCTCTGGGTGGGTGCGGCTGTTTCTGAACAGAAAAGACTGAAGACCCAATTTCTCTGCAAAGAAACACTTATTGCTTCAGTAGGAAAATTGTTCTGCCCCATGCCCTGTGGGCAGTTCCACGGAGCCCAGTTATTACACTCAAGGACTTAGGGAGCAGAGCCCCACACCTAAAACAATTCTTAATTCACCCACCCCATTCTTCTGCTGAAATTTAAAACTTTTTCATGCTTTTGGTGGAGGTGGCTGTCCCTTTAAAAAGGAAAGAAAAAGCACTCACAAATCACAACTAGCGAGCTAAATTTTAAGATGTAACAATACGTTGTGGTTTGTGCTAGGACGAATTCGAAAGCATGCATGCTGCAATCCTACGCATGCTCCCTTTGAAGTAAGTAGTGTTTACTCCCTACGACTTGAGTTTAGGATTGCAGTCTGATTGATGTCTAAAACATTTCAGTGCCTGATGCTGAAAATCCAAATGGTATCAGGCATCTTGTTTATTAAAATTGGAGTGAAAGCCGTAATGCTTTCTCATGAGATGAAAGACATGCCGAATCATATAATGGAGTTTTCGCACATTGTTGGTAAATATATTGAATTCAGATATGTTTGCTCTCAAACGAACTGCCCAAGGTAGGGGTTGCTATGGGAAGAGGTAGAGATAAATGCGAACTGGCAATCCAAGTCCTGTTCAGTGCCTGCCTTGATATTACAGCTTCTCAGCCTTTTGGCTAAGTTCAAGTGTATATTAACAGCAGCTGTAGGCAAAAGATAGAGCATGGAACCTACCTCGTTTCTGATGAACCTGATTCCTGCTGACTGTTGGGGTTCTTGCAAAGAACACTGGACTATTTATTTCTTTATTTAAATTTCTATACCGCCTTTCATCTGAGGATCACAGGCCAGTTTGCAATATAAAAACACAAAAACACGTAACAGAGAGCTCGTCTACATTTTGGCTTGTCCCGTGCTTTCTGGGCATGGGTCAAAGCAGTTTTATCTCCCCCCTGGCTTTCCTCTGAGAAACCCACTCTTTAGCGCTAAATCGGAACAAACAGCAATCCGCAGAAAACCCAATTGCTGTTTGTTCTGATTTGCAATGGGGCAAATGGAGGTGTGGATAAGCCCATAGCAACAAACAAAAACTATACCCCCCCACCCCAGGATTAGGGAGGCTCTGATCTGCTCCTGCAAGTTACTTCTAATAACTTGGGTTTGCTCAGAATCCCTTAACCCACATGATTAGTGTGAAGGGCCAGAGCCCATTGGTAGAGGTTCTGCCTTGCACAAAGAAGGTTCCTGGTTCAATCCCTGCCTGGGATACTGAGCGAGATGGACCAATGGCCTGACTCAGTACAAAGCGGCTTCTTCTCTGGCTTTACTATCAAGAGATCCTGAGTCTGCATTCTTGCTTTGGGTCTTTGAAACACAAAGAGTACTTTTTGGTGTCAGAGGTGGAAAACTGAAGCTGCACCCACTTTCACTAAAGGCTTGCCCATGCTACCTCTTGTTCCTCTTTAGTGCTCAATCGGCAAGTGGGTTTTCCATGAATTGCCATTTGTTCCAGTTTAAAGCTAAAGAGCAAACTTTCCCTGGGAAAGGAGCCGGGCAAAGGGGAAACCGCTCAGACCTGTGCCTAGAAAGTAAAAAAACTACTCAGACCTGTGCTTTTTAGGCACAGGCCAAGGGGAAGTGTGGTGGAGCGCTAACTTTGTAGAAAGGTAAATTTTCTGTTATCCTGGGGAGCAGCACTATCAGGCTTCCAGTGAGGTCCCAGCACCCTAGGGCTCCTATTGCAGATACACCTCCTTGGGACGGGGGACTTCTCCTTACAGCTAAGCAAAAGGGATCCAGGCCAGGAAAAAGGGGTGAATGTGCAGAGGCATAACTAGGATCCCTGGCACCCATGGCAAGGAGCTGTATTGGTAAGGTAAAGGTAAAGGGACCCCTGACCATTGGGTCCAGAGTCGTGACCGACTCTGGGGTTGCAGCGCTCATCTCGCTTTATTGGCCGAGGGAGCCGGTGTACAGCTTCCGGGTCATGTGGCCAGCAGGACTAAGCCACTTCTGGTGAACCAGAGCAGCGCATGGAAATGCCGTTTACCTTCCTGCCGGAGTGGTGCCTATTTATCTACTTGCACTTTGACGTGCTTTTGAACTGCTAGGTTGGCAGGAGCAGGGACCGAGCAACGGGAGCTCACCCCGTCGCGGGGATTCGAACCGCCGACCTTCTGATCGGCAAGTCCTAGGCGTCTCTGCTGTATTGGTGCCCCCCCCTAAAAAAAATCTGAGAAGCAGGCAAGGTTATCTAGATAGGAGGAATGCACCTCCTTTGGGCTGGATGGGGCACCAATGCTGCTCTCTTCCTGGAAGCTGCTCCAAGGACCCCTTTCTCTCCCCTGCTGGAAAGCTTGGCAGATTCTTTCTGCAGGCAAAGCAGGTGGAGTGCTGAGCTGGGGATCGGGGGGCCACTTCAGGTGTCACAGGAGGAGTTCAGCACCTGAGAGGTGATTTTTATGCCCCATCCTGTGGGTGTGGAAGGGGTCTCGCTGGCAGGCACTGTGCAGAAGGCCCCCTAATGCCCTTTTCAAGATGGGACCTTTAGCTTTCAGAAACAAAACAGCCTGGCTTTTACCATATCAAGGAGCAGGCGAACGATACAAAGTTTTCCTGCCTCCTGTCCTGCCAGCATTTTGCAGCCATGTGAAATGAGGAACGGCAGGCTCAGCGCTGCTATGCTCAGTGGGCTTGCCAACCCCTATTTATCAGCAGCAAAGGAAACAAAATTTTAATGCATTACAATGAGCCCATTGAAGTGTGTGCTTGTCATGTGTGTGTTTTATGAAAGCGAGATAGGCAAAGGAAAGATAACCAAGGCTTGTTTCCACTGGATATTTGTGTGTGCGTGCCATTAAAGCACAAAACAAATTGAGGGGACCTGGCCAATGGAGCACAACCGCTCCCCTCCCAGCTTTCCTCTGCAAGCCTAATTGAAACAGGAAGGAGTTGCTCTTTTGCAGTTCTTGGGGTCTCATCCACACTGCCCTTTGCCTCCTCGCTTCCCACCAGGAAAACCCATAGTCCAATGGTGAATTGGAACAAATGGCAACTGAGTTTTCTGCAGATTGCTGTTTGTTCCGATTTAGCATTAAAGAGTGGGTTTTCCCAGGGAAAGCGGCAGGGAAAGCTTTCTTGGCATGGGGCAAGCGGAATTGTGGACATGTTAATTAGAGAGAGTCAAGCACTGCTGGGATCCTCACACACACACACACCCCTGCTTCCCTGTGCACTGAAATAATGCTTGAATTGTTCATGGAATGGTAGGGAGTCCTTAATAAAACCCATACCCCTCCCCCATTTTTAACCAAATCATGCCCCCCTTAGCCTTCTGAAAACAGTGCCGGGGGGGGAGCTTGTATTGTTTTCCCTCTTTAGAACATCTGCCTGGTCCCAGTTAATTGCGCTACCTTTTGATGAATGCCTATCAAACTATTGCTCTGTCAAGTATTGTGCCTTCCACATTCAGAAACTAATTTGAGAGTCTGACCTTTGCAAGCAGATACACACATTTCCTGCTCAGACGTGAGCTCCGATTAGGGCCAAACAAGACAATGGACTTATCCACATTTGCCTTTCCTCTGCTCTTTCCAGGCACGGTCCACGCTTTAAAACGCCATGTCCAAGCGCCCTTTTCTTTGCCGTGGAGCTTTCCCCGTGAAAACCTGCTCTTTAAAGCTCAATCGGAGCAAACAGCAATCTGTAGAAAACCAGAACTGATGCTTGCTCCGACTGAGCACTAAAGAGCAGGTTCTCACAGAAAAGCTTCGGGGTAAGAAGAAAACACTCGGACACAGAGCTTTGAAGTGTGGACCTGTGCCTGGGCAAAAGGGGCAAATAGTAAGTGTGGATAAGCCCAATGTATCAGCTTGGCATCTGCCAAGGCCCTGGATCCCTCCAAAGGTTTACTACTACTTCTTCTTCTTTTATTAAAAAAAAAGCATTTTGGGAGCTTTGGAGAGTTTTGTTTGTTGTCTGCACTGCTTGGGGTTTTTTGGAGGGGGTGGGCATGTAAATGCTTTGCCTGTTGTATGTTTCGGGGGGGGGGTTGTTCCTGAATCTTGCTATTTGTCTTCTGCAAAATGGATGTTTTGTGGGGCTCATGACCGTTTCAGAGGTTTCCAAATGTGCCCCCAGGCTCCAAAAGGTTGGGGACCCCTGCACTTATGTACATACCTGTGCCTCTAAGTGCAGGGTTTCTCCCTACCAATTCCTAATCATAAGATGGAGGTGCCGAGGGTTTAGCCCTTTAGCCCTGTGCTATAATCTTGATCCTGATCTGGATCCCACTTCTCATGCCCAGATGATGCTGGGCAGAGGGACTCTTGATTGCTTCAATGAGAGCTCTTTTCTTAAACAAACTGCGGACACAACAGGGGTGGGGAAGGGATAAAGTCCCCTTTCCTCTCATCACACTAGGATCTGCATCCAGATCAGGCTCCTTTATCCAAATTGGATGAACTAAAGCAGAAGCCCAGACACGGAGGCATGGGCGTAGCCAGGGGGGCAGGGAGGGGCAGTTGCCCTCCCAAAATCAATAAAAATACATGTTCTGCCCCCCCACAAAAGACCTGCCCCCTTAACAAAAATCCTGGCTTCGACCATGCATGTTGGCATGAGCATAGCCAGGATTTATTGGGGGCGGGGGCAGAACAGAGTTATCTGTGACACAATTGGTCAGTTAGTTAAGTATTTTTATTTATTTACTTGATTTAGGGGGGCAGCTGCCCCCCCTGCCTATGCTCATGCATGTAGACGGTGTGCACATTACCGATTTAAAACACAGCAGGGTCATTCTTTTTCTCAATTTGGATTGAAGCTGGTTTGTGGGTGGTGGGAGACACACACACATCAAAATGCAGTATTTCGTAACAAACAGCAGGATAGATATAGCTTGTAGCTAATGTTGTGTGTACACAGATACTCAAACGAGCAGTAAGAGTGCACTTGATGCAGAATAAACAGAAAAGTGTGTACACAGCCATAGCTAACTTATTGTCTAGCTTGGCTCTTAGTTCAGTGGAATTTATTCGCAATTCCATTTGCTCTGCGTCCAGGGCTTGAGAAGCAGCGAACACACCATGTAAGTCACAATCCATACCTGCCCTGAGTCTATCCTGTTGTTGCTTAAGAAACACTGCATTTTGATGTGCTTTCTGCAAAACCAGCTTCAATCCCAATTGAGAAAAAGAACGACCTAGATGCATTTTAAGCCCTTAATGTATTATGCAGCCTGAAGAGTGTGTATAAGATTGCAGTCTGAGTTACAGCAGTCGCTAACCACAAGTTACTAGCGGCAAATAATGAATGAATAGGATTCTAGCTCTTGCTGTTATGTAAAAATAACGTATATAGTTTTGTCGATGAGCACCTGCTTTGCAGAGCAGCATAAGCAAAACAACAAGTGTCTCTTTGAAGGAATTTGCCGTTGAAATGTTAACAGCAAGGGAGACAAAAAAAAAAGGGCAAGTGGTGTGTATGTGTGTGTTTGCCACTCAGAGATAACAGCACATGGTTTGCATACTGAAAGTTCAGCTCCTCCACCCCAGGGCTGACTGAGGCTTTGGTCTAAAACTCTAGAGAGTCCAATATGAATGGCACGCATATTTATGGTATGATAAAGTAAAAGTGTATAAAGGATTCCTGAATCACCCAATAAGAAAATCAATTTATGAGGTGTGGAACAGATATAAAAACTTATTGGAACGTAAAACTCCTTGGTGGCTCTCTCCAATTGAAGCAATAGCAGTAAACAAGTTAAATATGAAAGGAGAGTGGGCCACGTATACAGATTTGTTGACAGAGGTAGGAAGTCAGTTAAAATTAAAAACATTTGAAGAAATAAAAGAATTATTGACAGATTGGTTGCATTAAAGTGTTTAAGGAAGATAAAAGGAAAAATGGTTTTGATATAGTAAGATCTAGGCTGGAGATAGATTTATTGGATGATAAGAGGAAAATATTATCGAAAATGTACAAATTACTTTTGGAGTGGCATACTAAAGATGAAGAGGTTAAAGGGGTGATGATACAATGGGCTAAAGATTTTGGATATAATATTCAGTTAGAATTGTGGGAAAGGCCGTGGAATGAAGGTATTAATTTTACTGCATGCAGTACACTTAAAGAAAATGTGATGAAAATGATGTACAGACCATATTTAACACCATCAAAACTTGCAAAAATGTATAAGACAAGATCTAACGAGTGTTGGAAATGCAAAGAAAAGGAAGGTATCTTCTACCATATGTGGTGGACTTGTAGAGAGGTAAGGACCTTCTGGGAAATGATATATAATGAGTTAAAGAAAATGTTTAAAAACACTTTTGTTAAAAAACCAGAAGCCTTTTTACTCGGTATGGTAGGTGATACAAAAAAAGAAAAAAGACAAAAGACTGTTCATGTATGGAAAAACAGCGGCAAGAACCCTTTTAGCCCAAAAATGGAAACAACAAGAAGTACCAACGAAAGAAGAGTGGCAGATGAAAATGAAGGACTTTGCAGAACTGGCGAAGCTGATGGGAAAAATCTGAAACCAGTGCGATCAAGTGTTCCAAAAGAACTGGAGTAAATTTATGCAATATTTGAAAGTTCATTGTAAGCAGTTAACAACACTAGTAGGGTTATTTGAAGTCTTGTAATGAGAAATTTCTTACCTTTCTATATTTATTTAAATTGTTAGATATTTCGTAATGAGTTACCGTATTTTTCCGTCTACAAGACACCCCCATGTATAAGACACCCCCTATTTTTGGGGACTCATATTTAAGAAAATGGGGGGAGATGGCCCCGTGTATAAGACGCCTCCTAGTTTTTGACATTATTTTTTAGGAAAAAAACCTAGTCTTATACATGGAAAAATACGGTATATTAGAACTGGAAAATATATAAAATGCTGTGCAAAAAAGCTTAGTTTTGAAAGCCAAGACGCGGGAGGGAAGGAAGCTGACAGGCTCTAAAGAGCCAAAGAAGTAAAGTGGATAATAACGATGTGATTATATATGTTTAAATGGAAAATTAATAAAAATTATTTTTAAAAAATCTGTCTGCTGGATGGCTGGGTTTCATTCACAGGTTGGAGAGCAAGTGTGGATCCAGACAGGTCAGCAGTCGTGTGGCCGTTGTTATAATAAGGCCGTCCATTTGAACATGGATTGCATGTTTGCAATCATGATGTGAACTAATATCAGACCAATATCTGCCCGCTGGTACCTTGAGGCATCCCAGTAGTGATGTATGGAAGTGAGAGCTGGACCATAAAGAAGGCTGATCGCCAAAGAATTGATGCTTTTGAATTATGGTGTTGGAGGAGACTCTTGAGAGTCCCATGGACTGCAAGAAGATCAAACCTATCCATTCTGAAGGAAATCAGCCCTGAGTGCTCACTGGAAGGACAGATCGTGAAGCTGAGGCTCCAATACTTTGGCCACCTCATGCGAAGAGAAGACTCCCTGGAAAAGACCCTGATGTTGGGAAAGATGGAGGGCACAAGGAGAAGGGGATGACAGAGGACGAGATGGTTGGACAGTGTTCTCGAAGCTACTAACATGAGTTTGACCAAACTGCGGGAGGCAGTGGAAGACAGGAGTGCCTGGCATGCACTGGTCCATGGGGTCACGAAGAATCGGACACGACTAAACGACTAAATAACAACACCTTGAGGCCTATTTGGTAGTTGCTTTTCATGCTTACGCTTCAAGTGAGATTTAGAGTTGCGCGTCGCAGGATATTTTTACTCCAACTCCTTCCCTGTAAAATGGCAGCTCTCTACCACAGGCGTCTTGTTGGCCCACAGAGGCAGCCGGTGCTGCTCCTGAGGACAGCTACAGGCCGCCAGTCATAGCTGTGTGATAAGGGCACTGCTCCCCTGCGCTTGTTACCTGATGGAGGCCATTCACCTGAGAGGTCTCCGGAGGGCTCGGAGGCGGCCAGGTGACGTCCAGCTTCTTGCAGGAAGGTCTCTCTGAGAAGGAGACAGAGACAAAGGACAGTTCTCAACGGTGACACAGGGCTAACAGTCAGGAATAAGAGTGCTTCTGGCCACCTGCATTTCCCAAAGTGCAATTTTCTCAAGAGGGACTGACCCACCCACATCAATGGCCTTAGGGAAGGGTTTTCTTTCAGGCCCTGAAGATGGGGAACTGAACATTCTTTCCACATCCCTGTCAGGAAAGCAGTTTCTCCCAGTTTCCGTTTTACAACCTTTGCGTCCCTCTCGTGACATTTCCTTGTCCCTGGTTACACCTGCTGGTTTCCCTTTCAGTCTTGCCTCTGTTAAAATTCAACCAACCCTGTGTTTGCTACAGCAGCCTAGGAAAACTATTACCACCCACTAGGTACACATTCCGGTTCTGTTGGCTGCCAGGTTCTCATGGTGCAGCTGGGACCCTAATTTGTTTATTTAATCTATCTATATCATTCTGTTTTCCCCAAGGAGCTCAAGAAAGTGTGCATACCACCAGACACCAACCCATTTCTCCTTAACCAGGAGCTCCTCTCTCTGCAACAGCCCCCTGCCCTGGGCAAAGAAAATCTTGGGTGGGGATCCCAGAAGACGCAGGGAGAGAGGGAGCAGCAGTTCTGCTGTGCAAACAGAAGCTCTTGCACAAATAGAATGACACAGTAGGATACAGTGACTGGCCTAGGGTCACCCCAGCTGAGTGGGGATTTGAACTGACTCATAGTTCAATTGTGGGACGTGGGTGGCACTGTGGGTTAAACCACAGCGCCTAGGGCTTGCCGATCAGAAGGTCAGCAGTTCGAATCTCCACAACGAGGTGAGCTCCCGTTGCTCGGTCCCTGCTCCTGTCAACCTAGCAGTTCGAAAGCATGGCAGTGCAAGTAGATAAATAGGTACCGCTCCGGCGGGAAGGTAAACGGCGTTTCCATGCGCTGCTCTGGTTCGCCAGAAGCGGCTTAGTCATGCTGGCCACATGACCTGGAAGCTGTACGCCGGCTCCCTCGGCCAATAAAGTGAGATGAGCGCCGCAACCCCAGAGTCGGCCACGACTGGACCTAATGGTCAGGGGTCCCTTTACCTTTACCTAGTCCAATGCTCTGATCATTAAGCTAAAAAGGTAAAAGGTAAAGGACTCCTGGATGGTTAAGTCCAGTCAAAGGCAGCTATGGGGTTGCGGTGCTCATCTCACTTTCAGGCCGAGAGATCCGGCATTTGTCCACAGACAGCTTTCTGGGTCATATAGCCAGCATGACGAAACCGCTTCTGGCACAACGGGACACCGTGACGGAAATCAGAGCACATGGAAATGCCATTTACCTTCCCGCTGCAGCAGTACCTATTTATCTACTTGCACTGGTGTGCTTTCGAACTGCTAGGTAGGCAGGAGCTGGGACAGAGCAACGGAAGCTCACCCCGTCGCAGGGATTCGAACTGCCGACCTTCTGATCAGCAAGCCCAAGAGGCTCAGTGGTTCAGACCACAGCACCACCCACATCCCTCATTACAACACATTGGCTCAGGTGCTGAGCTTACAAGGAGGCAAGGAAATGGCCGTGTGTGATAACTTCTGTAGGTCAGCTGCAGCTCACCCCACAAGCCCTTAGCCAAGGGCCCGACTCATTTTGGGCCTTGGTGCAGAGGCTCCAGATAGTGTACCCTCCATGGCAATAAGCGTGTCACAGTAAATAATAATAATAATAATAATAATAATAATAATAATTAATAATTTATTTATAGCCCAGCCACTCTGGGTGGCTCCCAACAGAACATTAAACAGAATGAAATTTCAAACATTAAAAACTTCCCTAAACAGGGCTGCCTTCAGATGTCTTCTAATGAAGGTACATGGCAATGTTTTGTCCTTGAACGGTGCCACCAAACTCTGCTTCTTCAGGCAGGCTACCTTACCAGAAGAACTTGCCCTTCCAGGAAGGTTATTATATTCAAACACTGGGCATGCAGATATGAAGAAGAACGACACTGGGAACACTTTCTCTGCCAGCCCTTTCCCACCCCTTTGCCCCGCAAATGCTTTGGACTACAACTCCTTTATGGCTGGGGCTGATGAGAGTTGAAGTCCAAAGCATCTGTGTGCAAAGGCAAGTGGGAAATGTGGCCCAAAATCCAGACGCAGAGTTCTGTGACACCTACATCCCTGTCCATGGTGACAACAGAGCACACGCTCAGTCTCTTTTTCTCTTCATTCAAGAACAGGTTGCGTCAGGCCATAAGCAGCCTGAATAACACAATCGGAGATGAAAAACTGGACGTCCTATGAGCCTGAAAGATTCATACTCTGCTTTCAGTGTATTTTTGTGCACTTGTAGTCTGAGGCCCTTCTGTATGCCTCCCCCACCCCAGAGGTTTGGAGGGTGTCAACAAGAGAACGGACCTTTTCTGAGGTGGTTCCCCAATTGTGGAATGCTCTCTCCAGAGAGGCTCGCCTGGCACCATCATTACATGTTTTTAGATGCCAGGCAAAACCATTCCTCTTTACTCAGGCCTAAGGCTATTAAACCCCTTCATGGATCACTGCCTTGCTGTGGTGAAGGGGCTTGAATAACTCAGAGAAGCTATGAGCTATGCCGTGCAGGACCACCCAAGATGGACAGGTCATAGTGGAGAGTTTTGACCAAACGTGATCCACCTGGAGCAGGAACCGGCAAGCCACTCCAGTATCCCTGCCAAGAAAACTCCATGGACTTTTGACCAAACTGCGGGAGGCAGTGGAAGGCAGGAGTGCCTGGCGTGCTCTGGTCCATGGGGTCACAAAGAGTCAGACACGACTAAACGACTAAACAACAACAACAAGGCTATTAAATAATCTATGGCCTGTTAAAATGTGGGGGAGAGGACTGGTCTTCTTATTTTACTATTGGGCTGTCTGTCAGTCTGTTTTTTACTATATTTTTCTTATGTTTTTGTCACTGATGTTTTGCAATGCGTTTCTAATCTTGAACACCTCCCTGAGATCTTTGGATAAAGGGTGGTATATAAATTGAATAAGTAAAAGTAAAAGTTAAAAAGGGGGAATTTTTTACTATCTGAGTTGCACACATTCATTCACTTTATGAACCGGAGTACAAAGCAACAAACTCAAGGTTACCCAGTGATAGGGATTTGATTGGAAAGTTCCAGCGCTTCAGTTTGTAAACCACGCCAGAGGTCAGGGCTGTAAGTGCGCCCGGATTCAATGGAAATGCTCAATGTTGTGTTAGATGCCACAATCCTTTGATTGTTGGGTCCTGCTGCTATGGAGCCAGGATGTGAGTCAGAAGGCCCGTGCAGGTGTGATCTGAAAGGGTGGTGGTTTTCATGATCCCTTTGCATCTTAATGATTTTGCAAGTGAGAATCCTGGACTAAGGCAATTTTTGCCTGAGGTGGAGCTGCTGCAAGGTCTATGATATGGTGGAGGACGGGGAGGGGAGTCAAGTTATTTTGGCACCTGAGGCAGAAAACACCACCAGTGCCTCTCTTCCTCCTTAGCAGTAAAAGTACAATAACATTAAATAACAATTCCCTGCCTTCTCTTGATACTCAGTTTTAGTTGCCTGAGTCCACTGCTTCACTCTGCCTAATGTTGGAGCTGGTCCTTAGAAGTGATATTTATTCCTTACAGCAGAGCTTTCCAAACTTTTCGTATTGGCGACACACTTTTCAGACATGCATCCTTTCGTGACACAGTAATTCAGTTTTACTAGCAAACCGGAGCTTCAAATAACCCCTTTCCAGCCCCGGGAGGAGCGTGGGGGCGTGTTCACACGACACACCTGCACATTGCAGCCGGCACACTAACATGTCGCAACACAGTTTGGAAAGCTCTGTCCTACAAAACAGGACTTTCGTGGGAGTTCTGTGGCAAGGCATGTTACTAGAAAACCAAGAACGTCAGCTTTCAAAAGCAAATAGCAAGTTTCTAGACCATATGCTTCACTCCAGAAATATTACTGTTCCAAGCAACAGCTTCTGTTGTTTACGCAAGCCCTGCATTTGTATATGCATACAGCCTTCTTAGTTCACCTTTTGGCACCAGACAGGAAAAAGAAAACCCACCTTGCTTGTGAAAACTGATGCCACACAAGAAAGGAGCCAGTCTTTTAAGATCCCATAGCATTCTTTGCCTTTCTACAGAGCTACTCCTAAAATCACCGATCGTAAGAAGAGCTCTGGTGTACTTCACCAAAGGTCCACCTAATGGAACCGCCTGGTTCTGACAGTGGCCAGCAAGGTGCTTTCTGAAGCCCACAAGCAGGGCATGAAAAGGTAATGATCCTGCCGCTTGTCCCAGCAGCATGGTGCAGTGGTTAGAATATTGAGCCTGCGAGGCCAAGCTTCGCATCCCCACTAAGCCATGCAGCTCACCTGGCGTCCTTGGGCCAGTCGCCGTCTCTCAGCCTCACCTGCTTGTAAGGATAACATAGAATGGGGAGAGCTCTGCCTCAGGCTCCTTTGCGGAACAGTTGGATGCATATGCAGTAAATATGGAAACGAATACAAGAGGACTCCCTTGGTCCCTTTTATGTACTTATTATTACCATTATATATTTATTCATATGCTGCCTTTTCCCCGACAGGGACTCAGGATAGTCAAGTAGGAATTCTACATTCAGATTTGAATACAATGCCAAATCTGAATGTAAGAATCCCACTTAGCTATCACAAGTACAGTGGTACCTCGGGTTACATACGCTTCAGGTTACATACGCTTCAGGTTACAGACTCCGCTAACCCAAAAATAGTACCTCAGGTTAAGAACTTTGCTTCAGGATGAGAACAGAAATTGTGCTCTGGCGGCGCGGCGGCAGCAGGAGGCCCCATTAGCTAAAGTGGTGCCTCAGGTTAAGAACAGTTTCAGGTTAAGAACGGACCTCCGGAACGAATTAAGTACTTAACCCGAGGTACCACTGTACGTAAAAGTAACCAAGAGGCTTCCTCTGGCCCAGCGTTCTGTTTCCAACAATGGCCAGTAAGATGCCTCTGGGAAGTCCAGCAAGGAGGCCATTACAGCAACAGCCCTTCCCTGTGGTCTGAAATCTAACCTTGCAACTGGTGTTCCGCAGTGCGCTGCCTCTGAAACTGGAGGCTCCATTGAGCTTTCCTCCGTGTGTTTGCCTGTTTCATTCTAAGGCCAACTAATCCAACGGCTACGAATACATCTTACGGTAAACCAAGCCCATGCGTCAATTATGTGTTGTGCGAAGAAGCGCTTCCTTTTCCCAGTCCTGAATGAATGGCCCTTCAGTCCCAGCGGGTGACCCCCATTCTCCCTCTTCCCCACACTCGCTCATCGCACCTTGCCCCTTACCTGGCTGGCTGGGGGTCTCCTCATCCTGAGCTGAGGCCTCTGCAGCCTGGCAGGGCAACGCTGAGCCGTACAGGTTGTGCCTCTGCCTCTGCAACTCCCGCTCTCGTTCCTGAGCTTCTTGGACCTCCTGCTCCAGCAGAGACTGGGGGCTTTTGGCACGCAAGCAGAAGAAGGGGTTGGCCGAGGCAGGGGTTCTCTCGGCCAGCGGCCGTTGGGCTCGCAGCAGAGCGCCAGAGTCCACGATGACCATGTTGGCGGTGCTGTTGGCCTCCGCAAAGGAGAGACCCCTCGCCCCTCTGGGGCTGCTGCACAGCATCTTCCTGGGGGCCGGAGGTTCTGGGCTGGGTTGCTGTTCAAAAATCATCATCTTCTCCTGCATCTCTTGCGGGGTGCCACGGTCGTAGGCCCCCCTGACCTTCCCCAGCTGGACCAGGTCCTCTTCACGTTGACATTCCCTCTGGATCTCCCTCTGCATTTGAACCCCGGCCCACTGGCGCTCCTTCTCTTTGGGCAGCATGGGGGGCCCCACGTTCTGGTTCAGGATAGGCCTGATGCGCACCTCCACATACTCCTGAGTGCCCCAGGGGCTAGCCAGGCCCCTTTGCCGCCGCAGGTGCTCTTCGCGTTCCTGGTGGAGACGGATCTCTCGCTCGATCGGGGTCTCGGTGGCAGGGTGCAGGGCCTCTGTATGCTCCGCGGTGTTTCCCGTCCAGTCCATGCCGCCCGTCCCAGAGGGCCTGCTGGGCGTGGATGTGGCACAGACCGGGTCTGCAGGGCTCACCAGGTCTTCTGCGCTGGCAGGGTCCCTGGCACCAAGTAGCGACTGGTCTCCAGGTTTCGGACTGGAAGTGTCGTGCTCCGAAACAGCAACTGGGCATGTGGTGCTGGACAAATCTTGAGAGCCTGCTCTGTCCCTGGCCCCAAGTGGATCTTCAGCGCTAGCTAGCACCATGGTCCCAGCTTGGTCTTGGGGACCAGCTGGATCCCTTGTGCCAGTCGGGCTTTCCAAGCCAGGTGATTCTCCGGCTGGATCTTTGGCACCGGCTAGGTCCTTTGCACTCTCCGGCACGCAGGTGGCTTCCCCGGGCCCAGCGCTGCTGGACGCCTCCTCTCCCTTCTCAGATTCCAGCGCAGCCTTGGCTCCAGCCTCACCCTGGGCTTGGCTGTCGTTGCCGGCTCCGCTCGATTCCTCAGAAGCCAGTCCTTCCCTCTCTTGCCTGCCACAGTCAGGAGCCAGGCCCCAGTGGGCAGGTCCAGAGGAGTCACCGGTTGCCACAGGAGACTGCCTTGGCGCTGCCTGCAGGGGAGTGTCGCCATCTGTGCCTGCTGCCCTCTGCTGGCAATAGGTGCCAACATCTGGCTGAGAGTCTATCAATGCCAGTGAAAGTCCGGCAGGGGTGCGTTCAGCATCTTCGGCATCTTGCTTCTCCGTTGTTTGGGAGTGATCTACCGAGCCCTCCCCAAATAACTGCCCATTCAGGTTACCCAGATATTCCTCTGCAGCTTGGGACTGATCACCCAGCTCCCTGGGCGTGCGTTCCTCCTTGCCAGCCTCTACCGTTTCCGAGCAGCCTGGTTTTACGTCTTGATCAACGCTGGCAATGTCAAACGTCTCCTGATGCTCAGCACAGGGAGCGGAGCTAGGATGGTGGCTGGGAAAGACCAAACAATCTCCCTCCCATGACTGCTTTGGGGAATTGGTCCCCGGAAGCGAGATGCTGGTTGGCTCAGAGGATGCAGCGGTGGCAAGTTCAGGTTCCTCTAGAGATTCTGAAGCAGGATCCTGGCTGTGACTACCCACAATGCCACTCTCCTCCCATACGTCCAGCTGATTTGAGGTCCTGGTGGAGTTCTGTTGGTCCGAAGAAACACCTGAGGTCTCCACACAATGAAGAAGAAGAGTTCCTTTTTCTTCTTGGCCATGCCCCAACTGCTTCAAGGAGTCAGTGGGCCCAGCTCCGTTCTTCTCATGGCAGTGATTCAGACCGGCCTCCTCCCCTTGCACCTGCTGTTCCAAGGTCCCAGTAGGACACTGGGCACCCGGCATCTTGTCACAACACACAGATTGGCTGCCATGTCCCCCTTGGGCCAACAGGCTTCCAGCATCCTCAGCATTCGGTTGCTCTGGGGAGGGACTTGGTGTCTTGTCCTGGTGAGTGGAATAGTTGTCATCCTGCCCTTGGTCTGGTGACGTGGAGATCTCTGCCATTTCAGTCCCCTCTGGAGGCTTGACTGGAGATGGGGGGCCCCTCTCAAAATGGTTGCCCTCCTGTCCTGAGGTGGACGGTTCCTGCAGCACATTGTCTTTGGCAAGGGAGCCAGTGGCAACATCGAGCGAGGGGACCAAGGAGTCGTCGGGTGGGGTGGCTATGGGGACATTTTCAGCCATAGTCCCACTTTCCACCATGTCCCTGAATGCATCCACCCTGGAGTTCTCCTGGTCTCTGTGGCACAACCCAGCAGCTGGGGGAGGCAGTGGCAGAGTTTCGGTGCTCATCCAGGCCAGGGTGTGGCTCTTTTTTTGTAAAAAATAAAACAGAACAGAAACCTTGAACAAAAGCATTCATCTCTTTTGTGCCGGTTCCCACTACACCCATGGCCTGATCTCAAGAAACATTGAGGTGATGGCTCCCCCTCCTGGCAATGGAATCAAAGGGTGCCAAAGGGCGCTGGAGTTGGGTTTCTCTGCAGCTTCCTTACCTCCTCCTCCATCTCTTACCTGCTAACCCATGGGTAGGCAACCTAAGGCCCGGAGGCCTGATCCGGCCCAATTGCCTTCTAAATCTGGCCCACAGACTGTCCGGGAATCAGCGTGTTTTTACATGAGTAGAATGTGTGCTTTTATTTAAAATGCATTATTTGTGGGGCATAGGAATTTGTTCATTTCCCCTGCAAAAATATAGTCCGGCCCTCCACAAGGTCTGAGGGACAGTGGACCGGCCCCCTGCTGAAAAAGTTTGCTGATCCCCCTGTGCTAACCCCTGAGCCAGTGGAGAAGGGGGTTAGCACAGGGCCAAATATTTTCTGCACTCTTCTATGCCCTTCCCTGGCTCCTTCCCTCGCACCTGGGGCTCTTCCACACTTCCTTTCATGCCATGTTTTTAGGCACAAGTCCAGGATTTCCAGATCCATGTCCGAGCAGGAAAACCCACGTTTGACCACTGAATTGGAGCAAATGGCAGTCAGGCTTCCCAAGGATTGCCGTTTGCTCCGATTCAGAGGTAAAATGCAGAGGTTTCCCAGTGAAAATGCCAGGATGAAAGAAACCTGCTGGGACACGGACCTGAAAATCCTGGCTGGAGAAAAAAAAACCCCTCCTGATTTTTATACAGGTGATCTGAAACGCAGGCCAGAGTCCAACTAAGCACCTATTCCTTCCCTAGGTAGTGCTTCTGGTAGCAGGGAATTTGATTCCTTCCCCAACAACGGGTGGCAGGAATAACTACCTCTTCCAATAGACAAAAATTGGGAGCCCTGTACAGAAAAATGCAGCCATGAAGGATATTAACATGCAGCTTCCAGAGACCCTCCCAAACCCTTCCCCTGCTGTTTTGGGATGGATATTATATGAACAAGCAGGATCACACCCTGAAATGTTTTGTACAACCATCTGCCTTGGAGTGGGGGCGGGGGGAGTGCATTCATGAAAAGCAAAGCAGGAGCTATATTCCAGGAACGTGAAAGGGGAAGGGATTTATTTATCCCACCCCTGTGAAGGAAAAAATTATTTCAGTCCAATAATGACCAGGGCTCAATCTTAGGACATTGCAGCCCTTGCTACGCCAGAGTCTGACCATATGAGCCCCTAATCCAGGGGTCAGCAAACTTCTTCAGCAGAGGGCCAGTCCACTGTCCCTCAGACCTTGTGGGGGGCTGGACGATATTTTTTTGGGGAAAACATGAACGAATTCCTATGCCCCACAAATAACCCAGAGATGCATTTTAAATAAAAGGACACATTCTACTCATGTAAAAACACGCTGATTCCTGGACTGTCCGTGGGCTGGATTGAGAAAGCGATTGGGCCGCATCCTGCCCAAAGGCCTTAGTTTGCCTACCCATACCCTAATCAGTCCCCACCCCCATCTCTTTCCACTCTCTTCTCATGACCCAGTGGATTAACTAATTGTTTACTGTCTGCCTAAGGACTGCCCTTTCCATTATCCTCTTCCAACCTGCAGAGTGATGCCCGCACCCTGTATCTCAGAGGCATAGGGCTTCTCTTACCTGCCACTGACACACACTCTTCGGATTCTGCCTGGCCGGAGCCCTGGACCCCTGGTAGTCTGTCCCAGCAGGAGGTGCTTTCCCTGGGCTTTATGCTCAGCCACTGAGCCAATTACACGCCCCAAGCTAATCTGCGGGGAGGACACAGCCCTGCCGCACAATTGCAAAAAGAGTTGCCAAGAAAATGCACAGCCCTGGGGCCACTCCTCCCCGAAATATGCACAACAAAGCACAGGCAGTTGTGCAATGGCATTGAATATTAACCACGTGCAAGGGACATTCTTAGGAACAGAGAGATTCATGCAGGAATCTCAGCCTATTGGTGGCTATTAGCAAGGAAAGCTGAACAAACCTCCATGCACTGTGGCAGGATACAGTTTTTTCCTTTCCAGACGCTGTATTGACAGGGAAGGTTCATGCCCTTGTTTTGGGGCTTTCGGAAGGCATCCGTATGACTCCTGTTGGCACTTGCATGCCTATCCAGGACCTTGACCCGATCCACCAAAGCAGCCCCTGTGTTTTTCTGTTCTTCCCCGCAATGGAGTTCCTGCCCAACTCTCAATAATAATAATAATAATAATAATAATAATAATAATAATAATTTTATTTATACCCCGCCCTCCCCAGCCAAGGCCGGGCTCAGGGCGGCTAACAACCAATAATAAAAACAAGTTGAATGAATACAACTTAAAAACAAGATTAAAATACAACATTAAAACATTAAAATGCAGCCTCATCACAGGAGGAGAAAGGAAAAAAGAAAGAGGGGGAGGGAATCAAATTGACTCCAAGCCAAAGGCCAGGTGGAACAACTCTGTCTTACAGGCCCTGAGGAAAGAAATCAGATCCCGCAGGGCCCTGGTCTCATGAGACAGAGCGTTCCACCAGGCCGGAGCCAGTGTTGAAAAGGCCCTGGCTCTGGTTGAGGCTAATCTGACTTCCTTAGGGCCCGAGACCTCTAGGGTGTTGCTATTTATGGACCTTAAGGTCCTCCGTGGGGCATACCAGGAGAGGCGGTCCCATAGGTACGAGGGTCCTAGGTCGTAAAGGACTTTAAAGGTCAAAACCAGCACCTTAAATCTGACCCTGTACTCCCCCGGGAGCCAGTGCAGCTGGAAAAGCACTGGGTGAATATGCTCCCATGGCAGAGACCCCGTGAGGAGCCTCGCTGCAGCATTCTGCACCCGCTGGAGTTTCTGGGACAGCTTCAAGGGCAGCCCCGCGTAGAGCGAATTACAGTAGTCAAGCCTGGAGGTGACCGTCGCATGGATCACTGTGGCCAGGTCGGGGCGGGAAAGGTAAGGGACCAACTGCATTCTGCATGAGTTGTGGACCTGGGGAGAATCAAGCTTTCTTCACCATCAGAATTTCTGACCCCCTTCCTGGAGAGACTCCAGGGAAGTGGGGGGACATGGGAACTCCCTCAGGCAGGGTCTTCCTTTCAGCAGGCTAGGAACACCCCCTGCCTCTGCTATACACTAACATTCTTGCCCCATACATTTGAGCAGAGACAGGATTCCTGCTCCCTGCTCAGAACATTCCTTGCATTATTTTTTGGTGGAAAAGCAGCATATTAATAAATCAGGATCAGGAACGGTAGGCCTTTTAATACTTGTAAACCATATTTATCAACGAGCAATCCCAGAACTTGGTGGGCCTGTCAAGGGTTTCTGGTTGGCCACTGTGTGAAAACAGAATGCTGGACTAAGGTAAGGTAAAAAAGGTAAAGGACCCCTGGATGGTCAAGTCCAGTCAAAGGCGACCACGGGGTTGCGGTGCTCATCTCGCTTTCAGGCCGAGGGAGCTGCCGTTTGTCCGCAGACAGCTTTCTGGGTCATGTGACCAGCATGACTAAACCGCTTCTGGTGCAACAGAACATCATGAGAGAAGCCAGAGTGCACAGAAACGCCATTTACCTTCCTGCCGCAGTGATACCTATGCATCTACTTGCATTAGTGTGCTTTCAAACTGCTAGGTCGGCAGAAGCTGGGATAGAGCAACGGGAGCTCACCCCATCGCGGGGATTCGAACCGCCAGCCTTCCAATCGGCGAGTCCAAGAGGTTCAGTGGTTTAGACCACAGCACCACCCACGTCTAGTGCTGGACTAGAAAGGCCTTGTTCTGATCCGGCTGGGCTCTTCTCATCAACAGCAGTTCACATTTCAGCTTCTGTGAGATATACAAGCACCCCCCCACACTTATGCAGGGTTTTTGTTCTGGGCCCCCAAGTGCGTAAGTGAAATCGTGTAAATTGGGGAGCATCCTCTAAAAAACCTCTAAATACCTTCCTGTTTGGGCTGAACTACCGATTAGATGCCAATGAATGCCTAGCTGTTGTTTGTGGATGGAACAGGTGAGCCTTGTACCTCCTAAAAGTTCTTTCCTTCCCAGCTCCTGGCCCAAGAGTCCCCTTGACCCCAACATCAGGCAGGTGTCAAGCAGGTGAACCAAAAGCTGACCCGTCATGAGGCTTATTGCCTTACACAGAGGGAGGGGGGCCTCTCCCAACTTGCATTGCCTGCTACGCTTTCATCAGCAGGAGTTTCCCAGTGTGAGACCTGACCCTTCACCGGTTCCTTTGCTGCCACTCGATAAAATGCAGATCGAGAGAACAAATAGTGTCTATGCTCCTGGCTTAAGGAAGGTGCAGCAATTTTAGGCAAGGCTCTAAAAAAAATTGAATTTGGAGTGGAGAAATAGTAGGCTAAAAAGCAGGGGGAGGGCGGTATGATTTTGTGGCTTTCTGGGGGGGGGGGGATTCTGTAATGCACTGGCCATTTCTTCCTTCCCAGGGAGGATTCCAAGGGGAGATTAAAGAAGGACAGGAATAAAGGTAGAGCTTTTAGGGTTGACCTTTTGCCATTGTGCTCCCAGCACATGATCTAAGGCAGGGGTCAGCAACCTTTTTCAGCCGTGGGCCGGTCCACCGCCCCTCAGACCATGTGGTGGGCCAGCCTATATTTTGAAGAAGAATAAAATGAACGAATCCCTATGCCCCACAAATAACCCCGAGATGCATTTTAAATAAAAGCATACATTCTACTCATGTAAAAACAAGCTGATTCCCGGACCATCCACGGGCCGGATTCAGACGGCGACTGGGCCGGATCCAGCCCCGGGCCTTAGTTTGCCTACACATGATGCAAATCAGTACAGGTAATGCTGACATAGCTGTCAACTTTTAAGGGAAATTCCCTTATTCCGAATAGGATTCCTCACAAGAAAAGGGGAAAGTTGACAGCTATGAATGCTGAGCAGCATTACAATGGCAGGCCTTGCCCCCCCCCCCCACACACACTCCCAAACATAGGCATACCTTGGAATTCCAACTGAATCCGTTCCAGAAGTCCGTTCGACTTCCAAAACGTTTGGAAACCAAAGCACAGCTTCTGACTGGCTGCAGGAAACTCCTGTAGCCAATCGGAAGCTGCAGAAGCCCCTTCGGATGTTTGGCTTCCAAAAATAGTTTGCAAACCGGCTCCCGGGCCTTAGGTCCCCCCCCCCCGCCCCCCGATCTAAGAGCTGCACCCCGGCATCTTGTTTGATACAGCCACGTGTTCTGCAGTGCTGCTGGCGCACCCCACACCCCCAGTCACAGGCTGAGTCACCCCTGAAAAGACTGTGGCTGTGTGCCATGAGACCTGGACGAGGAGGGGGGGTTGGGGGGGCGGAGAGAGAGAGAGAGAGAGAGCCAGCTCAAGTTCTGTTGTTTGATGGGATTAGAGGACGCTCAAGGACTTGAATAACTGCGATCAGGCTGAGAGGCTTTGCACAACCACCCTTCCCTGCCCAGCACAGACTGGATCCACTCCCTGCCCCCACCCCCCGCCCCCTCCCGCGTGCAGGTTGGAGGCGGGCAGGCAGGTGTGGTACGCCGAGGTACCAATCTCAGTGCTGCTCCTTCCTGGGATCTGAGAGTCACAAAGTCACCCCGTGCCTGGCGACGTTATGATTATCCAGGCTGGAACCGGGGAAATCCAGATTCCAGAGCCTCTGGCGATTGGTAGGAGGAAATGTTCCTTCAAAAGTGTTTCACGTCACCCAGGAGAGATTGGGATCAGTTCTGTGAATGGAAAGGGGGGGGGGGAGAGAGAACCGAGAAAAAGAGAGGCAAGGCCCAAGGTCAATCAGGCAGGGTGAACATGACGGCACCCACATCTATTTTTTTATATATATAATTTTTTTACTAGTTTTCAACATAGCATTTTCAACAATAATTAAACGTACTTTAACATCTTACACATTTTTTTTTTTTACTTCCATCAATCACATCTGAAAATTTTCCAATCTATTTACTTGAATTACATTTCTTATTTTCACTGCTGTTGTTGTTTAGACGTGTCGGACTCTTCATGACCCCATGGACCAGAGCACGCCAGGCACTCCTGTCTTCCACTGCCTCCCACAGTTTGGTCAAACTCATGCTGCTAGCTTTGAGAACACTGTCCAACCATCTTGTCCTCTGTCGTCCCTTCTCCTTGTGCCCTCAATCTTTCCCAACACCAGGGTCTTTTCCAGGGAGTCTTCTCTTCTCATGAAGTGGCCAAAGTATTGGAGCCTCAGCTTCAGGATCTGTCCTTCCAGTGAGCACTCAGGGCTGATTTCCTTAAGAATGGAGAGGTTTGATCTTCTTGCAGCCCATGGGACTCTCAAGAGTCTCCTCCAGCACCATAATTCAAAAGCATCAATTCTTTGGCGATCATTCTTCTTTATGGTCCAGCTCTCACTTCCATACATCACTACTGGGAAAACCATAGCTTTAACTATACGGACCTTTGTCGGCAAGTTATTTTCACTATTACATTTAAATCTCAAGACTAATATCTCTCTTCTTTGCAATATTTCATAGACGGCACCCACATCTCAGAGGGCCACTGCTGGGGGAGCAGAGGTGAAAGTGAGGCACAGACATATTTAGGGGTGGCAGTGAAGTAGCATGTGTTTGATGCACCTCACATTCCTTTGCACGTGGTCTGCGAACTGGGGCCCAGCATGCTTTTTCCCACCGCAAGGGAGCCTTGCGTGCCTTTTCCAGATCATGAGGTACAGTTGCTTGAGATAGTCAAATGCCAGGGGCTGGCAGTGAGAACTACATCACCACATTGCAGGAGGACCACAACTTCTTCTCTCAATAGCCACACACTTGGTTTCATCCATAGTTCCTTGTTCCGTTTTTAAAAAAAAAATATTTTATTTATTTTATGTACAATCTTTACAACAGAGGACTTTATAGCCAAAATAAACCAAGATTGAAGCAATAACATGACTCTCCTGTTTTTATTTCTACTAAATTCTTCTCAGATTTCCTTATTTTACTATTCTTTAAGTCTTCTTCTTTTAATTCCTTGTTCTTAACCTCCTAAATTGCATGTTTGTCCTCTACAATTTTCCAATTACTGCCTTATACCTCCCTCCCCCTTTACCCATTACAGTGGTACCTTGGGTTAAGAACTTAATTCATTCTGGAGGTCCATTCTTAACCTGAAACTGTTCTTAACCTGAGGTACCACTTTAGCTAATGGGGCCTCCTGCTGCCGCTGTGCCGCCGGAGCACGATTTCTGTTCTTATCCTGAAGCAAAGTTCTTAACCCGAGGTACTATTTCTGGGTTAGCGGAGTCTGTAACCTGAAGCGTCTGTAACCTGAGGTACCACTGTACTTCCCTTCAGCCATGTGCGATCTTCTCTTCATACTGTTATTTCTTGTTGTGTTGATAGCTATGAAGTTTGTTTTTCCATTTGTACTGTAATATTCTCTTGTATCCTTGCGTACTTCATTCTATTGCATGTTAAATTTAAGCTCTGAAACCAAATCTTATCATATATTCCTGTACGCATTCCCATTCTTTGTAAGTTCTGGGCGTCTGCCGTCTCTAAGCACTGCTAGAAGTTCTTTCCTGCTTATTTTTATGCTGCCTTTCTGCAAAAAGATTGAAATGCATGAAGCAAACAAAGTCATAAAAGCATACATACTCCGCGGCAGCCTGCCTTGCCCTGGCTTCTGAAGCATGGGGTTATTTGCAGTAAATGGACCGTAAGAGATTTCTTTTTGAAAAAATGAAGAGCGCTTAATCTTCCAGAATCCAGAGGATCAAGTTGTGTTGCTTGTTGGCAGCAGCTCAGGTACATTCTAAAGACCTTAGATGCAACTACCCAGGACTTTGCTTAGCCCAGGCCGCAAAGCAGAGGAACCCTCTGATATTAAACGGCAATATAGAGGGGGATTGCCCTGGGAAATACACCCAGTTCACAAAGTTTGGCGTTAGTGTCATAGATTAGATCTTAATCTCAAGATTTGCATACAAGTTGGTCACGGAGTTCCAAGTGGGCTATAACATTGAAAGCGACCACTTACCCTTAACTCTGGCTTTTGCAGGTCCGCTCCTCAACAATTCTATCGTAAAACCGCAATATATCCCTAATGCAAATCTTGGCATAGGTAAAGGTAAAGGGACCCCTGACCATTAGGTCCAGTTGTGGCCGACTCTGGGGTTGCGGCGCTCATCTCGTTTTATTGGACGAGGGAGCCGGCGTACAGCTTCCGGGTCATGTGGCCAGCATGACTAAGCCGCTTCTGGCGAACCAGAGCAGCACACGGAAACGCCGTTTACCTTGTCACTGGAGCGGTACCTATTTATCTACTTGCACTTCGTGCTTTCTAATTGCTAGGTTGGCAGGAGCAGGGACAGAGCAACGGGAGCTCATCCCGTCACGGGGATTCGAACCGCTGACCTTCTGATCAGCAAGTCCTAGGCTCTGTGGTTTAACCCACAGCACCATCCACGTCCCTAAAATCTTGGCATATCCACAGCTAAAAGAGTCAAATGGTCCCCCCTACTCAACGCAGCCCTGGCTCACCTTCTTCAAACAGCTGAGCTAAAGGACATCCATACTGTGATTATATCGGCTAACTCCACTGCTGAGGCCATGAAACTATTCAAGACACTCACAGAAAGGCTAAAACTACACTTAACAACCGTGATCCAAAATACTGCCACAAAAAGGTTAACAGAATTTGCCACCTGGTTTGACTCTGAGTGTAGACAGGCAAAGGGACACCTGCAGAGAGCTTACCATAAATATAGGACCTCCTGGTCGTCTCTCTTATTTACTGCATACATTTCTCTTAGACGGAAGTACATTCAATAACTTTTACTATTTGGAAAGGCTGTTATTTGACTGGGGAGAGGAAAGGAATCGAGTACACTCCAGAAATTAATATTTCTTACAAATATTCACTATATTAAACATTCTGTTCAATACCACAGACATAGGCGCAAGTTAGTGACAGAGATTTACCAGGGACAGAAAGCAGGATAAATATAGGCATTTGGAGCATATGCTGACTCCAGGTTCAGAAACTGATTCCTGATCCTCACAGTGCACCCTTTCTAAACAGAAACGGGCAGGAAACCAGTGGCGGGGTCTATCCCCAATTGACTTTTCTACTCTGTTTCTGTATGACTGGTTTCATACCTAGATTGCCGCAGAGGAACAGATCTCTGCCTTCTTTCACGCCCTGTTTTTTTCCCTCCCCCCCCCCCCATCTGCCAAAGACTTCACAAACCAGGAGCTCATCTAGTTGAGCCAATACTTCCCAAATTCAGATCTTTCCCACCCTAGTGGCCTCAAGTGCTCCTGTGAGATTGCTGCTCAGCAATCATCTGAAAGCTGAATTATAAAGGTAAAGGGACCCCTGACCAATAGGTCCAGTCATGACCAACTCTGGGCTTGCGGTGCCCATCTCTCTTTATTGGCCGAGGGAGCCGGCGTACAACTTCCGGGTCATGTGGCCAGCATGACTAAGCCGCTTCTGGCGAACCAGAGCAGCGCACGAAAACGCCGTTTACCTTCCTGCCGGAGCGGTACCTATTTATCTACTTGCACTTTGACGTGCTTTTGAACTGCTAGGTTGGCAGGAGCAGGGACCGAGTAATGGGAGCTCACCCCGTTGTGGGGATTCGAACCGCCAACCTTCTGATTGGCAAGCCCTAGGCTCTATGGTTTAACCCACAGCGCCACCCGGTCCCTTATAAAGCTGAATTATAGGCCCCCATAAAAAACAGAAGCAAAGAAAAATGTGAAGTAAACGGCAGGCTAGCAGCTCTTCACTGATACTAATGGCCACAGAACAACACACAAGGCCTACACAGATATGAAATGCCTTTAGTTCATTGTAAGTAGGAGAGAGTATTCTCTGTGCCTTGAAAGCAAAAAAATAAAAAAAATAAAAAGACTCTGTGCCATGGCACCAGGCACATACTTTAGTCCTGGCAGGTATTATGTATGCAGAGAGCTTCTGAGTTGTCAGGAAACATCCTTTTTATTTAAAAGGATTCCATCGTATATGATTCCACTAATCTACTTTGACACAATATCAGAGCATTGCACCCCATCATCCCTGTTAGATCTCCTAGATCATGTAATGTAACAGGGTGGAGTGGGGTGGAAAGCCAGGTCTTGGGTGGATCTTGAATAATAAGTAGTTGATGAAGAATCCTCCCCTCTCCTACTCCAACACCCTTCCAAGTCAATCAAGAAGAATGTCATCTATTTCTGTCTTGCTAATCGCCAGCCCTGCCTTGCTAGGGCAGTGTTTGGTACACAGTCGTCTTTAGCATCCTAAGCTGATTAATATTCCTTGAAGGAGAGATGGGAAACCTCAGGGAAGAACTATTAGCGGAGAGATGGAACCTCAAAGCACCACTGGTTCCTTAGGCAAATAAAAACAGCATTTTATTGTGTGTGTGTGTGTGTGTGTGTGTGTGTGTATAATTTTTATTAAATTTTCTGTTTTACAATTTAAAACACTCATTTAAACATCTTTAAAATATCAGTGACTTCCCTTCTTCTCTTTCCCTGCTTCATTTTGCATATCATAAAGCCCTGAATATTTTACATAAACTAAACCATTCAGTATTCCATTACAGTGGTACGTCTGGTTAAGAACTTAATTCATTCTGGAGGTCTGTTCTTAACTTGAAACTGTTCTTAACCTGAAGCACCACTTTAGCTAATGGGGCCTCCTGCTGCCGCTGTGCCAGCGCTGCACGATTTCTGTTCTCATCCTGAAGCAAAGTTCTTAACCCGAGGTAATATTTCTGGGTTAACACAGTCTGTAACCTGAAGCGTATGTAACCCGAGGTACCACTGTATCACATCCATCAAAATTTATTTACACTGTTGAATTTATCTTAATGCTGCCAATGTTTTCAAGTGTACACAATTTCCTCCCCATATATTCAATAAACATTTTCCAATCTTCTCTAAATGTATGTTCTTCTTGTTCTCTTTTTCTATATGTTAAGTCCGCAAGCTGAGCATATTCCATCAGCTTAAGTTGCCATACTTCTTTGGTTGTGACCTCGCTCGTTTTCTGTTTTGGGGCCAAAGTATTGGCATACATAAATAACATTTTAACATACTAACAGAATTTCATTGTCAAGCAATAAGAATTAGCAGCTGGGCACTCAAGTGTTTAATTTGTAAGAACTGCTTTTCTTGCTTCATCTGTGGAATGGAAATTTGAGCAATTGTAAAAGCAGTTTGCAAATTAAGAGCGATAGGTAGGAAGTGGCACATGCATACGATGAATGACATACTTGCTGGCAGTAGGTAATGAAATATGGGGGTGCAAGAAAGTCAGTGGGGTGTGAGGAAGAAGACTCAGCAGCCAATTACAGAAAAGTGAGAGGAAGGAGACTGCGAAAGGCTGGGAAGTAGGAGCACTACATTGGCTTGCCAGCAGGGGGCGCAACAGAACTAACCAGAAATGTTCTTACCCATCCTGCCAAAAGTGACAGCTGTTCAGATCTAACGCACATGTAATGAAGTGTTTTGTTGTGCTGGCTTTTATGGGCTGGGTTCTACCAACCTCGTGGATGACAATTTGCCGGAATACTAGAGAGCATGATACATTGCATTTCCATCTCGTATTTTCTCCAAATACATTGTGGTTTTTAAGATTTTTTACATCAGGAAATGCCTTTTGCCGGATCATGCCCTTGGTTCCTCTAGTTCCTTATTGCCTGCACTGGCCACCTGGCAGCATTCCCCAGGGTGTCTTTATTTTTTTTAAAAAAATATTTATACTTTTCAAGTTTATACATTTCATTAGTTTTACAATCAATTTAACATTTCAAAGTTTGATTTCCTTCCCCCTCTTTCTGCGGTTCCTTAAATTTATTTTTTAATATCTTCTGCATATCCAAATTCATTTAATTTGCTCATTTAATTATCTACTTTAAATATGTACTCTTATTACAATAATCCTGCCAATGTTTTTATCTGTTTGCAATTTATCTGCAAATATTCAATAAACTATTTCCATTCTTTTATAAAATGTTTGTCATCTTGATTTCTTATTCTTCCAGTCAGTTTTGTCATTTCTGCATATTCCATAAGTTTTCACATCCATTCTTCCTTTGCTGGGACTTAGGTAGCTCTGTCCCTATAATTCCCAAAGAAAAGGTTCTGGTTTGTTTTTTTACAAAAGTTATTTTGAATATCCTTTCCAATTCATTGTATATCATTTCCCAGTGAGCTTTAACCTTACTACAAGACCACCACTTATGATAAAATGAACCTTCTTTCTCTTTACATTTCCAACACTTATTTGATTTAGATTTATACATTTTTGCTAGTTTACTAGGTGTTAGATACCAACGATATGTAATTTAAATATAATTTTCTCTTAAACCATAACATGCTGTAAATTTTATAACCATATTCCACAGTCGTTCCCATGCTTCCATGTCTATACTGTGACCGATATGTAATGTATACATTAGCGCATGGGTCAACAAATTAAGGCCCAGGGACTGGATCAGGCCCAATTGCCTTCTGGATCCAGCCCACAAACAGTCTAGGAATCGCCGCATGGATTGGCATGGATCTGATTCTGATCGTTCGGGCTGTGCCATTCCCCCCCCCACACACAAACCACGGCGGCGCTTCCTCCCTCCCTCCTCCTGGCTTCTCCTCGCCCTGCCTAGAGGAGGAAGGGGGCTGGGCTTTGTTGGTGCCAGCAGCAGCAGCGCTCGAGTGGCCGCCATTTAAAGCAGCCCCTCTTCAGAGCCCTTTCGTGCGCCACTCATTGTTTCTCTGCCGCCAGCCCCTGCTGCTCGCAAGACACAAGAGCCGCGGTTAATTGAAAGCCCCTCTCGAGCAACCGCCATTTAAAGCAGCCCCTCTTTGGAGCCCTTTTGTGCGCTGCTCATCATCCCTCATTCATTCTTTCTTTCCAAAATATAGTCCAGCCCCCCACCAAGGTTTGAGGGACAGTAGACCGGCCCCCTGCTGAAAAAATTTGCCGACCCCTGCATTAGCAGCACATAAGCAGCACACAAAACACTACCAAACCATTCTACGTTCTAAATCTCATATTAATACAGTAATCCAAAAATTGAGAGAATAAGGTACAAGATCTACTACAGAAGCCACAAACAGAAAACTGTTCCTTTAGCCAGGCTAAAGATATCCATGAAGATACCCTTGAGTGTAACATCGCCGACACTTCGTTTGATCAAACTTACCTTTGTTGAGATCTACAGGAGCCTGGCTAAAGGAACTTTAAAGACTGAATCTTCCTTTTGGACACAATTTGAATGAGTTTTCTGTTTGTGGCTTCTGTAGTAGATCTTGTACCTTGTCCTCTCAATTTTTGGATTATAAATATGAGATTTAGACCATAGAATGGTTTGGTAGTGTTTTGTGTGCCGCTTATGTGCTGCTTACTCTATACTGGTCTACTACGAGAATTGGCAGCATAGGTTCATTTCTTTAGACCCCTGCATTAGCAGCTTAAAACACAGTGAGGTCATCCCCCCCACATTTATGCTTCAAATCACATTTGCAGCATTGCTGTGCGCACCAGGTGTGTGTGTGTGTGTGTGTGTAAGGATGTCTTCACTTGATGCGTATTACCCAAATTGTTTCCCCACACCTGCACCCCTCCCAACTCCTATTCAAGGAAGCTGTCAACCGCACAAGGGCAGAGGCCGTCTGAAGCGTACATAGCTCAGTTTAACCACAGCTTGCATTTTCAAGTCGGATGAAAGCTAGTTTAAGCGAAAGCGCATCAAACAGGAGCATCATTTCTTGTATCATGGAATTACAGCCTTGGAAGGGACCCAAAGTTACATCTAGTCGAAGCCCCGTAATGCAGGAATCCCTGAAAGATGGCCGTCCAGTGACAGGCAGAGGCGTTTCTCGAGAAACTACTACGGGATACCCTACCTGCCCGCAGACTGTCTCGACAGAGTGGTGCATGTTCTGGTTATCTCCTGCTTGGACTACTGCAATGCACTCTACATGGCACTACCTTTGAAGGTGACCTGGAAACTGCAATTAATCCAGAATGCGGCAGCAAGACAGGTGACTGGGAGTGGCCACCAAGACCACATAACACCGGTCCTGAAAGACCTTCCTTGGCTCCCAGTACATTTCCGAGCACAATTCAAAGTCTTGGTGCTGACCTTTAAAGCCCTAAACGGCCTCGGCCCAGTATACCTGAAGGAGCATCTCCACCCCCATTGTTCAGCCCGGACACTGACGTCCAGCTCCGAGGGCCTTTTGGCAGTTCCCTCACTGCGAGATATGAGGTTACAGGGAACCGGGCAGAGGGTGGCGCCCACCTTGTGGAATGTCCTTCCATCAGATGTCAAGGAAAGAAACAACTATCTGACTTTTAGAAGACATCTGAAGGCAGCCCTGTTTCGGGAAGTTTTTAATGTTTGGAGTTTTATCACTTCTTAAAATTATTATTATTATTATTATTATTATTATTATTATTATTCCGTTGGGAGCCGCCCAGAGTGGCTGGAAAAACCCAGCCAGTTGGGGTGGGGTATAAATAATAATAATAATAATAATAATAATAATAATAATAATAATGGTTGTTGTTGTTAATTATTATTATTATTATTGATTGTGGCTAACGGTCATATGTACTTGTCTTCAAACACCAGTGGTGGGGGCACATTGGGGCTGGAGTAAGCAGTAAGCAGTAATGGATACATAGACTAATTGTCAGGCTGTGTATGAGAGAGAGGGAGAGGGAGAAAAACAGGCAGGTAACTAAACAAGGCAGCCCAGGAATGCTGGTAAATAATTCAGCCAGACAGCTGATAAGGTCTCTGACCCAGGAAGGCGGAGGCGAGGAAGGTTTTCAAGGGCGCCAGGACCCGGAATCACTTTTGCCGGCTGTGGAGAAACTCTCTTCCCTTTGCCCAAGTCCGCCTGCCTCTCAGCTTTCCCTGAACTCAAACCGGCCTGACCAGCTTTCTTCTCCATCTCTGCCTCTGGACACACACGCACACCGGGGATCGAAGCCAAACTGGGCCCTGCCAGGTTGGAGATGTGGAGAGATGCCTCCTCTTTGACTTTGCCGTTCGGGCTATGCAGAGGCATCTCTTTGTGCTTTTGATCTGAGCGGGGCAGAGGGGGGCTTGGAGGGCGCCCTCCCCACCCCGGGCACAAGCTTCACCCCCCCAGCCACAGCCGGAGGTCTCACCTGGAGGACAGGCAGCTCACATTTGGGGCACTGGCTGCTGCAAAGGTAAGCGAAAAGAGCAGAGGGGTAAAAGCAGAGTAGCTGCATTAGGGAGGTAGGATTGTAGACTTGGAAGGGATGCCAGGGGGGTCATCTATTCCAACCCCCCACAATAAAGGAAAGGGCCTACAGTGCCAGTGTTGGCCTGCAGGCTTTGAGAGGGTGGCATAGTGCTGGACAAGGGGAAATGCTTTGACTGAAAGCAAAGCAAAACTCATAATAGCACAATACCGAGATTATTATTATTTTCCTCTTGAATTGGAACAGGGCCAAGGTAGCTCCCTTTTGCCATTTAAGAAATCTGGAAATTGGCCAAAGTGGTTTCTCAGACTGGCACCAATTTGGCTGCTTTTTAAATAGTTCTGCGGAAGAGGGGATTTTGGCAGGTGGTGCTTGCTTATTAGGTAAGGAGCAGAAAAGCTGCATCTGCGGAGACTTCCAAACTCTCGCTTTCCATCACCAGGGTTTCCCAAACATGGATCTCCAGCTGGTTTTGGACTACAATTCCTATCATCCCTGACCACTGGTCCTGCTAACTAGGGAAGATGGAAGTTGTAGTGTAAAAACAGCAGGAGACCCAAGTTTGGGAAACCCTAATCTAGAGGAACACGGTCCCCCCTTCCCCATGCTTGCCAGGCCTACAGAATACTGTTTTGCGGAGGCAAAGGAAATAACAAACTCAGGTATGCAATGTGGGGCAAAGGGAAGGCCCTATAAGTTGCATCAAGATGTTTGCATGTGCAGGTAACTGTGGCTAGGAGCACTTGTGCCCATTTAAACCTCAGGGGCACCAAACCTTTCACCTGTACTTCTATGGGTAAAGGTAAAGGGACCCCTGACCATTAGGTCCAGTTGTGGCCGACTCTGGGGTTGCGGCGCTCATCTCAGTTTATTGGCCGAGGGAGCCGGCGTACAGCTTCCAGGTCATGTGGCCAGCATGACTGAGCCGCTTCTGGCGAACCAGAGCAGCGCACAGAAACGCCTTTTACCTTCCCGCCGGAGCGGTACCTATTTATCTACTTGCACTTTGACGTACTTTCAAACTGCTAGGTTGGCAGGAGCAGGGACTGAGCATCGGGAGCTCAACCCGTCGCGGGGATTTGAACCGCCGACCTTCTGATCGGCAAGTCCTAGGCTCTGTGGTTTAACCCACAGCACCACCCGCGTCCCATCATTTCTATGGGTACTTTACATAATGACAGTAGGTTCCCTCAAGAAGCTGCTGTGCTGAAGGGAAAATCTGAAGGAAAGCACAACAGCCTATAGGACACTGTCCCAATGTGACTGATTAAAAAAAAGGTCTTTGTACCCAGATTTGCAGGAATTTACAGGGAGCATACATAGGATGACTTACTGGGAATGAATTTCCCATTTAAATCCTTTAACCATCATGTCTCATGCACAACTGTGCATGTTAAATAAAAACGTAGCAGAAAAACACGGGGCGACTTTCCTAACCTCAGGATTTGATTGTGGAGGAGGAGCGGAATCTGAACTGCCTACATTAACACCAAGATGTGTGTGTGCTTGATCCAGGTTAACACAGAATATAAAAGTCTGTGACCTTGTGATATATTACATTTTTATGATGCATGTTTGGGAGCAGCTATAGCCTCAGGCTGGCCTTGGATTTACTTGGCTGCGCTTGGGAGAGGCAATTAGTTAGATTTTTGTTTCCAGCCTAATACAAGTGTTCCTTAGCCGTGTTAATTTCTTCCTAGCGCTTTATCTGCACTCTCTGAATTTTTCCAGATAGTAACGCTTCCTTTACATCATGTGATGCGAGAGCAGCAGTGGGTGAGAGAGCTGGCGGGCAGGGAGGGAAATCTCAGCTGCTAGTCCAGATGAGCTGGTAGGATGAGCCCAGGAGGCAAGATGACTGTTGAGGCAAAACAACAGTTGTGTGTCGAGACCCCGCAGTAACCACTTGTTGGGAAATAAACTCACACCAGGACACAGATACGGTATTAAGTTTATGTTATTGGGCAAATTTGTCCACAACTTTATTGAATTACAGAATGTGAGCGGTATTGGCTTAGGCATTGTTTGGACCCGACTATATCTGACTCCTAGGGACGCGGGTGGCGCTGTGGGTTAAACCACAGAGCCTAGGGCTTGCCAATCAGAAGGTCGGCAGTTCAAATCCCTGCGAGCGGGTGAGCTCCTGTTGCTCTGGCCCTGCTCCTGCCAACCTAGCAGTTCGAAAGCACGTCAAAGTGCAAGTAGATAAATAGGTACCGCTCCGGCGGGAAGGTAAATGGCATTTCTGTGTGCTGCTCTGTTTCGCCAGAAGTGGCTTAGTCATACTGGCCACATGACCTGGAAGCTGTACGCCGGCTCCCTCGGCCAATAAAGCGAGATGAGCGCTGCAACCCCAGAGTCAGTCACAACTGGTTCTAATGGTCAGGGGTCCCTTTACCTTATATCTGACTCCTGCCTGCTGCGCAGGTAGTCCGGTAAGAGTAAACCACCGGTAGGGGGAGCCCTGTCGATGCAAACTAACTCAAGCTCCCCCTGGTGTTCCCATCGGGGTCGTGTCAAGGCTCTAGCCCCCAACCAGGCTTCAGACAAGATCACACCCCCAGATTCCTTTAACGGAATACCTTTAAGCATGGAAGGGCAGGTGATGGCCACACCTCACCTCCCCCACACAAGGTCCAACAATGCCTAGCCGCCACAAGAGCCCAAAGGCTCGCCACCAAATACCCTCACATCTGTAACCAATGCCTCAAGCCATCTGCAATATCGGCCAGCCATATATCATTCCCCCAGTCGGAAAGGTGCACGCCATTGTCGCAAAATAAGGCCATCTTGCTGAAAACTATGGAAGGGTGCACGATCACCCGGCCATTCAAAGCAATCACTTTCTGTGAAATGGAAAGATTCAATCGCTTCCGGGCACGGTCTGTTGCGGCTGGGGAATTGCTGCCACGCCAAATGCTGTTCCTCAGAACCTCTTTTGACAGGATGTAGAGATGCAGGGCTTGCTTCAGTGGGTGGTAGGGTCCGGCATTTGCTGAGCCCCCAAGATGACAAAGGGCCCACCTAATAATAATAATAATAATAATAATAATAATAATAATAATTTATTTATACCCCAGCCACTCTGGGTGGCTCCCAACAGAATATTTAAAATGCAATAAAACATCAAACATTAAAAACTTCCCTGAACAGGGCTGCCTTCAGATATCTTCTAAAAGTCAGACAGTTGTTTATTTCCTTGACATCTAACGGGAGGGCGTACCACAGGGCGGGTGCCACCACCGAGAAGGCCCTCTGCCTGGTTCCATCCTCACTTTTCCTAGAGCCACCAGAAAGACAAGATGAGACAATGTTTGATTCACACATCTCACCCCACAGAAGGTGCCGTGCCCAATGGTCCCCCAAACCATGGAGCTGGTACTAAAATCCAGGATATTCAACTGCTTGGGAATTCCTAGAACCCAGCACACTCCAAGCAGAGCTGCCTCACCCATGAGGCAAAGTGAGGCAACCGCCTTGGGTAGCAGAATCCACAAGGGCAGCAAATCTTGATGTAGATCTTTAGTCCCCCACCCTCTTTTTTCTTGATGAAAATCTCCACTCACCCATTCTTCCATGGCAGGGAGAGAGGTGCCATTTTGCCAAAATGTCTTGGGCAAGCCTTGACTTCAGCTATGTCATTGGGAGGTGCTGAGGGTCTCTTGAGCATGCTATGACCCAAGAGCCCACCAATAATAATAATAATAATAATAATAATAATTTATTTATACCCTGCCCATCTGGCTGGGCTTCCCCAGCCACTCTGGGCAGCTCCCAACAGAATATTAAAAACACAATAAAACATCAAACATTAAAAACTTCCCTAAACAGGGCTGCCTTCAGATATCTTCTAAAAATCAGATAGTTGTTTACCGGTATTTCCTGGACATCTGATGGGAGGGCCTTCCACAGGGCGGGCGCCACTACCGAGAAGGCCCTCTGCCTGGTTCCCGGTAACCTCACTTCTCGCAGTGAGCTAAACAAATGGTGATTTCTATTGTTTGAATTGCAGCCTGCACTGTGGCACAAGATGCTGTCAGTGGCGTAGCGTGGGGGGTGCAGGGGGGGCTAGCCGCACCGGGCGCAACATCTGGGGGTTAGGGTTAGGGGGCGCAAATCCACGGGTTAGGGGGCGCAAATCCTCGGGTTAGGGGGCGCAAATTACTTGCCTTGCCCCGGGTGCTGACAACCCACGCTATACCACTGGATGCTGTTGCGTGTAACTGGGCCTCTTGGCATCATGGGAAATGTAGTTTACATGTTGAAAGACACTACAGTGGTGCCTCAGGTTACATATGCTTCAGGTTACATACGCTTCAGGTTACAGACTCCGATAACCCAGAAATAGTGCTTCAGGTTAAGAACTTTGCTTCAGGATGAGAACAGAAATCGTGCTCTGGCGGCACGGCGGCAGCAGGAGGCCCCATTAGCTAAAGTGGTGCTTCAGGTTACGAACAGTTTCAGGTTAAGAACGGACCTCTGGAACGAATTAAGTACTTAACCTGAGGTACCACTGTATATGCCAGCAGCAGCCAGAGTGGCAGCAAAGGAGTCCATTCTTCCCCCCACTCCCTGGCTTGTTCATAAGACCTACAGATGAACAGGATCGGGTCCCTAACCCCCCCCCCCCCAGTGCACAGGTGTCTTATCTGTACCCAATTCAAGATCTGACATGTTATCTAAATCAATTAATTCAAATAGCAGATTATTTACTGATGTAGCTCCACTCAGAAATAACAGGAAGAATGCTTCCTGCGTTAAGTTAGGCAAGGCAGCATCTGGCAATGTTTGTGCCCTAGCACAACATTTTAATACATTTAGATTAATATGTTTATCAATAACTTTGAATTGATAGCAATTAGCTACAGACTGTAGCTCTCTCCCTTTTTTGTATCTGTTTGCCTGTTGACAGGCTTCTGGATGGTGTGCATATGGCAAACACTCAGGAGACCCAGGGTGGATCTGCACACCACATGCTATAAATATGTCAGAAATTAAATCCTTATAACAAAATTAAAAAAAACCACTATGTAAAATTGTTGCATTCAACACACTGTTTTATGACTAACGTAGGAGAGGCCCCAGGTCACAGTTGGGTTTTATCATTACTCTCATAGAATCATAGAGTTGGAAGAGACCACAAGGGCCATCGAGTCCAACCCCCTGCCAAGCAGGAAACACCATCAGAGCACTCCTGACATATGGCTGTCAAGCCTCTGCTTAAAGACCTCCAAAGAAGGAGACTCCACCACACTCCTTGGCAGCAAATTCCACTGTCGAACAGCTCTTACTGTCAGGAAGTTCTTCCTAATGTTTAGGTGGAATCTTCTTTCTTGTAGTTTGGATCCATTGCTCCGTGTCCGCTTCTCTGGAGCAGCTGAAAACAACCTTTCTCCCTCCTCTATGTGACACCCTTTTATATATCTGAACATGGCTATCATATCACCCCTTAACCTCCTCTTCTCCACTGCTTGAACAGTGTGAGATACAGAAGTTTCTGTTTGTGAGAATATGTGTGAGTGAGAGAGATCATAATGATATCAGGGTTCCTGGCTGCGCAGAGAGTCTACAGAAATAGATAGATAGATAGATAGACAGATCGATATAGATAGATAGATATAGACAGACACATATATACAGTTGTACCTTGGTTTTCGAACAGCTTAGTTCTCAAACATTTTGGCTCCTGAACGCCGCAAACACAGAAAGAACTGTTCCGGTTTGCAAACTATTTTTGGAAGAGCCAAACGTCCAATGGGGCTTCCGCGGCTTCCAAAAAGCTGTGCTTTGGTTTCCGAACGTTTTGGAAGTCAAACAGACTTCCGGAACGGATTCCATTCGACTTCCAAGGTATGACTCCGTGTGTGTGTGTGTGTGTGTGTGTGTGTGTGAGAGAGAGAGAGAGAGAGAGAGAGAGAGAGGCAAGGCCTGCCATTGCAATGCTGCTCAGCATTACCTGCACTGATTACATCATGGGTAGGCAAACTAAGGCCCGGGGGCCGGATCTGGCCCAATCGCCTTCTAAATCCGGTCCACGGACGGTCTGGGAATCAGCGTGTTTTTACATGAGTAGAATGTGTCCTTTTATTTAAAATGCATCTCTGGGTTATTTGTGGGGCATAGGAATTCATTCATTCCCCCCCCCCCAAAAAAATATAGTCCGGCCCCCCACAAGGTCTGAGGGACAGTGGACCGGCCCATGGCTGAAAATGTTTGCTAACCCCTGGATTGTATGAACAGGGTCAGTGTCACTGTGTAAAAGATTTCCCCAGCCCTGAATAATGCAACAAGTGCTCTCTGCAACAAGCCTCAGTAGGAGGAAGATCAGCAATACCCGAGATCCCCTTTAAACATTACACAAATGGCATGGCTGCTTGCCACCAGCACATCATGCATCATTATAAAGCTTCCATTCTGTCCTATCATGCTCTTAAGGGCAGTTTGTGCGATTAAATATCGCACCCCATGAGATTTGTTGCCGTGCCTGACCACTTAGGAGGATGGAAACTTTGTGTCACTAGAGCAATGGAGGGAATAACCACAGGAAGATAAATAACCACAGTGTTGCTAAAACCAGGACTGAATTAAACGCTGGAAGCATGGCTGGCCCAGGCATTTTGGTTCCCCCAGTACTTCATTCCATCTGGTAAAAGATGCTGGAGTGCCATTTCCAGAGCCTGCACAGCCTTGTGTGCAACGCAAGATGAGTTTGGATTTGATATCCCACTTTATCACTACCCAAAGGAGTCTCAAAGCGGCCAACAATCTCCTTTCCCTTCCTCCCCCACAACAAACACTCTGTGAGGTGAGTGGGGCTGAGAGACTTCAAAGAAGTGTGACTAGCCCAAGGTCACCCAGCAGCTGCGTGTGGAGGAGCGGGGAAGCGAACCCGGTTCACCAGATTACGAGTCCACCACTCCTAACCACTACACCACACTGGCTCTCTCAACTCTCAACTCAACTCTCTCAACTCAACGCAAGAGTTGTGACTCAGCATCCTTTGTAGTTCAGATGTCCAAGTTAGTCTCAGGACACATTTTTCCTCGCAGTCAGTGCTCTGAGGCATGGAAGTGTTTTTTTAGCAACACAAACCGTTCTCACAGATTATCAGACTCTATAATAAGCTGGGTGCCACATAGCAATGAAGGATTAATGCTTTCAGATCATGTATGATCAGGCATGGTGGCTTACATGTGCAATCCAAAAATGCTTGGAAAACATATAGGCTATTTTTATTATTATTACCCATGAAATGACGAGCGTGCCTTGTCGTGCCTTGATTACAAGTTTGTAGGGCCACCAGGGGCTGGATAAATTTATCTGGGGGAGGTCCCAGTTCCAGCCCAGTTGTCCATTTCTGCTCCATGGTTTTGCAAGAAATCTAGAGGTGCGCCTCTCAGATTGTAGGTTGCAGGTCAATTTAGGACCTTTAAAAACGGTGTCTGTCCAGCTTAGAGGATGGTTTGGGTCGCTTCTGCACTTGGCCAGTCCTTAGTGGGGTGTGTGTGGGAGGTATGGGGGTGAGGTAACCAGGATGGGCTTATCCCTGGTTGGAGGGGCATGCCAAAATCCCAACATCCTAGAAAAATGCAACCTGTGCTTCAGATAGAAGTAGTGCGACTCATGCAACACGTTGGCAATTAATATACACAGAATAATCAATTATACATTCTTTATCAACCTTCTGAGAAAAATACAAAACATTAAACAAAGCCACAGAGACTTGCGAACTACCCAACCTATAATGTCTGGTTTCAAAAGATTTTTCAATTGCTTAACTCAGTCTTTTAGATAAGTTCATGAAGATACCAACAAAAGGTAAAGGGACCTCTGACCATTAGGTCCAGTCGTAGCTGACTCTGGGGTTGCAGAGCTCATCTCGCTTTAATGGCCGAGGGAGCCAGCGTACAGCTTCCGGGTCGTGTGGCCAGCATGACTAAGCCCCTTCTGGTGAACCAGAGCAGCGCATGGAAATGCCATTTACCTTCCCTTTCGAACTGCTAGGTTGGCAGCAGCAGGGACCAAGCAATGGGAGCTCACCCCGTTGCGGGGATTCGAACCGCCAACCTTCTGATCAGCAAGTCCTAGGCTATGTGGTTTAACCCACAGCACCAACCGCGTTCCTAGTGGAGTTGTAGATAGATGTTAATGAAGTTGTAGACTGTTGATAGAAACGTCCCAACATCCAGCTACCAAGTGGAAAAATAATTACGCTAGGCCAGGGAGCCTCCTGGCACGCAGCGTTGCACCTCAGTTGCATCATTCACCCTCTGCTGCTTCTCAGGTATGTCCCAGGCACCCTTCAGTCTGGCCCACCTCCCTCAGTCATGGGCGCCCCCCCCCCACTTCGCCAACATCTATACATATGAGTAGTAAGTCTCTGGACTTCTGACGTCAGACTTCCTGGATCCCAGCCAGGAACAGGATCCGACCATTAGTCCCTTTTGTCCTAGCAAACAACTGTTAGCTCAGTTCCTTATTGGAAGGCTCTCAGCAAAGTGCTGACCTGCAGGACTCCACAAAAAAGGAATTAATAAGCAACCCTGTATTATTAAATCATCTATTCCCATCTAATTAATCATTTATTTGTCCAGCAAAAAGAAAGCTGGCTATATAACAGTGTTTCCTAAACTTCTGGTAGCTAGGGCACTTTTTTTCTTTGAATCAAAGCGGGGGGCCACTTCTTCACTTTTGCACCCAAAATGACTTATTAACAGAGTGTGAATTAGCTGCCTTCAGAGGAGCCCACCGCTGTGTTTCTGCATGAGTCACTGTTCTGAGTGAGGCTTCTTTTTGGAGCTAGGCAAGCTCAAAGCAGTCATCGGTCTATTCTGTCTCAGCTAGAATGGGCTTTTTAAAAACCTGGAGTTTTTTGGTTGTTGCTCTGATCACTGCATTTTTGCATTTCTGCACTGTACATTGTGATGCTGCTACTTTAGCACCTAGAGTGTCTTTCAATGGGCTGCCATGCAAATTTAATTCAATACTAAAGGTAAAGGGAACCCTGACCATTAGGTCCAGTCATGACCGACTCTGGGGCTGCGGCACTCATCTCTCTTTACTGGCCGAGGGAGCCGGCGTACAGCTTCCAGGTCATGTGGCCAGCATGACGAAGCTGCTTCTGGCGAACCAGAGCAGCGCACGGAAACACCGTTTACCTTCCTGCTGGAGTGGTACCTATTGCACTTTGATGTGCTTTCGAACTGCTAGGTTGGCAGGAGCTGGGCCCGAGCAATGGGAGCTCACCCCGTCGTGGGGATTCGAACCGCCGACCTTCTGAGCCGTCCATTTCTCAGAAGAAATTAGGGACGTCCCATTCCATAATGATAATTTTACTGTTTATACCCCACACATCTTACTGGCTTGCCCCAGCAATTCTGGGCAGCTTCCAACATATATAAAAACATAATAATACATTTAGCATTTTAAAAAAATCTTCCCTGTACAGGATTGCCCTCGGACGGCTCGGGGGTCGGATAACTCCATGCCCTCCACATTTCTCCAATGAAAATAGGAACGTTCCGGGATCAAAGCAGAAACCAGGATGGCTTCTCTAAAGCAGGGACATCCCTGGAAAATAGGGACATTTGGATGGTCCGGAGGTCAGGGATTGCCCATGAGGAAGCTCATTATAGCTTGGCTCAGCACAGGTCATTTGGTTTAACCTAATAGGTATTGTTATGAATGTGGGTGGTCAGTCTGGATGAAATTATTATTATATTATTCTTATTATCAGTGCATTCCCTCCGCCCCAAAATGAGGGGTCCTCTCATTTTGACTCAAGAAAATCATGTTATAGTTCAAATTGGGAAAAATAAATACAGTCATACCTCGGGTTGAATGTGCTTCAGGTTGAGCGCTTTTGAGTTGAGCTCTGTGGCAACCCAGAAGTAACGGAGCGCATTACTTCCAGGTTTCGCCGCTCGCGCATGCGCAGACGCTCAAAAATGATGTCACACGCATGCGCGGAAGTGGCAAAATGCGACCCACGCACGCGCAGACACTCTATCGTGTCTTACGTTCTGCTCAGGATGCAAACGGGGCTCCCGAGGTACCACTGTACAGTAAATGGACAAAAGGCCGCCATCAAGGGTAGCAACGGAACTGACGATTCACCATGGTAAAGAAGAAACTAAAAATTATAAAAATTTAAGTTTCTTCTCCCATTAGATTCACAAAATGTTTAGGGGGTATGCATACCCCTGCATCCCCCAGAAAAAAGCACTGATGATGATGATGATGATGATGATGATGATGATTATTATTATGCATGTAACGCCCTTCATCCAACGATCACAGGAAGTTTATGGTATAAAAACATAGAAACACATAACATAAAAACAAATGAAACAATCATCCCCCTCACTTTAAAAGGCCACGGATTCTGTAATTAGCCCAAGGCCTGGAAGAAGAGGAATGTTCTTACTGGGCATCTAAAGATCTGCCGTGAAGGTGCCAGGTGAGCCTTCGTGGGGAGTGCATTCCAAAAATGGGGAGCCACTGCAGAAAAGGCCTGTTCTGATGTACCATATATTTTGCTCTAGGAGGCCTAGTTTGGTCAGAATCGAGTATACACTTCCCAAGTTAAAGCTAAATACATCACATCTGCTAAATGAGCCACCATAGCTGATGGAGGGCTGCGGAAATTTGTGTCCCAGGCTTTTTAGACTCATCTACCCATGTGGGACAAGTTGTGGTGCGGGTGGCACTGTGGTCTAAACCACAGAACCTAAGGCTTGCCTATCAGAAGGTTGGCGGTTCAAATCCCCATGACAGAGTGAGCTCCCATTGCTCGGTCCCTGCTCCTGCCCACCTAGCAGTTCGAAAGCACGTCAAAGTGCAAGTAGATAAATAGGTACCGCTCTGGCGGGAAGGTAAACAGTGTTTCTGTGTGCTGCTCTGTTTTGCCAGAAGCGGCTTAGTCATGCTGCCCACATGACCTGGAAGCTGTCTGCGGACAAACGCTGGCTCCCTCGGCCAGTAAAGCGAGATGAGCGCCGCAATGCCAGCGTCATCCGCGACTGGACGTAACGGTCAGGGGTCCCTTTACCTTTACCTTTAACCGTGTGCTATCTGAAACCAAAGGGGCGCATGGGTTGCCAGAGGCGACGCATATTGTATGCGGGTGGCGCTGTGGTCTAAACCATTCATCCTCTTGGGCTTGCTGATCGGAAGGTCGGTGGTTCAAATCCCCATGATGGGGTGAGCTCCCGTTGCTCTGTGCCAGCTCCTGCCAACCTAGCAGTTCGAAAGCACGCCAGTGCAAGTAGAGAAATAGGTACTGCTTTGGCGGGAAGGTAAATTGCGTTTCCGTGCACTCTGACATCCATCACAGTGCTCTGTTGCGCCAGAAGCAGTTTAGTCCTGCTGGCCACATGACCCGGAAAGCTGTCTGCGGACAAACGCCTGCTCCCTTGGTCTGAAAGCGAGCGTCGCAACCCCATAGTCGCCCTTGACTGAACTTAACCATCCAGGGGTCCTTTACCTTTATCTTTTTATATTGGCATTACAGTCAGCTCTCCTCCCCCCCATTGTTATGTACTTAAGTGTGATTGACAATTACAATGTGCTGTATTAGGTGTGTCCTTAAAAGACTGCTTTGAAGCTGTAGCTAGCGCACGTCGTGGCTGCCCACTTCCTTTTGCTTGCGAGTATGAAATGAACATGCCGCCACCGGCTGCTTCTTAGCTTCCGGGCCTAGTTCAAAGCACCGGCGGTTAGCCTTAAAGACCTTTACAGCCTGCGTATGTTGTACCAGAGGCTGCCTTATCACTTATAAACTCTTTAGGGGAGGTGAAATCCTGCCCAAGATTCTGTCTCCTGCCAACACATGGAGCAGGGCTGCGGAGGCAGTGCAAGACCGTGACTCACTTCCTAAGGTGTCCCGACAGAGTTGGACTTGCATCTTCTTTCCAAGGCTTTCCTGTGCAGGTGCGTGTTGTATCTTTAGGGTATTATCATCCATAATCCATGTTAATATGCTTGCAGGTTTGATCCCTGTATGGGCCAGCTGAGTGTTCCCTCATTGCAGAGGGTCAGAACAGATGATCCTCAGGATCAGTGCTTTATTTTTTAAAAAAATGTTTAGGGGTACTCTCATTTTGACTCGAGAAAATCACCATTTTATAGTTCGAATCGGGGGAAATAAATACAGTAAAGGGACAAAAGGCCGCCATCAGGGGTAGCAATGCAACTGACAATTCACCTTGCTAGGGAAGAAACTAAAAAAATTATTCTTTTTAAGATTTTTCTCCCGTTAGATTCACAAAATGTTTAGGGGTATGTGTACCCCTGCACTCTCCCCCCATGAAAAAAAGCAGTGCTCAGGATCCCTCCCAGTTCTGTGATTCGATGTAGCAATGGCATAGTTTCGTTTGTATCTAGGTATGATTTTATCCAGTGCTTTTTTTTTTCTTAAAAAAAATGTTTAGGGGTACTCTCCTTTTAACTCAAGAAAATCACCATTTTGTAGTTCAAATCGGGGGAAATAAATACAGTAAATGGGCAAAACTACAAAGATGCACAAAATGTTTAGGGGCATGCATATCCCTGCGTCCCCCCCAGAAAAAAAGCACTGATTTTATCAAGAAATGCTAAGCTGCTTTGAAGTCGAATGTGGGGCAAATGACCGGGTGTCACTGACCCCTGTCCCCTTGTGTCTCTACATGTGGGAAGGTGTGTCACAATAATTCATTGCATTAGGATTTCCACACCTCCAGCTCCCTGCAGGTAGCAGGCAGTGAAGTGTAAGGGGGGGGCGGGTTGCCAAGAAGGGGAGGACACAGAAATGCCTTCACAGCTAGCACCATTTTAATAGATTTCTAGCCCGCCTCTGAAGGTGTATGTTCTCCCAAGCCAGATTACAACAGATCAATACAAGTCGACGTTAAAAGCCTAAAATTTAAAATGGGATTTTCTAAAATAACCTAACATTAAAATAGCAGTGCATAAAACAGTCATTAAATATCACAACCATTAAATCATCCAAATGTAAACCAGAAAGAATAAGTATTTAAGGCTTTTCTAAGGCCGACAGAAGGACGCGGGTGGCACTGTGGGTTAAACCACAGAGCCTAGGACTTGCCGATCAGAAGGCTGGAGGTTCGAATCCCCGTGACGGGGTGAGCTCCCGTTGCTCGGTCCCAGCTCCTGCCCACCTAGCAGTTCGAAAGCACGTCAAAGTGCAAGTAGATAAATAGGTACCACTCCGGCGGGAAGGTAAATGGCGTTTCCGTGCACTGCACTGGTTTGCCAGAAGTGGCTTTGTCATGCTGGCCACATGACCTGGAAGCTGTACGCCAGCTCCCTCGGCCAATAAAGCGAGATGAGAGCCGCAACCCCAGAGTCGGTTACGACTAGACCTAATGGTCAGGGGTCCCTTTACCTTTTTAAGGTCAACAGAGCATGGGGTGTGTGTGTGGAGAGGGAGAAGTCATACGAATTTCCCTCGGGAGGGCATTTCAGAGATAAGGGGCCCAATTCAGAGGAGGCCCTGTGATGCAATGATGTTGTGCCAGCCATTGGTGTATTTTAAAAAATGTTATCAGGGAGGCATGGGTGCAGGGAGAGGCACAGTTTGGCAGTGCGCATGTGCTCCCCGTTATGCATAACTGGGTGTGAATTTTGCAAACTGGGCACTCAGGTAGACTGTAAGTGTTAAATCTGAATTCGTAGAGCTGTATTGTGCAATGGTAATGATGAGATTCTTAAGAGAAGCAGTATGGTAAACCAGTCAGAGCAGGGGTAGCCAACATGGTGCCCTCCAGAGTCCAGACATGGCTAGAATCCAGCTTCCACCAGCACCATGTACCTGTTGGTTGGGGTGATAGGAACTGTAGTCCAACAATAATCTGGAGAGCACCAGGTTTAAACTTCCACTCAGCCAAAGAGCAAACTCATTACTGTGGTACCGCGATTTACAAACAGTCCTGTTTACGAACTATTCGGTTTACGAACTCCGCAAAACCGGAAGTAGTGTCCCAGTTTGTGAACTTTACCTCAGTCTACGAACGGAAGCTGAACGGTGGAAGGGCACCAATGGCGGGAGGCCTCATTAGGGAAGCGCACTTCATTTTAAGAACGGTTTCAGTTTAAGAACGGACTTCAGGAATGGATTAAGTTCGTAAACCGAGGTAGCACTGTATCTGTCACCATTAGCCTACCTCAGAGGAGTGTTTTGAAGATAAAATGGATGGCTGGAGAACATGGATGCTGCCTTGAACTTCTTTGGGGAAAGGGGGGGGGCAGATAGACAGACAGACAGGCAAAATTGAAAAGAAAAACTGGATGTATGTTTCCAAAATATAAGATAAAAAACAAATTAAGTAAAACCTACATACAGCAACAGTGTTTTGTGTTGTGTAGACTCCTATGATGTAAGTCATGGGCCCCGCCTGCTAGCCTGCTCCCTAAAATATCACTGGTTTGCTCATTTCTATATACAGTGGTACCTCGGGTTACATACGCTTCAGGTTACATACGCTTCAGGTTACAGACTCCGCTAACCCAGAAATAGTGCTTCAGGTTAAGAACTTTGCCCCAGGATGAGAACAGAAATCGTGCTCCGGTGGTGCGGCAGCAGCAGGAGGCCCCATTAGCTAAAGTGGTGCTTCAGGTTAAGAACAGTTTCAGGTTAAGTACGGACCTCCAGAACGAATTACCGGTAAGTACTTAACCCGAGGTACCACTGTATAGGGTGCCTACATTCTGCATGGACTGGTTTGCATGGCATCATGTGCAAATGGCTTTAGATACCTATTAGGTCCATAAGTTACCATATAGCATATATTCAACACAAAAAACAGCGACAGTTTGTTGTTGACAAAGGATAACTGGACATATAAAGGGCCCCATTACCTTCAGTAGCTTAGGGCCTCATCAAACCTAAATCCGGCCCTGAAGGCATCCTAACTTGAACTGGGAGTACACCCCTTGACCATGCAAGGTAATGCAGAGCCTGCGTCTATGGTTGAGCCGAGCCGGCTTGAGGGTTTGCTGACTTGGAAGGCCCTGGAGCCCCCAAACACAGCTCGGTCAAGCTGCGGCCCCATAACTTTTCTACTAGTTTGGAGGCCTGATGAGAGGCATCAGGCAGAAAATGGCAGCTGTCTTCATTGGCTGCCTTGCCACCCTCCTACATAGTGACCTTTGGAGCTGCTGCTGGGAAACGCAAGCCGCCCCCTTTCTCCTGAAGGGGCACTTTGTGACGTTTGTGCGGTTTGCAATATTAACCAGGTAGCCTCAGGAGGCCCCTGAAAGCCAGGCAGCAGCTTCTGAGCAGAGCTGGCCTCTCCCAGATGGTGTCCAGTGAGAGGTTAATGGGGTGAGTTAACCTGGGTGAATGTACTTGTGCAGCCAGGCTAAGCTCTGTGCAAGTCCATAGGATTAGGCAATCCATTCGCTTTATAAATGGGCATTAGCTCAGGGTCACCAAGAGAGAAAGATGCTGATGCGACAAGTCCTTGGTGATGGAGCTGCAGCACTTTTTACTGGGAGCACACCCATGGGATCATGGGCACAAATACTTCCCTCCCCCAGTACCCCTCCCCATGCAGAATCAGATGCTCATTGAATACCCACGAACAGCATGAAACTCACTGTGAGATAATAATTAATAATAATAATAATAATAATAATAATAATAAAAAATTATTTACACCCCGCCCATCTGGCCGGGCCTCCCCAGCCACTCTGGGCGGCTTCCAACAAAACACTAAAATACAATAACCTATTAAACATTAAAAGCTTCCCTAAACAGGGCTGCCTTCAGATGTCTTCTAAAAGTTTGGTAGTTATTTTTCTCTTTGACATCTGGTGGGAGGGCGTTCCACAGGGCGGGTGCCACTACCGAGAAGACCCTCTGCCTGGTTCCCTGTAACTTGGCTTCTCGCAGTGAGGGAACCGCCAGAAGGCCCTTGGCGCTGGACCTCAGCGTCCGGGCAGAACGATGGGGGTGGAGACGCTCCTTCAGGTATACTGGACCGAGGCCGTTTAGGGCTTTAAAGGTCAGCACCAACACTTTGAATTGTGCTCGGAAATGTACTGGGAGCCAGTGTAGGTCTTTCAAGACTGGTGTTATGTGGTCTCGGCGGCCGCTCCCAGTCACCAGTCTAGCTGCCACATTCTGGATTAGTTGTAGTTTTTGGGTCACCTTCAAAGGTAGCCCCACATAGAGCGCATTGCAGTTGTCCAAGCGGGAGATAACTAGAGCATGCACCACTCTGGCAAGACAGTCCGCGGGCAGATAGGGTCTCAGCCTGCGTACCAGATGGAGCTGGTGAGAGCAGTGTATAACCAACCGGGCATCGTGGAACATTATTTGTATTTATGTGTGCTGCTCCCCTAGCGCGTAAGAAAACCTCTCTGTGTGTGGCTTGGGGGCACACACTCATTCTCTCATTTTCCCTGCCTGAAACGGGCCATTTGTACCAATGGACGTCAATTGTGGCACAACAGCATAATTTGTGTCCTCACTTCCTGGATGCACATTTACCTTTCTGAACATTGCCTGTGTGTGTGAGCATCAACAATCTCTTCCTCTCATTACAATCTCGCACAGGGAGATCTTCCAAGAGGGCTGTGTGCCCCTTTGGAATAAGATCTTCCTGCTTCTTCCCACTCTTACTACCGGTTATGTATTCAGTGGTTTGTGTTTGTCTGAGCTTGAGTCTGGACTCAGGATTCTGAGCTCCTGTGCTCTGATTCGATACATGATGTCCAGTCACAGAACATTTCAGCATTTGGGCCTCTGCCATTGGCCCTTGAACTCTGAGTTGTGATTCGCAGTTTGGAAGTTTAGAGAGCCAATCATGTTGGGAGTGGGAGTGGCCCAGGCTTTCAGGAATGTATATAAGCGGTTGCTTTGCCCCTGTTTCCCAGTTATGTAGTTTAATAAAGGTTCTTGCTGTTATCACTGTTATCACTTCACTACCTATAAACTTACACTTCACTACCCAAATCTAAGGTGGGCTGCCTTAGGATAAGTCTTGCACTGCGCATGTATGTCTAAACCATACGTTTTCCCAGCCAAATGTCTCCCAAGAGAGAAGGATGTCAACAACAAGAAGAAATTGGCAATCCATTAAGGATTGGGTGGGTAAAGATATTATGCATAAAAACAAGCCTCTTTCAGTGTTTCACAAATGATACAAGGTTAGATGCACATATTTTGTTCTTGGTTATTTGTACAGTCTTGAATACATGTACTCTTCACTTCTGAGCAGTGACAAGTTCCAGGGATAGTGCTACATGGTGTCCTTGTAGTGTTTGCTTTACTTATAAGCAAGCAGAGCAGAGCAATTTGGAAGGAAACAGCTCTCTCCCCACAGCTGGCAGCAGCTGACACATCCCAAACTCTAAACAGGTATCTCATTCCAATGGCTGAAAAGGAATCCTCAGCTATCAGGAGAACAGTTCCTATAATTAGCTGTGTTTGAAGATGCATCCACTAATTGTCCTGGATAATTAGCCAGTCATCTGCTGAACAACAGATAAGTCACCCAGCATCCATAACAATATTATTAGGGGTTACACCATAGTTCCCTGTTTATGTATCTAGGGATTTGGTCATCAGTAAGCGCGCCGGTTTGGGGGACTCAGAGAATCATTCCCTCTTTTCCAGAATTGAAGGAAGAAGAAGACCAACTTGGGAATCCTCATTCCCTTTTATCTTTCCTGATAGGTTCCAAATCCAATAGCTTCCATTCTCTGGAATTTTCTGCTATCCAGGTTACAAAAGCAGCATCCATACTATTCATTTGTCGCACCACTCCTGTGTGCTTGGTGAAGCAGGACACGGGTATTCTCCTGTCCTGATCAAGGTCTGTCCTCGTTTTGCAAACAAAAGTCATCTTTCTAACAGGGCTTTCAGAACCCAGCAGTCTCTCCCCGCCCCAGTTAAGCTCATGATATTTGTGGGGTCAAGAAGCAAAAGGAATCCAGTCGCTCAGCTTCAGTGGTCCATCTACACCAGGGTGACCAAGACCGTTTCAGTGCCAAAACGGAGCTTGAAACTGAATCGAAAGGGGTCCAGATCCTAGAGGCAACTTTTAAGTTGATTTTCCACCACCTTCTTTCTTTCTTTCTTTTTAAATATTTTATTAAAGTTTTCTTGGTTTTTCCCACCACCTTCTTGAGCTCCTTGCCCCCAAAGTGACATCTGTGAATTGGCTATAGGTTCCTAATTCTCTGGGGTCCAGGCATGGGCGTAGCCAGGATTTTTGATGGGGGGCAGGATTTTGTTTGGGGGTATTTGTATTGATTTTGGGGGCAGCATCCCCCCTGGCTATGCCCATGGGTCCAGGGAAATTATTTAAGGCTGCTGGCACTCTGCCCCTCAAAACGCACACATGCAATGAGGCATTAATTGCTCCCTGGACACTTTAACAGGAGCAAGTGTGGTGTCTAATTCTACACAAATCCAAGCATTTTTCTCCTCAATGCACCTAACGGGTTTGTCACAGCAGGCCTATGGCGGCTTCCACATCACTTCATGCTACCACCACACTGAAAATCTCCTCAGGGTGACTACTTTAGGGTGCAGCTGTGATGCCCAGAAGTGCCAGGTTGGCCCCACGACCATGGGTACCCAGGGCTGTGGGTGCTATGCAGCGTTCATTGCCCTGGCACCGAAATTTGTGGGTGCCTGGCCCCTTCATGGTAAATTTTGTGGGTGCCCTGGCATCCAGGGCCCCAGGAGTTGGCACCTAATAATTCTTTCTTTTTTTGAATTTTTTTTAACTTGATTTTACAAATTCATTCACACTTATAATCACAAATAATAAAATTACACAAGATTCTTCCGAATCTCAAGACTCCCCTCCTCCCCTCCGTGGGTTCTTTAGTTAACTTTTTCAACTGCATATTATAAATCCTCCTAACTTTCAGTCCTCCATTGTATCCCAAGTCTATGTATCATTACAAGAGTTATTTAAGACCTGCCAAAGAGTTCAAGTGTTTATACTGGTTTCTCAAATATACAGTACAGTCATACCTTGGGTTGAAGTAGCTTCAGGATGAATATTTTCGGGTTGCACTCTGCGGCGACCTGGAAGTAACGGAGCGCGTTACTTCCAGGCTTCGCCGCTCGCGCATGTGCAGACGCTCAAATGACATCACGCGCATGCATGGAAGCAGCGAATTGCAACCCGCACATGCGCAGACACACAGACGTGGGTTGCGTTCGCTTCAGGATGCGAATGGGGCTCCGGAACGGATCCCGTTCGCATCCAGAGGTTGTTGCTGTTTAGTCGTTTAGTCATGTCTGACTCTTCGTGACCCCATGGACCAGAGCACACCAGGCACTCCTGTCTTCCACTGCCTCCCGCAGTTTGGTCAAACTCATGTTAGTAGCTTCGAGAACACTGTCCCACCATCTCATCCTCTGTCGTCCCCTTCTCCTTGTGCCCTCCATCTTTCCCAACATCAGGGTCTTTTCCAGGGAGTCTTCTCTTCGCATGAGGTGGCCAAAATATTGGAGTCTCAGCTTCAGGATCTGTCCTTCCAGTGAGCAGTCAGGGCTGATTTCCTGAAGAATGGATAGGTTTGATCTTCTTGCAGTCCATGGGACTCTCAAGAGTCTCCTCCAACACCATAATTCAAAAGCATCAATTCTTCGGCGATCAGCCTTCTTTATGGTCCAGCTCTCACTTCCATACATCGCTACTGGGAATTGCTACATCACTCTGGTATCCAGAGGTACCACTGTAATATAAAATTCTCCCATTCTTTGTTGAAGTTTTGATCCTTCTGGTTTCTGATTTTCCCAGTCATTTTTGCCATCTCTGCATAGTCCAATAGTTAGTCTGCCAGTCCACTTTGGTAGGGACCCTGTCATCTTTCCAGCCTTGGGCAAGCAGCATTCTTGCAGCTGTTGTAGCATACATAAACTTTTCAGTTCTTTCAGTATCTCTGCACCTACAATTCAATCAATCAATCAATCAATTTCTTTATTCGACCGATAGTCAGAATTAAAACATTACACAATAATTATAAACTATAACATCATAAGTTACATAAGGTACATAAGTAAGGTAGAGCCACAGTACTAGATCTCTCACAGATAACCCACGTCAAAGCATTCAATTATACGTTTCCGACACTTGAGTGCCAGGAAAAGAAATTTAGCCACTGACAAGGTTGTTTTCCCAGAAGACTTATTTAGCAGATATGCTGTCTGCTTTCCTCTTTGTCGGGAACTGAGCTGGGGTAAGTATGGAGTTATAAGATACTGTCTTAAATCGTTGTAGAAGGGACAGCTCAATAAAATGTGCTCTGTGGATTCTACCTCACCCAATGCACAGTGGCATAATCTCTGGTCATATGGGACTCCTCCATATCTTCCCTTCAGGACCGCCGAGTCAAGAACATTCAGCCTAGCCGCAGTAAATAGTCTGCGGTATTCCACATAGTGGATATCCGCCAGGTAGCGAGCTGGGGCAGCCCGATACAACTGCTCCCCAGAAACAACCCAGGTTTCACACGGGCTATGTCCTCCTGTCTGGCAATATCCCTTAATCTTTGCGCGATCACCGCCTTTGCGTGGCTATACGTCATGGACTCTATATAAAGGGAGGACAACCCACACTTCTGCACTTCCTCCACTATCTCCCCTTCCCATGGAGATTTAAAGTTATCCCTCAGAATCAAGGGGGCCAAACCCACCGGTCTGAAACAGAGCTTGAGCCATAGCCATAACTTCGCTTTCAGGGCCACATACCTAAAGGCTTGGCAACCGGTTTCCAGCCTCATGATCGCACCTGCCACAGAGGGGGGGATCCTGAGTATGGCCCTGAGGAATTGGGTTTGGATAGATTCCAATTTTTCAAAATCCCTACGTGAGCCCAAGGCAATGCCCACCAGCAGAAGAGGGAGGACTTTCATTTTAAAGAGACGTAAGGCAACATTGACAGTTTGTGCCTGTTTCTTGGAGTACAGGGTTCTAATCATCAGGGCTGCTTTGGATGCGTTCGAGGCTATGTATTCTCTGTGCGCCAGGAAGGACCTATTTGATCTTACAACCTGACCCAGGTACTTGAAGCAACTGACCTGCTCTAAAGGAATACCGTTAATTGACCATAAATTAGGTTTCGGTCGAGCAGCAAAGACCATTATTTTGGTCTTGGCATAATTTAATTGGAGCTCGTGTTGGGTCTCATATTCATGAAGAGCTCTAAGCATCCTCCTTAATCCGATGGGGGAGGTAGCTAATAGGGCGGCATCGTCCGCATACAGTAGGACATTCAAGGCTCGTCCTGCCAGTTTTGGTGGATGGAAATCAGCATTTGCCATATGCACCACTAGCGAATTTATATAGAAGTTAAACAGAGCAGGGGCAAGCAAACAGCCCTGTCTTACCCCCCTAGTGGTGGCAACCGGATTGGAGACTAGCCCCTTACTATCTATCCTAATCCTCAAGAGGGTATTTGTATGCAAATTAATAATCAGCAAGAGAAGGCGGCGGTCGATAGATGTCGCTGCCAATTTTGTCCATAGCTGGTTCCTGGGAATTAGATCAAAGGCCTGCTTAAAGTCTATAAAGGCGACGTGGAGGGCTTTTAGGCCATTGCCAGCGTACTTAGTGGCCAAGTGATTTAGGATTAAGATTTGGTCTGTTGTTGATCTTCCGGGCGGAAACCCGCCTGTTCCTCTGCGATGATATTGTTGCTTTCCATCCAGGTCGTTAATTTGTTAAGTAGAAATCTTGAATAGATCTTCCCGATAACATTTAGCAGGCTAATTGGTCTAAAATTGGCCGGGTCTGTGCGCGGCCCTTTCTTGTGAATTAACACAATCAGTGCAGAGTTCCAGCTTGGAGGAAATTGTGCTGTTTTGTTTATATAAGTAAAAAGAGCTGCTAGGGGTGGACACCACCAATCCTTATTGGCTTTAATAACATCTATGGAAATAAGATCGTCTCCGGGTGCCTTGCCCGCCTCAAATTGGCCTATAAGTGTTTCCACTTCAGAGCAGGTAACAGGATCCCACGCTGGCAAGGGGCCAAATCTAACCTTCCTCCGCTAGCTGCGTGAGCTGCATATAAAACGGAGAAGAAGCTTTCCCAGGTGTCAGCTGAAATTTGGGGTTCTATCCTTGACAACGGTCTACCCAGGTATCTGGAAATTTGGTGCCAAAAGGAGGAGGGATTTCTATTTTCTGCAGCTTTTAGAAGGTTCTTCCAATCATTTCTTTCTGCCGCACGCTTCTTTTCCTTTAATAGTGCTTTATACCTTCTCTTGAGGATCATAAGGTGACTGCTAGGTGCGGAGTCATTTGATGCCCTATATGCCAAGAATTCATTATATAGGTTGTTCTTGAAGTGCCTGCATTCCTCATCAAACCACTTTTTATGAGAGAAATGGTTACTATTCATTACCGGGGTCTTAGCCAGCGAAGGTTTTAGCAGTTCTACTAAATTGTCATATATTGGCAGTGGCTCAACTGCCTGGATAAGAGAGTCCCTTGTCTCTTGCAGTTGGTCAGACCAAAGGAGTTCATTTATCCGTTGAGCCATATTATCGGTCCATTTTAAGGCAGTGGGCCTCATCTGAAGCTGGTTATTTGTAATAGGCACGCAGGAGTAGGTAGCCAATTCTCCATCCAGGGTCAGAGAAAGTTCTAATGGAAAATGGTCACTTTCCAGCCTCGTTACCACCCTAAAGTTGGAAATTTTGGGAATTAGGTCTGCTGATGTCCAAATAAAGTCTATGGTAGAGGCTCGGGAGCCTGACCAGAAAGTAAATTCGGCAGGGTAATCAGAACTGAGAGCTCCGTTTAAAAGGTGAAAATTAAGAGCCATCAAAGTTTGTCTACATTTAAAACCTGCATATGTAGCAACACTGTCTTTAAAATTCCTGGGTAAAAGGTCTGAGGTTAAAATGGGTAGTGAGGGATATTTATTATATTTAGCAAATAATGATTTATCAGAGTGAGACAATCGGCCATTGAAATCTCCTGCACCTACAATTCCTAACAAAAAGGCTTCTGGTTTTTTTTTAAACAAACATTAGAATAGAATAGAATCATAGAATCATAGAGTTGGAAGAGACCACAAGGGCCATCGAGTCCAACCCCCTGCCAAGCAGGAAACACCATCAGAGCACTCCTGACATATGGTTGTCAAGCCTCTGCTTAAAGACCTCCAAAGAAGGAGACTCCACCACACTCCTTGGCAGCAAATTCCACTGTCGAACAGCTCTTACTGTCAGGAAGTTCTTCCTAATGTTTAGGTGGAATCTTCTTTCTTGTAGTTTGGATCCATTGCTCCGTGTCCGCTTCTCTGGAGCAGCAGAAAACAACCTTTCTCCCTCCTCTATGTGACATCCTTTTATATATTTGAACATGGCTATCATATCACCCCTTAACCTCCTCTTCTCCAGGCTAAACATGCCCAGCTCCCTTAGCTGTTCCTCATAAGGCATCGTTTCCAGGCCTTTGACCATTTTGGTTGCCCTCCTCTGGACACGTTCCAGTTTGTCAGTGTCCTTCTTGAACTGTGGTGCCCAGAACTGGACACAGTACTCCAGGTGAGGTCTGACCAGAGCAGAATACAGTGGCACTATTACTTCCCTTGATCTAGATGCTATACTCCTATTGATGCAGCCCAGAACTACATTGGCTTTTTTAGCTGCCGCGTCACACTGTTAGCTCATGTCAAGTTTGTGGTCAACCAAGACTCCTAGATCCTTTTCACATGTACTGCTCTCAAGCCAGGTGTCCCCCATCTTGTATTTGTGCCTCTCATTTTTTTTGCCCACGTGCAATACTTTACATTTCTCCCTGTTAAAATTCATCTTGTTTGTTTTGGCCCAGTTCTCTAATCTGTCAAGGTCGTTTTGAAGTGTGATCCTGTCCTCTGGGGTGTTAGCCACCCCTCCCAGTTTGGTGTCATCTGCAAATTTGATCAGGATGCCCTTGAGTCCATCATCCAAGTCATTGATAAAGATGTTGAATAAGACCGGGCCCAAGACAGAACCCTGTGGCACCCCACTAGTCACTCTTCTCCAGGATGAAGAGGAACCATTGATGAGCACCCTTTGGGTTCGGTCAGTCAGCCAGTTACAAATCCACTGAGTGGTAGCATAGTCAAGACCGCATTTTACCAGCTTCTTTACAAGAATATCATGGGGCACCTTGTCAAATGCCTTGCTGAAATCAAGGTAGGCTACATCCACTGCGTTCCCTTCATCTACCAGGCTTGTAATTCTGTCAAAAAACGAGATCAGGTTAGTCTGACATGACTTATTTTTCAGAAATCCATGCTATTATTTTGAACATTTTTTAAATTCATTGTATATCATTTCCCAGAATCCCTTTATTACTTTACAATTCTACCACATGTGGTAAAAGGTGCACCTAATAATTCCTTGCTGCTGCCCACAGAGTAGGCACATGGTAATGTGCTCTTATGTATGGAAGTGAGAGCTGAGAGCTGGACCATAAAGAAGGCTGATCGCTGAAGAATTGATGCTTTTGAATTATGGTGCTGGAGGAGACTCTGGAGAGTCCCATGGACTGCAAGAAGATCAAACCTATCCATTCTGAAGGAAATCAGCCCTGAGTGCTCACTGGAAGGACAGATCCTGAAGCTGAGGCTCCAATACTTTGGCCACCTCATGAGAAGAGAAGACTCCCTGGAAAAGACCCTGATGTTGGGAAAGATGGAGGGCGCAAGGAGAAGGGGACGACAGAGGATGAGATGGCTGGACAGTGTTCTCAAAGCTACCAGCATGAGTTTGACCAAACTGCAGGAGGCAGTGGAAGACAGGAGTGCCTGGCGTTCTCTGGTCCAGGGGGTCACGAAGAGTCGGACACGACTAAACGACTAAACTACAACAACAACGTGCTCTTGCCCGTGCTCATTCAGACTTGTCTGAGGATCTCAGCACTTGTGCTATTGCTGCCATCGCCTGCAGGCCCTCAAAACACCAGGGAGTTCTGTGGGCCCCACAGTGTCAGGGAGCATGCCTGCTTGGGAGTGATCCTGTTTCATAATGAGACCAGGGCTGTGGCTGAAGCACTGACCATATCGGCTGGAAAATCCCCCAGAGCATTCAGGAATCTGCTAGGTCCCATACATCTTGGTTAAGGGTAGCCAAATGTTGTGCGATTGCCATAAAATTTAGGGAACAAACTGTGCTATCGTAATGAGTAATGCCTTAAATGATAATTTTAGGTTATATGTTAGTGACTTAGTTTTAATTTATATATTCTTTAACTGTTGCTATATCCATAGCTGTCAACTTTTTCCTTTTCTTGTGAGGAATCCTATTTGGAATAAGGGAATTTCCCTTAAAAAAAGGAAAACATTGAAAGCTTTGGCTATATCTGTATTGTCCCTGTTATACCTAACTGCAAATTCAAGTGTATCCCTATTCTGTTTTACGACTTCCTTGATATTGTATGTGGGCTGGAACTGGTCTGTGACCGAAATAATAAAATTCATTCATTCATTCATTCATTCATTCATTCATCTCGGGGGGGGGGGGGGCAGACCATCTCAATGGATCCTCCATCCTAGAGGAGGAGATACTGCCACATCCAGGTGTCTCAGCAGGGATGGATCTGCCCATAGCAACAAACTCCCCGCAATCCCTGCTGCTAACAAGTCCTTCCTTTCCTGCTCTGTTGGGTTGCCTGCATCACCACTAAGCATGTGTGGAATTCTGCATATAACAGCTTTCCATAAGCCACTGCAATGACCTGGAAAAGACACGGTTGTTGTGGCAGGCAGAAGGCTGATTTGCACAGCATTCAGTCAGTCAGTCAATCAATCAATCAATCAATCAATCAATCAATCAATTATTGCCCTTCCTTCTTCCCTGACAGGGACTCAAGGCAGTTTACTGATAAAATAAGAATAATCAGCACATGATTGGCCATTCCTGCACTTTAATACTTTCTGTGGACTTGCCAGTTAAGTGCTGATGTGACTTGGCCCTGAGTACCTTTCAGAAGGGGACGCGAGTGGCGCGGTGGGTTAAACCACAGAGCCTAGGGCTTGCCAATCAGAAGGTCGGCGGTTCAAATCCCCGCGACGGGGTGAGCTCCCGTTGCTCAGTCCCTGCTCCTGCCCACTTAGCAGTTCGAAAGCACATCAAAGTGCAAGTAGATAAATAGGTACAGCTCCGGCGGGAAGATAAACGGCGTTTCATGTGCTGCTCTGGTTCGCCGGAAGCGGCTTAGTCATGCTGGCCACACGACCCGGAAGCTGTACGCCGGCTCCCTCGTCCAATAAAGTGAGATGAGCGCCACAACCCCAGAGTCGTCCGTGACTGGACCTACTGGTCAGGGGTCCCTTTACCTTTCAGATGATGCCACTTTAAAAAGAAAATAAAAGTAGTTTGAAACGTAAAACATCAGTGATATTTTTCAGCTCTCTTAGCTGAACTGTGCCAGGTTATTTGACTTTGCGAATGGCACTGTGGGCAGGTAAAAGGAAGAGACACAACCATGTGCCGAATGATGGAGCAAGCCGGAGAAGAGGTTTTGTGCCTGCAAACCTGCTTTCCCTTTGCCATGCCTGGGCTTGCCGCTGAATGCCATGAATGCAGTGGCCAGATGTCAGGTGGGAGAAGGGGAGAGGGGTCTGCTTGTCTGCAGGGATCAGAGCAAGCAGGAATGCGAGACGGGAGCTGGGGGAGGGGAGGGGGAAGAAGAGGTGAGCGCTGGCATCCAACTGGCATCCAATGTCCTTTGGACACATCCCAAGAGGCTCTGTTTGTCTTTCAGAGGGAAAATGGCAGAGAGCTCCCTGTTTGCGCAACGGCTGCAGGCCATTACTGTAAGTATTCTTCCTCCCCCCCCCCACTACCCCTGCCCCACTTGTGCAGAAATGGGGCTCAGGGTCCTCAGATGAGGTCCAGCCTCTGTTGCCCACAGGAACTGCCCCCCACCCCCGTTCCAAAGCTGAGGGAGAGGGGGAGAGGTGGGTGGGAAGGCAGAGTGCCCAGATCTGCATGCCAGAACTAAGCGATTCTCATAATAATAGTGTAACTAGAGTGGGGGCGATAGGGGCAACTGCACCAGGCACAACCTGGGCAGAAGGCACAGCTGTCAACGTTTCCCTTCTTTAAGGGAAATTCCCTTATTCCAAATTCCTCGCAAGAAAAGGGAACATTGACAGCTATGGCAGAAGGGGTGCAGTGCCTGCTATGTATTCACGACCCTCAAAGCCACATTGCAATATGTAATGCTCTACAGTGGTACCTCGGGTTACATACGCTTCAGATTACAGACTCCGCTAACCCAGAAATAGAGCTTCAGGTTAAGAACTTTGCTTCAGGATGAGAACAGAAATCGGGCTCCGGTGGCGCAGCAGGAGGCCCCATTAGCTAAAGTGGTACTTCAGGTTAAGAACAGTTTCAGGATAAGTACGGACCTCCGGAACGAATTAAGTACTTAACCAGAGGTACCACTGTATTTATCAGTTTGGCATCATTAGGTATTTTTAAAAGGCTGACATGAACTGGCAGGGAGGCTTATTGCGGCAGCTAGGCCAGGCCCAGTGGTGCTTTGTGGGCTGCTCCTTTGCCCTATAGCCTAACAATGGCTGTAGGTTGAAAGCACATGACTTCCCCCAAAGGATCCTGGGAACTGCCGTTTAAGCCCTCAAAGAGCTACCATTCACAGCACCCTTAACAAACTACAGTACCCAGGATCCTTTTGGGGAAGTCATGTGCTTTAAACGTATGGCATGGACACAGTCAAATGCATTCAGCCGTGGGGATGCTGCTGGTTTGAAGGAGAATGTTGGTGGCATGTGGCTGGCCAGCTATTGCTGATGGGATGGCAGATTGTGGGATATAGTTCTAAAAAATTATTTCTGGGCTTTACAGCTTCTCATGACTGGCGGTTAAGGTGCAAGCAGCAGCAGCTGTCTATCTTGAGCAGCCTATTTAAAGCGCACACCACTAAGAATCCTGGGAACTGTAGTTTACCGCTCACAGAGCTATGATTCCCAGCATCCTTAACAAACTACTATTCCCAGGATTCCTTGGGGGTGCTTGCAATGTATGATGTGTGTGCACTATACCTTTAAAGCACATTTGAAGCACATTCCCTCCCCCCTGAAAGAATTATGAGTGCTGTGGTTTCTCAGGGCTGCTGGGAATTGTAGTTTGTGAGGGGCAAACTACCACACTCGGGATTCCTTGAGGCAAAGAAGGCGCTTAGAATGTGCTTTGTGAAATATACTCAGAGTCAAGAGTGGATTTCATGCTCTTTATTCAGCTCATAGTAGTGAGGAGGAATGGAAGTTCCCCCAGAATGTCTGCTTTATATACATTATTTACACAATGGGCCCCACGTGATTGGCTAATTCCGGGATTCTCCTGTAAGCCAATCAGGTCACGGATTCACTTCCACCTGGAGCTGGATTGGGTGGCTCCTGTGGACCAATCAGACTGCTGCATTCTGGAGCCTATTGTTCTAGGACCAATCAGGCTGCTGCATTCTGAATCCTATTGTTCTAGGACCAATCAGGCTGCTGCATTCTGAATCCTATTCAACTCCGTACATAACAGTTTGAATGCATAATGTATACACAGTCTAGTCCCTGCTCTGTAATATAAGGATAACAGCATTGCCCTCCCTGGGTTGATGTGAGGATTTGAGAGGATTCTGTTTTTAATCCCATTTTAAAAAACCTTCCTGCACGCAGGCAGTTCCCCCATTCCACAGGGGCAACCATTTTAGACCCAGCAGCTGTTTACAAACCTATGAGCTGTATTAAAGGCTGCAATTCCGCTTGCACAACAGACTTCTGTGCACACAGTTGCACTATCCTACTCCTGTTGCCTCGAGTCCCTTGTGCACCCTTAATATCAGCTCCCGGGGGTGGGGGACCCCTGGATCAGATTTTGGGGCATGTGGGGACATGGGCATAGCCAGGATTTTTGTTAGCAGGGCAGGTTTTTTATTGGGGGGCAGAACCTCAGTTTGCTATGTATTTTTATTTATTTTTATTGATCGGGGGGCAGCTGCCCCTCCCTGCCCCCCCAGCTACTCCCATGCACAGGGAGAAGAAATTGAATCAGTGTAACTCTGCTTGCACAGTTCTGGATACAAGCCCAAGTTCCCCTGCAGGAAAGGAAGCAGCCAGAGGACCCCCTCCATTTAAAATACGATACGATATCTTTATTGTCATTGTCCCATACAGAACAATGAAATTGAAAAAACTACATAAGACATTCAAAAACCCCTAAAAGCTCTGAAACCCCATTTTAAAATACAGTATACTCCTATTGAGACTCCTTATACTGTGTTTAAAACCAGAATTGCATTTGGGTAGAAACTGTTTCTCAGGTGGCTAGTCCTGGTCTTTATAACCCTGTACCTTCTTCCAGAAGGCAGAAGCTGAAAGAGATCATTTCCGGGGTGCGCACTATCCTGCGCTATCTCTGCAGCTTCCTTATGGCACCTGGCAGCATAGATTTGATCTAAGGTGGGAAGAGTGCTACTGAAAAGATGACTTGCAGGGATGAACTTTTGGGGAGTCTTCCTTCCAGTCTCACACGCGCATTCAACTGGGAGAGGCGCTAGTGAAAAACAGCCCCTCTCAAAATACAGTTTTGTATGGCAACCCGTTTTCTCTAGAAGAAAATAGCACGGCCCAGAAATGTGATGATTTGTCTGTGGAGTAATGCATCCACACATAGGGCAGAGAACTTTGGTTTGAAGTTCTTTGAGAAGAAAGCCATGCACAGTGGTGCCTCGCAAGACGAAAAGAATCCGTTCCGCGAGTCTCTTCGTCTTGCGGTTTTTTCGTCTTGCGAAGCAAGCCCATTAGCGGTTTAGCGGATTAGCGCTATTAGCGGCTTAGCAGGCTTAGCGGATCAGCTGATAAGCGGCTTAGTGGCTTAAGGGATCAGCTGTTAAGCGGCTTAGCGGATCAGCTGATAAGCGGCTTAGTGGCTTAACGGATCAGCTGTTAAGCGGCTTAGCGGATCAGCTGATAAGCGGCTTAGTGGCTTAACGGATCAGCTGTTAAGCGGCTTAGTGGATCAGCTGATAAGCGGCTTAGCGATCAGCTGTTAAGCGGCTTAGCGGCTTAGCGGATCAGCTGATAAGCGGCTTAGCGGCTTGGGAAAAAGGGGGGGGAGGGAAAAAACCCGCAGGAACTCGCAAGACATTTTCGTCTTGCGAAGCAAGCCCATAGGAAATTCGTTTTGCGAAGCACCTCCAAAACGGAAAACCCTTTCGTCTAGCGGGTTTTCCGTCTTGCGAGGCATTTGTCTTACGGGGCACCACTGCATTTTGAAGAAGACTTCTGTTTTAAGTCCAATTTAAAGATAAGGAACCATAAGAAGGGAGATTAGGAGCCTTGAAGTTGTCCATAATAACAGTGAGCAGCAGCCTCAGCGAGCATCTGGCCACAGTCTTTCCCACTATGAAAGATATATTGTATTTCTATTTAAATGGCAGCAGTTGCTTCTGAATTTGCATTGCACATGCAAATTTCATGCAAACTTGATTCTTGATGATACACAAGCGGCAAACCTGGTGTGTGCATATCTCTTCTGCCCAGTGATGTGGCTATTGGAAGTGGCCAGGTCCAGTATACCTGAAGGAGCGTCTCCACCCCCATCGTTCTACCCGGACACTGAGGCCCAGCTCTGAGGGCCTTCTGGTGGTTCCCTCACTGCGAGAAGCCAAGTTACAGGGAACCAGGCAGAGGGCCTTCTCGGTAGTGGCGCCTGCCCTGTGGAACACCCTCCCACCAGATGTCAAAGAGAACAACAACTACCAGAGTTTTAGAAGACATCTGAAGGCAGCCCTGTTTAGGGAAGCTTTTAATATTTAATAGGTTCTTGTATTTTAGTGTTCTGTTGGAAACTGCCCAGAGTGGCTGGGGAAACCCAGCCAGATGGGTGGGGTATAAATAATAAATTTATTATTATTAATATTATTATTATTATTATTATTATTATTATTATTATTTCAGCCCTTGAATATATTCCCAGCGTTTTTGGATTTGGGCTAAATCTGGGCTGCTTCCCCTCCTCCGTGGGAAACACTGAGCAGGCCTGGTGTAACCTGAGCTGCCATTCCTTTGCTCATCCTGCCTTTGAAACAAATGAATTATTCACCAGGCAATAGCTCCAACCTGAACCAAACAGGAGCAGAGGGATCTGGAGGGCTGCCCAGGCTGGAAGAAACAGGGGCCGGGCTGGGGTTGATGCCTGCGATGCAGCCCGGCTGCCCTTGTGTTCAGCCCCACGCACACATCCAGATGGGAGATGTTGTCATGAATGGTGCATGCCAGGAAGCGTAGTAAACATTTATTGTTGCGAGAAGTGTTTCGGCAGCTGAGGGATGTTTCTGTGCAGGGAGAGAATCGGGGCAAAGGGAGATGGAGCTACAAACAGCAGTGAGGAGCCTTCAGTACGTGAATACTGGCAGACGCACCCATGACCTTATGCACGCCACAGGGTGTTTTGAGCACATGCAACACATGCTGGCTTGGTAAACACATTGTAACCTCCGTGTAGGCACACACCCAAACACTGCATCAACATTTGTACCTTTGTACTTGGTGATAGGGTCTAAACCACTGAGCCTATTGGGCTTGCCGATCAGAAGATCGGCGGTTCGAATCCCCACGACGGGGTGAGATCCCGTTGCTCTGTCCCAGCTCCTGCCAACCTAGCAGTTCGAAAGCACATCAAACTGCAAGCAGATAAATAGGTACCGCTCTGGCGGGAAGGTAAACAGCATTTTCGTGTGCTGCTCTGGTTCGCCAGAAGCAGCTTAGTCAAGCTGGCCACATGACCCAAAAAACTTTCTGCGGACAAACGCCAGCTCCTTGGCCTGTAAAGTGAGATGAGCGCCGCAATCCCAGAGTCGTCTGCGACTGGACTTAACTGTCAGGGGTCCTTTACTTTTACCTTTACCTTTTACTTGGTAACAATTCATTAGATGTTATGTCCTCTCTTTTAATTTCATATGCTCAGTCACCAAGGAAGATTAGAGCCCTGATTTCATTCATAATTCCTATTAGTCTCCTAAGGGTTGTTTATGCGTATGGAAGTCTGTTGGCACATACAGATGGTTGTGTGGCATAAATATGTTGATTTTAAATGTCAACACAATAGACTGTAAACTCCAGATTCTGCTGGGCACACCCAGGTTGTATAGACATGGTTGTGTTTGTCCCCAGTGTTCTAATTGAATTATTTGAGATCATTGCAGTCTGGTGCCAAAAAGTAACCATTCTTTAGAAGATGTTTAGACCTACACAGTGTGGATCTGTCATCAACACAGTTAAACCAGTCTGATAATAGCAGCATTATCTGAACCAACGTAGTGCAACCTTCCCCAGCCTAGTGCTTCCTGATGCTTCTGACTATGACTTACATCAGCTGAAAGGTACAAAACATCAGGAAGACTCATGTAAACAAACCACCCATATGTAACTCCAGTGCAAATAGCATTTTGATTTTTTGGTATATTAATTCAAAAGCATTAATGATGAACACTTCTAATGATTTCCCTAAACTCTGAAAAACCACGCTGTTAAAAGAAAACTGATTGAGAGGTAAAACCAGTCTCTTCAAGAGGATTAGCCTCCTTTGATTGATTGTGACACACACACTTTCATGGATCGCAGCCCAAAGACGTGGTCTGTGGACCAGTCGTCCTCACAAGGATATGCCGCCGCCTTTTAGGTGCCACGAGGCTACAGAGTCCAGCCAAAAGGGGAGGGTGGCAGTAAAGTCTCCCTCTTGCTGCACGGAAACCTGCCCCCCTAGGGTCTCTCTCTCTCTTTCTTTCACATCCCCAGGCTCAGACGGGGGGGGGGGGGCATATGGGCCACATTCCCTATGTATTTTTAAAAAGCAGTGTTGTATACAGTGGTACCTCAGGTTACATACGCTTCAGGTTACAGACTCTGCTAACCCAGAAATAGTCGAAGAGTCCCCTTTGTGGTGACTCCAACTTCAGGCAGGTGTCAAGCAGGTGAACCAAAGGCTGACCCATCTTGAGGCTTATTGCCTTACGCTGTTAGCCCAGAAATGGAAGCAAGAAGAAATTCTAACGAAAGAAGAATGGCAGACGAAATTAATGGACTATAGTGGTACCTCGGGTTACATACGCTTCAGGTTACATACGCGTCAGGTTACAGACTCCGCTAACCCAGAAATAGTGCTTCAGGTTAAGAACTTTGCTTCAGGATGAGAACAGAAATCGTGCTCCGTTGGCATGACGGCAGCTAAAGTGGTGCTTCAGGTTAAGAACAGTTTCAGGTTAAGAACGGACCTCTGGAACGAATTAAGTACTTAACCCAAGGTACCACTGTATCTATATTTTCCATTTTTTCTTTATATGCAGATATGGTCCAAGCCTTGAAACAAAATTATTTGTCAGCATAACCTTTGTGAAAATTATTTACATACTTACTTATTTATAGGACTTCAGTTATCCCCAGGGTAAAAAAAAAAAGGGGGGGTACATTATCTACCTAGCCCTGGCCTCTGCCTGGCTCGCAAGACCCTGAACATCCCGGTAGGGTTAAGGGGGCAGGCCCTTTGCAGACAGGTCAGTCTCTCCCCCCCACCACCCCAACCCGCATCCTCCCCCCCCCCAGCTCTTCCAGCCTTTAAAAGGGGGAGGCGCTGGCACAGTTGCAAGGTGGCGTCTGGGTTGGCATAGATGGGTTTTTCCTTAACCGGTGGCGAGAGGGAGACAGAGAGATAGAGAGCAGCGCAGCGCAGGGCGAGACACAAAGGGGTGGCGGCGGGGGTGGGTCTCTTCCCTGCTGCTCCTCTTGCACCCAGGTGATGCTGCTGCTAAAGGCCGAGGAGGGGCGGCCCTGCTGGGCTTAAGTCCTCGGCGCGGTCGGGCAGGCAGGCACGCCGCTTCGCCTGTCTGCCGCCCACGTGGGCTGGCTCGCGCCCTGCCTCCCACCGGCGGCGGCGGCGGCGGCGGGCCCTTTGTCCGCCCCTCTCTCTCTGCCGGGCGGCTCCTGCCTCGCCTCGCCTCGCCTCCCACCCCTTCGGTCCCCTTTTTGCTTTGCTGCAGGAGCGGCGCAGGCTGCAGGAGCGTATCCTGGCCACCCGCCGGGAGCTGGAGGAGGAGAGACTGCGAGCCCAGCGCCTCAAGGTAACGCCCAGGAGAGGGATGCAGGAATGGATGGACCAGAGGGATGGAGGTTGGGATGCGGGAGTGGGGAGATGAAGGAGGTGAAATGATGGCGGGGTGAGGGTGCGGTACCACTGTGGGAGGGACCAGGGGTGGAGGGGGCATGTCAGACCCCAAGATTAAGGTGGTTGGGGGCCCTGTTGTAGTTCCCAAAATAGCACCCCCCCAAAAAATAGAGCCAGAAATAAGATACTACACAAAAAAAAATGTATTGGAGTGTCTTAAAAACTAACTCGTGTATAATGGCACATGCTTTTGTGGACTTCCCCCCCCCCCTTGGTCCACCTTGATAAACAAATAGAAAATACTCTGTGCATGTTCATTTAACTCCCCATTGCTTTTGCTCACTTCCACTTACCAACTCTCAACCTAACCTACCTCACATGGCTGTTGGGAAGATATAGGAGGAGGTATAAAATGGCTGCAAAATGGAACTTAGTGCTTGTATCACAGGCAACAAATGTTGGTTCCTTTAACCCCATTAATGCATCTTTGTTCTATAAAGGATCATATTTTTTTCTGCACACCTCCTAGGGAAAAAAAAATCAGGACAGCTCCAAGGCTTCAACCAATCATAATCTGGCCTGAGAATTGCATGCTTTAGATCCCTAAGTCCCAGCAAAAAACAGCAACAACCTTGCTTCACTTTCCAATGTTCTGCACTAGAAATAAACATGTCTAATCAAATTTATAGCCCACATTTAGCAATGAGCTTCACTGGGCATTCAGACACAGTCACTGGGATATGAGCCATGGGTTTGCTTGCAAGTTTTTCCTGTTTTGGCCTATGTTTTCACAACCTTGTGTGAAAAAGGTGTGCAAGAGGACCACCTATGTGCAGGTGTTCATGCCCCTAGAAGCTGAAAGCTGTGGGAGTCAAGTTCTGACTGTGTGGCCCTTTGTGTTCAAATGCTTGCATGATGCGTGGTGGTTGTGGAGAGAGAGAGAGAGAAACGGTGAGGATTGTGGCTGGAGTACATTTGAACATCCGCACTAGTGGGTGTGTTCAACATCTGCTGTCAACGCCATGTAGCTTCATTATTTATTTATTTAAAAGTATTTCTGAACCGACCTCCATCCTTTACCGTGTACCAGGATGGTATATAAAGAGCATGACCGACAATCCTAGCAAATACAACAATACAATTTTTTAAATAAAAAAAAATCACCACTAAAATACATTTCCAAACAATAAAAGCAGTTGACACACCCGGCACTGAATATGCTGCAAATATCTGGGCATGTAGCCTGGCGTGAAAAGATTGTACTGTCAGTGTTTTGTGTGTGACTGCTTGCCCATATAGACCTATATGTGCATGTGGTTGAACAAAGATGCAATTCTGGGTATGCGCAGGAATGATCTCATGTGTGCCTGTGCATATATGCATGACTGTAAGCCCATTGTCTTGTCTTGATGTGTCCTGACAGCCCACGTGTCTCTGCCGGCGTGAGTGTCCAGCGCAGGATTGCTGACAAATGCATTCTCTGTCTCTCTTCTCAGAGGAAATCCCTGCGTGATCGTTGGCTGATGGAGGGAACATCCTCACCCACAGACGACAATGATCACTTGTCTTCTGTCTGGGAGGCACAGAATCGCATTCAGGAATTAGAGCAAGATCTGTCCAGGTGGGTGTGTCTTAGGTGATGGTGAGGTGGAGGAGCAGCACTGACAATAACACACTCAAAGGGGTTTCATGGTTTTACCCAGCACAGAGAAGCAGCCGCCTCAGTTTCCTCTCCCTTCTCTTGCCCCTCCCTGTGGGGCAAATTTTAGATTGTAAGGCCCTCGGGGCAGAGACCTGTCCTCTTCACTCTCTATAAAGCATCTCACATTCTGTTTTTATTTATAAAAGTGTTTATATGGCCCCCTCTCGTGAAACATTAGGGTGGTGTACAACAGGAACATTTAAAATGAGACAAAGCAATAATAAAAATGACTGGCTACTCAAAGAACGTTTTGGGCAACTACTCAGGCTTTTTTGCATTTTTTAAAAAAATATTCAAGAGATACCTGAAAGTTTAAAAGGACGCTTGCTGAATCTCTGCTGGAAGAGGCAGCGTGGGACTAGCAACGCTTAACTGCCCATCTGCTAGTGGAAGCCAGTCAGGCCGCTGATGGCAATATATACATAAATAGCAACTACAGCCACAATAATGTGCTGTTCCGGCTGAAGCTGCAGATGGAAGCTGATGATGACATCGAGGTCTCTGGAGGACGTGAAGGAGGGATGTTTTGTGGGCACTTTGTGTCCCCCTCATGCCTCTGCATCTTCTTCTTTCCGGAAGAGAAGATGCCTGGAACTAAAAACAACAACAACCAACACTCAGGACAGAGAAGCCTGAAACCACTTCCTGGCCTGAGGGAGCTGGAGGGAAGGAGCTCAACGGAGTGATTAGTCAGCAAGGCTCCTGAGGATTAAATCACCCTCCAGCAGCAGCAGGAGGAGGAGGAGGAGGAGGAGGAGGAGGGCAGGATCCCCCAGGCAGTGCAAAAGTGACAACTCAGCAAGAGGGGTGGAGAGCCTCCAGCAGCCTGGCTGTAAATGTGGGGGTGGGGGTCTTCTCACACCCAGGCGCACAAGCAAGAAGCCAGGATTTGTCTAACCAAAGGATGTCAGAATACAGTACTTGCTCATGAAGGATAGCGCTAAGGTTCAGCTCATAAGGTTACTTAATTCCAAAGGACAGGAGAGCCAATTGTTCCCAGAATAGTGACTGGTGAGTTTAGAATGGGGCTGAAGATCTCCAGCTTAAAACCCCACTCAAAACAATGAAATACATCCGTTGTTCTTGTTGATGTTGTAATTTCTGTCCTGTTGGGTTGCCTAAGGTCCTTCAAAAGCAGATTGCAAAGAGAAAAACACAACACAGTAATAAATCAACACCAAATCAATAAAGCACAAGTTATTTCAAGCCAGTCCATAGCACTCTTAGTATCATGCAGATGCATCTAAAAAGCCAGGTCTTAGCCAGCTGGCTAAAGATCAGACAAGAGCAAGCCAGGCAGGTTTCCAGAATGAGGAGGCAACCACCGAGTAGGTCCTGTCTGTTATAGCTACATGCTATGCTTCCTTTGCCAAACTTCCTCAGAAGGTTTTAAAATTATGGGGGAAGAGGACAATCTTGAAGGTAGATGTGATATGCTTTCTATGGCCAGTTCCAGTCTACCATCGGACTACTGTATTTTAGATTTGCAGATTCCAAAAGCATGTCAGAAGGAGGCCCCACTCATCTAGATGTTACCAAGGCATGTGTTGTGATAATAAAGTGCATCAATTTCCTGTGAACAGAATCCTGGTTCACACATCTCTGTGTCACAATAACCATGTGGATCAGGGGTGGGGAATTTGTGGCCTTCCAGATGTTGTTGAACTCCCAACTCTCATCAGCCCCAGCCAGCAGGACCGATAATGAGTTGTCGTCCAGCTCTGACCGCAGAGCCACATGTTCACCAGCCCTGATGTAGAGATTTGGTCATGGCCACCATTGTTCCCTGTGATTGCTTGCCGATGACATGAACTGTTGTCCTTTAATGGCTGTTCCTCTCTTTCTGAAGCCTCCAGACTCAGATGCAGCAGCTGGATAATCCAGAACTTCACCAGGGACTGCAGCAGCCAGAAGAGCCTGTGAAGGCTTTGAAGGAGGTGAAGGCATTGGATGGCATTGGGAAGGTATGAGTAGTTCCTGATCTCCTGTGTTGTGGCAAATGCAAAACTGCCTATCAAGCACAGAATCTGACATTTTGAGAATTTCAGCATACATTTTTTTAAAACCAAGCTTCTTGCCCTTATCATTGTAGGGAACAGCTTAAATGTGTGGAAATCACCTAATTTGCATGGTACGCTCAGCCAGACCATGGCTCAGTAGGAATGTGCAAGCAGGTGGGGTCCAAGAGAGGGGATTGGGGCCACTTTTACTACTCTTCAGTCATTTTGCTGCTGCTAGAGCTAAGCACTGAGCTAAGCATGGTTTGGCTTTGCATGTTGTCTCAAGCCAGGCTCGAGGCATAGCACTCTCCAGACTAATCATGTAACCAAGGTTTGTCCCATGATTTATGGCTTGTGGTTTGTCTGGGAGAGCTAAGCCATGAGACCAGACCTGGGTGATAAGCTACACCAAAACTAAGGCTTAGCTCAGCTTAGCAGCAGGAGATTCAGGGAAGCGAAAAAGAGACCCCAATCTCCTCTCCAGTGGCCCACATATGCATAGTTTGGCTCAGCAAACGGGCCAACAACAAATGAAATTTCAAAAGCCAGGACTTCATTTATTCAGGCAACAGGACCTAATGATCAATGCTTTGTGCCCTGTTATGTAATTCTTGGATGTTCGCTCCTACAGCCTACCTGCCTCCAGTGTCCATATTCTCCCCCTTTCTATCATCATTTTCTTTTAGAATTTGGATCTTGGAAACAGAGTATTTTCTGCTGTAGTTGCAAAAGCACCTCTGATCCCTCGTTCAGTAGACATCTTTAGGCACCATGTGAAAATGTTCCTCTTCAACCAAGTCTTCAGCTGATTTACATTCTATGTCTTTTAAAATGTGCTGGTGGGGTGGGGTTATTGTTTTGTTTTGTTCTTGTTTTTATTGTGTATTTTGTGTTTTTATGCTGTGAACCGCCCTGAGATCTTGGGATGAAGGGCAGTGCAGTCGTACCTTGGAAGTTGAACGGAATCCGTTCTGGAAGTCCGTTCGATTTCCAAAACGTTCGGAAACCAAAGCGGGGCATCTGATTGGCTGCGGAAGCCCCGCCAGACATTCGGCTTCCCAAAATAGTTCGTAAACCGGAACAGTCACTTCCGGGTTTGCAGTGTTCAGGAACCAAAACGTTTGAGAACTAAGCTACTCGAAAACCAAGATATGACTGTCTACACATAAAAGGTTGTAAATGTTTCACTTTAGATGGAGTTCAAAATTGTGGGTTCATTATCTAGTGAGAAACTGAATTTTCCATATAGAGATGAGGTGTCCTGGTGATATTATTGGGTTAAAAAAAACGAGGAAGGGAAGGAAGGAAGGAAGGGAGGGAGGGAGGGAGGGAGAGAGGGGGAGAGGGAGAGGGAGAGGGAGAGAGAGAGAGAGAGAGAGAGAGAGAGAGAGAGAGAGAAAGAAAGAAAGAAAGAAAGAAAGAAAGAAAGAAAGAAAGAAAATCAGTCACTGGAGCTTACTTTAGGTCAACCTACTCCCGTTGCTCAGTCCCTGCTCCTGCCAACCTAGCAGTTCGAAAGCACGTCAAAGTGCAAGTAGATAAATAGGTACCGCTCTGGTGGGAAGGTAAACGGCGTCTCTGTGCGCTGCTCTGGTTCGCCAGAAGCGGCTTGGTCATGCTGGCCACATGACCCGGAAGCTGTACGCCGGCTCCCTCGGCCAATAAAGCAAGATGAGCACTGCAACTCCAGAGTCGTCCGCGACTGGACCTAATGGTCAGGGGTCCCTTTACCTTTTACATGAGATCAGGTAAGCAATATAGGATGCTGCCTCACAGCAAATCACAACATTGTTTCCAAGATCCTTTAACTGGAGGAGTAAGTGAGCTATGGCTCTTCCCTGAGGGTCTCACCATCACTTCTTCAGGCCTTGGGTTGCACAGCCTGGCTACCCAGTTCTTCCTTTGCCCAAGTCAAGGGTTACTAAGGCTCAAAGGGGGATCCTGATCTGTTATAGAATTGGACCTCATCTCATCCCATTGCCACAAAAGCAGAACCAGGCCCCGTAGACCACGCTATACAATCCAGACCATATTGTGCCACTAGAGAGGTTCTCCCAGAGACTGAGAGATACCTGTATGCACAGTAGCCATAGCTTTCTGACTTTTGCAGCAGTCCCAAAGGAAGGAAGTTCCAATGGATTAAGTGCTCTTGGGCAGACCTGCTTAGGATCACACTGAGCAACAGAGATGGGGAACTTGCAGCTTTCCAGATGTTGCTGTACTACTCTTCCCATCATCCTTGACGATAGACCTTGCTGGCTGGGGCTGATGGGAGTTGGAGTCTCAACAGCATCAGAAAGGCCACAGCAGGTTTCCCACCCCTGATTGAGTGCAAATGTCTCCAGAAGACTCCAGCAACTGAGCCACAATACACATTTTAGAGGAAAGCAAAACATTCTTTCCATTCTGAACCCCGATGTGGATCTCAATCAGACCCTGTGATAATGTCTCTGCACCAATACCCTTAACACCTTCCTTCCTTCCTTCCTTCCTTCCTTCCTTCCTTCCTTCCTTCCTTCCTTCCTTTCAGCTTCCTCTGGTTTATTGTTGATATATGTCTGTTTCTCACACAGATGAGCCACCTCCTCTCAGGATGTGGGCTCAGTTTTGGGGGGGGGGACCCCATTGTTGAATTACGCTCATACACCCACACACAGGCCAGGCCACATGAGGTGTGCGGAAAGAAGAGGGGAAGGGTATCTCTGTGGGAGTGGAAACACTCCTCCCCAAAAAAATAAGTTAGTGGGAGGGGGTGGTGATCAAGGCAGCTATGGTGAATTGGTGGATGTTATTAAAAACTTAAGTCAATTAAATTTCTCTCCCACCCCTCCTCCCCAAGGAGCCTTGAGTGCCATCGTTTTTGTCATCATACATTACAGTGTGAAAGTGGACATTGCCTGTTATTTATTATTTAGTTCATCAGTTTGGAAATGCTTAATCACCATCATCTCTAAACGGAGTGTTAGGGACCCAATACAATAGGCCTAGCAATAAACTGACACTATAAAATCCCAATTCAGTTAAGAAACCTACTGGGATTTTTAAAAAAGTATGTGGTAAGTGTCAGAAGGTCAACAATGGGGGTGGGTTGGGGGCTTTTTGACCTCAGCTGAAAAGGAGTTTCACAGAATTTACCTTGAAGTAAGTTTCATGGAGTTCAGTGGAATCTACTTCCAGGTAATGGCATGCAGTTGCAGCCATAAAGAAGCATGTGCTTTAAATGCTCATTTGTACTTCTTATTTTTTTAATGGAAATATTTTTTAATCATTTTCATTAATTTTCCAATAAAAAACATCCAATTAATATATCCAATCATAATCCAATTAAAATAAAAAACTAAAATAAAAAAGACCAAATTGTAATCCAAATTATAATTGTTGATTTTTCGGGGCTCCCCATAGTCTGGACCTCTGAAGCATATCTCCACATCTCAGTCCTGCCTCTCCTCGTTGTTTCCATATTTTCCACATCCCAATTTTAACGCTTTAAATTTAATGGAAATATTTTTAAAGCAGAAAATTCTTCCAGGGATTGAGGGAAGAGATGCCCTGGTGATGTCACAGGTACTGGCCAATAAGCATTGTGCAAACACTGTATTCTGTCTTAGTCATTGCTTTAACCTGGGAAAGGGCCTTAGCTTAGTGGGAAAACACAAGGTTTGTGTGGAAAAGGTCCCAGGTTCACTTCCTGGCATCTTCAGGTAGAGCTGGGAAAGAAGACTCCTGTCTGAAGCCTTGGGGAGAGGCTGCTAGTCAGTTTGGAGTTTGACAATACTAAGCAGGGCCAGTGGTCTGACTCAGTACAGTGGTCCCTTGGTTTAAGAACAGCCCTGTTTACAAACTATTCGGTTTATGAACTTTACCTCTGTCTAAGAACAGAAGCCAAACAGTGGAAGTGCACCGGCGGTGGGAGGCATCATTAGGGAAAGTGCTTCTCGGTTTAATAATGGTTTCGGTTTAAGAACGGACTTCCGGAACGGATTAAGTTCGTAAACCGAGGTACCACTGTATAAAGCAGATTCCTGTGTTCATACTTTGCAGGATTTTTGTGCAGATAAAATGAGAGAGATCCTTATGGAGGCTCTTCTGAGCTCTTTGGAGGAAAGACAAAGAATCAACATGTTGAATAAATAAGAATTTGAGAATGAGCAAAAGCCACCTCAGTTTAAAAATAAAATAAAATGTTTACTAGTGATCTCTTTGGAGACTGTTGCCATGAAGTTCCTTTCTTTTGCTTTCAGGTTGATGGGACCTCTTCCTCTCCTCCAGAAGGTGAGTCATTCTCTATTTGCCGGGATACCTCTATCACAGTGGGTGCAATTTGCCTGGCAGTTCTTCTGCGCAAGCTTCATTGGAATGAATGGGAATCTCACAACTGGCAGTTGCAATCTTCTGAACTATGCAGGTCAACTGGTTCAGTTCCACCCAGGACCTATGAATTCACATCCCACTGTGCTTTAAGCAACAGCTTTCCACTTCCTCCTCTCTTGTTTTCTGCAGCCCAGTTGGCGGATATAATAAGGCGGAAGGTGGGCCCCCTATTCCCCAAGCGTATTCTGCAATTTAGTTTCCCAGATGTGTGTTGAAAGATCCACACCTGCTGGACGGAAATCTGATCTCCAGCCAGCTATTTGTGTTAAAAGGGCAGGCTCAGAGGACAAAGTAACTTGGAACGAACACAGTTGTGATCCATGTCTGTGTGTCTCTCTGTGTGTGTATTGTTTCTTTATCTATTCAAGATTGTTGGTACAGCCTTGTAGGGCATTCAGATAAAGAAACAGCCCTGGGACGTGTTCCAGCCTGTTCCAAGCTTGTTTCTTCTTTGCCTTCTGTAACCTCAAGTTTGGAAGCCTTGTCATTTAGGCAACCACTAGCCCACCTTTAAAAGGGATGCGGGTGGCCCTGTGGGTTAAACCAGAGCCTAGGACTTGCCGATCAGAAGGTCGGCAGTTCATATCCCCGCGACGGGATGATCTCCTGTTGCTCGATTCCAGCTCCTGCCAACCTAGCAGTTTGAAAGCACGTCAAAGTGCAAGTAGATAAATAGGTACCACTCCAGCGGGAAGGTAAATGGCGTTTCCGTGCACTGCTCTGGTTCGCCAGAAGCGGCTTAGTCCTGCTGGCCACATGACCCGGAAGCTGTACGCCGGCTCCTTCGGCCAATAAAGTGAGATGAGCGCCGCAACTGCTAGGTTGGCAGGAGCAGGGACCGAGCAACGGGAGCTCACCCCGTCGTAGGGATTCGAACCGCCGACCTTCTGATCGGCAAGCCCTAGGCTCTGTGGTTTAACCCACAGCGCCACCCGCGTCCCTTAATATATATATAGTATAATATTAATAGAAAGCACCTGTTACCTCTGCCCACATTATCCACAAGGGTCCAGGCTGAACTGCCAAGACAGAAATACATTTTCCCCTTGACCTGCCACCAGGTGCTGCTGTCTCCTACCCCCACCAGGCTTTGCCCTCTGACCTATGACTCACAAGCTTCACACACCCTTCTCAGAGGACCTGATAACTTCATCTGAATGTGACCATGAATTCCTTGCAGAGAGAAGTGACCCTGAGTCCAGGCTCGAGCTGGCTCCTGTTCCACCCAAGAGGTCTCTGCAAGCAACAGCCCAAGAGAAGCTGCAGAATGGAGATATGCCAGGAGGAGGTGGGTGCTGGAGACTGGCAAGGCCTGCCCTTGAGTAAGCTGGAGAGGGAGCTTTCTTTTAGCCTGAGGGCCACCTTCCGTCCTGCGCAACCTCTCGGGAGCCAAATGCGGGTAGTGGGCAGTTGTTGTTTAGTCGTTTAGTCGTGTCTGACTCTACGTGACCCCGTGGACAAGAGCTCGCCAGGCACTCCTGTCTTCCACTGCCTCCCGCAGTTTGGTCAAACTCATGTTAGTAGCTTCGAGAACACTGTCCAACCATCTCGTCCTCTGTCGTCCCCTTCTCCTTGTGCCCTCCATCTTTCCCAACGTCAGGGTCTTTTCCAGGGAGTCTTCTCTTCTCACAAGGTGGCCAAAGTATTGGAGCCTCAGCTTCAGGATCTGTCCTTCCAGTGAGCACTCGGGGCTGATTTCCTTCAGAATGGAGAGGTTTGATCTTCTTGCAGTCCATGGGACTCTCAAGAGTCTCCTCCAGCACTATAATTCAAAAGCATCAATTCTTTGGCGATCAGCCTTCTTTATAGTCCTTCTCTCACTTCCATACATCACTACTGGGAAAACCATGGCTTTAACTATACAGACCTTTGTTGGCAAGGTGATGGGCAGAGCCAGAGGCAAACCTGGGCCAAGTAACTCATGTAAAGTTTGCCTTGGTGTGCTGAGTTGCCGCACATGCTCAAACACTCCTTTCTGCCCTCCGTGCAGCCAGGAAGAGACATTATCTGAGCGAGGGGTCACCTTCTTGCTGGTCAGAAACGCTCCAGGAGCCTGCGAAGGAAAATCTGTCCTGGGTGTGGCTGGGGAGATGTGGCTTGAGGAGAGTCCCCAGGGCCAGAAAGGGGGGAGGGCTTGGAGGGGTCTATTTGGCCCCTCGGGCTGAGATTTCCCACCGCAGGGGTGAGGGATCAGGCCAGGAGGACCAGAGGCAAACCCTTCGACTCAAGCGTTTGCATTCCAGTGGAGCCTGGGGTGAAGCAAATTTCTGCAAACATGGACTTTGGTATTGAGTGGGAGAGCATTTGGCTGAAATCCTGAAAATCAGAGTTTTCCTTTAAAAAGCAGGTTTGGGGATGCAAATGTTAAGGTTTGAAATGTGTGTGGGGTGGGACCTCTCCATGGAATCACAACAGAAGTCTATATCAATCACTTCATAGCCTCTTGTCTCGCCCCATGACTGGCAAAAGCAGGGTGAATTATGCAAAGTGTGTGTGTCCTTGTTTGTCTACCTCTTTCAAAGTTCATCTCTGGTTTGGTCAATTTAGACTCTGGACAATGGACTCGGCACAAAACCTCTTTATATAAGTAACTGTGTCTTATGGTGGGTCGCTAACCTTTGGCCCTCCAGCCTACAGCTCTTCCTCCTCCTTGACTATTAGTCATGCTGGCTAGGGTTGATGGGAGCTGTAGTTTATTTCATTGAGAATATTGCTTCCTGTCCAGCTTTGCTTCTTTGTGTTACAGTCATACCTCTGGTTACAGCCGCTTCAGGTTGTGTTTTTTTCCAGGTTACGGACCGCCGAAACCCGGAAGTACCGGAACAGGTTACTTCTGGGTTTTGGCGGTCACGCATGCGCAGAAGCACTACGTAAATTGCACTTTGCGCATGCGCAGAAGTGCCGAATCGCAACCTGCACATGCGCAGATGCACAGACGTGGGTTGCGAACGTGCATCCCGCATGGATCATGTTCACATCCTGAGCGTCCACTGTACTGGGGAATCAGAGGACCTGAGTGCCTGAGATAATGTTGTTGCTTTTTCCTCCAAAGGTGTGTTTGGCAGTGAATGCAGTCCTGAGAAGGCAGAAGTCGATGTGACCCCTATGACTGAAGAAGGTGGGGACGTCCAGCCCCCACAGAGAAGTGCTGAAGCTGCTCCGGACGTGAAACTGGCCTGCCAGAGCTTGGGCCTCAGTGAAGCCTCTCCCAACTGCCCAAGAAAGCTGGCAGTGGAGGAGATGGTCATCCGAGACCACTTGGGCCAGGAAGTGGGCAGCATGGATGCTGTTGGGCAGAAGCAGAGCTCCATTGGGAAGGAGGAAGACTTGGAGGGCCACCCTGATTTAGGGAATGAGGGTGAAGAAGGGAGCAAGCCAAACCACCTTTGCAGTGCCTCGAATTCAGTGAAGGCCCCTGGAGCTACAGAAAGCCGGGTGGACAGTGAACTGGGCAGCCGTGACGGTCCAGAGGGAGAGTCTCCCACTTCTTGGGACCATCAGAGTCCCTCTAAGGCACCGCAGGGTGAGAATAGCTGCCTTGATTCTCCCAAGTGGCGGGCAGAGGCAGAGCTGGAGATGGGCTCCCTGGCCAAGGAAGCAGAACTGATGGGAGCTGGGCAGAAGGAGTTCCCAGAACAGGGTGCCAAAGAGGCGAATCCTGCCCAAGGCCTAGCAGTTGGCCATGCGGAGCCAGTGATGGGGGGACAGGAAAATCTAAGCGGAGAGAGCCTGGGGTCATGGCTGGACCAGCCTAAGCTTCCTCTGCTGGACCAGATCTCTGATCTGGAAGAAGCCAAGATGCCACTTCTAGATGAAGTCATGTCATCATCATCACCTCTGGCAGACCAGGTTCCAGTGACTCTTCAGGAGCAGATTCCTCCTCCCCTGCAAGACCAGATTCCATCTTCTTTTCAGGAAACGGAGGGTTCATGCCTAGAGCCTTTGTTACCAAATCAGAGCCTGTCCACTCTTTCGGACCAGACTGCTCCTTTGCAAGAAAGGAAGGAACTGCTTTCAGCCCCAGTTCCACCCCCACAGCAAGAGTCCCTTTTAGATCCAGCCCCACCATCTCTGCAGGACCATCCTTCCTCTTCTCCAAAAGAGAACCCATCCTCTTTGCAGGGTGAGGTCACTTCTCTGCAGGACCAGATCCCATCGCCTCTACGTGAAGCTAATGGGAAACCTCTGGACCAGATCCCAACATCTCTACAAGAACAGAGTGCTGCTCTGCCAGATCAGGTCCTGTCACCTCTACTAGACCAGCTCACATCTCTGCCAGAGCAGATCCCGTCCTCTTTGAATGAAACAGAGAAATCGCTTCAGATATCGACAACTTCACAGGGCCAGGAACTTTCTGGGGTGGAAGCTAAAGGATCCTATCCAGACATAATCCCCTACCAGCTCACTTCTCTGCCTGATCAAATAAATTCCCTTCAAGAAGCAGAGGGGTTGTCCTTGGAAGAGATTCCAGTCATTCTGCAGGATCAAATGCCAACAGCTCCAGAGGCCTGGATCCCTTCTCTGCCAGAGGAAGACATCATTCTTCCAGGCCAGATCCCACTCCCTGTGAATGAAGGTAAGCATTTACTTCCAGGGGAGTCTCCAGCATCTGTACCAGATCCGATCCCACAAGCTCTTCTGGACCAGAACCCAACATTTCTGGAGGGTGCAGCCCCTTCTTCTCTGCAAGAAGCGGGAGGATGCCTTACAGACCAGATGCAGGCATCCCTGCCAAGCCAGACCTCACCTCGTCTCCTTGAAGCTAAAGGGTCACCTCAGGGCCAAGCTCAACCCATGCTAATGGAGCAGGTGCCAATCTCTATGCAGGGCCAGGCAACGTCCCTTCAGGAACCTGAAAAGTCTCTTCCAGAAAAGCTGGAAGAAGTGCCCCTTATGCCAGGCCAAGCCCCATCCCCTAACTCAACGGCTCCAGATGCTTTGCTCTTGTCCAGCCAGGAGATTGGCCAGCCTCTCCTGGACAAGACTGTATCAGTGGGGAACCAGGAGCTGAAAGAAGGTGGAGGTGCCAGCCTGGCCTCAGCAGCAGAAGAGGCTAAGGAAGTCCTGGAAAATCTCCATGCTGAACAGCAACCTCTGCTGCAGGAGGCCTCAGCAGATGCTCTGGACATTTCTGTCGGAGACATGCAGCCCAAGACGGGGATCTTAAAACTCCAGGCAGCCACAAACCAGGAGGCCCCAACCTACACCACCACCTCTGCCAACACTGCCTCCTCATGCCAGCTCCAGCCCATGGCACCCCGGCAAGGGGAAGACCCAGAGCAGGGGCAGAGCAGGCGCAAGCAGAAGTCATGCCAGTGCTGCTCAGTCATGTGAGCTTGGCTAGGATGCCCTCCGCAGGAACAGGAGTTGTTGATCTGGTCCCAGTGGCAGGCTCTGAAGTTGGTAACATGCCCTGCCAGTAGTCTACTGTAGGTATCTCTCTCTCTCTCTCTCTCTCTCTCTCTCTCTCTCATACACACACAAAGACACACACTCCCTTGGAGGAGACGGATGCTGGTTGTGGAGACGAGCCCCTAGCGGGTTTCTAACAGAGGACTTGTTCAAATAGTGGATTTGCCTCTCCATGTTTATCTCTCCATGTTCCCCTGGAGTGGGTGAACAGGAGGGAGAGAAGTCTGATGCTCTAGCTGTTTGGGAGCTCCAAATGTGTCTCTACATGACATAGTCACACGTAGGCACTAACACATGGACATGCACCCACACAATTGCAGCAGGCACACTCTGCACACTAGCAACATGGGTCCACATTGCTGACCGTGCGTTGTCATGCACTAACGCATAGACTCCACCAACATGTTCCCTCCGCCTGTGTTTCCTGTGTATGCATTCTCCCCCAGACACACACACACATTTGTGTAAATTTGCGTAGTTGGAATGCATATATCCATGCACAGCTGTTGTTAACATGCATACACAGGCACATACAGTCACATATCCGCTTGCATGTTGGCCTGCAGCGCATCAGTTCACGCCCCATGGTTTCATGTGCCAGTACGAAAAGACATCTCCTTCCACATGCTTGTACATAACTCGCATTGGGCTGGATACGAGAGCTACACCTATGCATGCAGAACTCTTGACACCTCCACTCTCCGCATGTGCCTGAATCCCTCTTGCCAGCTTGGCATTACTCTCCAAAATCAGTCTGGGCACATTCCAGAGACACTGAGCAATACCTTCTTCCCTTCGTACTGCCTTCTGCACGTAGGCTGAGGTGCCCCAGCTGTGCCACGATGGATTCTGCAGCAAATAATCAGCACTGTGACACTTTGGGCACAAGAGGACTCTGGGACAGCAGGAGCTGGCGATACAGAGAGACTCTGGACAAGAGGCTGCTGGAACCCTCTCAGCTTGGATGTGGCCTCCCAGCTAAGATCTCACGTGGTGCAGACTTAATGCTCTCCCTCACAAGGACAGACTGAGAGACCTTTCCTAACTGTGGACCTCCCCCCGCCCCATTCCTATCACAGTCACTGGGTCCGTGCTCTAGCCAGGGTACAGGGACCCCCAGCCCTCCTCCTCACAACCACCCACACCCTTCCCATGACTGTTTATTCTATGCACTTTGTTTTTAATTCTAATTATCTAACTTCTGTTAGGGCCACCACCAAAGTCAGTAAGAGCCTTTTACATGGTCAGTTCCTGGGCAGTACTGGAAGAGTCTCGATTAAAGTCAGATGCAATGACGAGCGGGACCTCTGGCTGTGCTTGGGGTGAGGAAATGGGTCTTGTGCTCTGGAGCTGGCAAAGGGGTGCTCCGCAGGGATGTTCCAGCTACCAGCATCTTTTTACTAACAACCACAGTTAGAGGAACAGCATGACCCAGATGTCAGGGCAGGAAACACAGGCAGGCAATTGGGGGTTCTGGGGTTATCCTAAATAGGCAAAGGTAAAGGACCCCTGGATGGTTAAGTCCAGTCAAAGGCGACTATGGGGTTTTGGTGCTCATCTCACTTTCAGGCCAAGGGAGCTGGCATTTGCCCATAGACAGCTTTCCAGGTCATGTGGCCAGCATGATTAAACCACTTCTGGTGCAACGGAAGTCAGAGCGCACTGAAACGCTATTTACCTTCCCGCTGCAGCGGTACCTATTTATCTACTTACACTGGTGTGCTTTCGAACTGTTAGGTTGGCAGAAGCTGGGACAGAGAAACAGGAGCTAACCCCATCACAGGGATTCGAACCGCCGACCTTCTGATCAGCAAGCCCAAGAGGCTTAGTGGTTTAGACCACAGCGCCACCCACGTCTGGCTTCCGTCGCAATGTTCCTGCTCTTTCCAGCAAGTGAGGCCCTTGACTTCTGCCCTAAAGGCCTTCCCAGCTAGCCCCACTTCCAGCTCCCCACATACTTGCATACTGAGAGGCGAGAGGAGGCATTTCAGCAGATGCTGGCAGGGGGACATGGGTATAGCCAGGATTTATTTCGGGGGGGGGGCAGGCATTGTTGGGGCCATACAGAACCGAGGTATCTACAGTGCAATTGGTCTGTTAGTTAAGTATTTTTATTTATTTACTTGTTCAGCTACGTCCATGTGGGGAGGCTGTATTTGCAAGATCCTTGTTTTGTGTTGAGGATTGGAGTTGGTGACCCCCAAGCTCTCTTCCATATCTAGGAGTCGAGGAAAAGCTGCCGAGGTGATGTTGGGCCACAGACTCATGGCAAAGGCTTGGTGTTTCTGTGTTAAGCAGCACCTGTAGGGAGGACAGCTGTGGTGGGGCAAAGCTTTGGGGCAGGTGTGCCAACAGGAGATGGTGCCATGCAGTGCATATGCAACCTCCCCAACCCCAAAGGAAGTGCTTCTGATCTACTGATCTACTAAGAGATGCATGCAGGTGAGTGAACCTGCCCCGATACCTGCAGCCAGGCCAGTGAGCTGCCAGCTGGGTCGACTCCTGGGCCAATCACCTCGGTCTCAAGAGCACCCAAGCTTCTGTGGTAGAATAGGGGTGGATCAGTGCAAGGATCAGAGCATCCAGAGTTCTTCTAGTGGGTTTTCCTGTTGTCTTATCTGGGCTTAGGTTTCTACTCCTGGAGTTATTTGCCCTGCAGATTTCATATAATGCTCCTGTCTTTGTGCTGGCACCAAAGGCAGCCCTAGTATGAGGCCAGATTTCAGTTGATCGGGTGAGGCCTTTGTTCAGTGCCCAGTGAAGCAGAGTGCTCAATGGCCTTGCCAGCCCCGGAAAACAAGCAACATGATTTTATTTCAACCAAAGGATTGAGCCGGGCTGTTTTCTCATGGGTAGTCCAGAAAGGAGAAGAAATGTCATTTGTCTAGATCAGGCACGTCCAACAGGCAGATCATGATCTACCGGTAGATCACTGGATGTTTGTGGTAGATCACTGGCAGATCACTGGCTTCCCCCAAAGAAGCTCAACAAGTTTGGTTCCCCTAAAAAAAGCTTAGCATGTACCCCCCAAAAAACGCTCAACAACTTTGACCTGAACCCCCCAAAACAGGGATTTCCTTCCTAAAAAAAGCCCAACAACTTTGACCTGAACCCCCAAAAAGGAGGTAGATCACTGCAGTCTTTGTGAGTAGATCGCAGTCTCTCGGGAGCTGGCCACCCCTCGTCTAGAGTAAACACTGTTGGGGAAATGAGAACCCTGGTTCCCGATCCCATACCACCCCCTTCGCAGTGGCGTAGCGTGGGGGTGCAGGGGGGGCCGGCCGCACCGGGCGCAACATCTGGGGGTTAGGGTTAGGGGACGCAAATCCACGGGTTAGGGGGCGCAAATTACTTGCCTTGCCCCGGGTGCTGACAACCCATGCTACGCCACTGCCCCTTCGTCTTACTGCCTGACTGTGAAACACTATGAAAGCCGTTGCTTGGAACACCACGTTCCAAAGGAACACAACTGTCAATATTTTATTGTTAATAATTTTGCTTTCTACCACCCTCTCCATAAACCATTACAAGTGTGCCGGCAAGGAGCGACTTTTTGCCCGAGCTCTTACGGATGGCAGCACTAAAGGGAGAGTCCTTTCATGGGGATGGGGTGGGGGGGTTATGTCTACAAAGCAGATCATCTTCACAAGTATTGAGGCTGCTGGAATACCTCTGATCGATAGCTGGTCAAATGGTCACATCAGGACATACGGGGCAAGCCAGGCATTATGTCAATTGCAAAGGCGTTCTGGGAATTGTAGTTTGAAAATGATGTTGTGCTGATGTTGGGATTTCAGGCACAAATGGCATCCCCACCCATTACAGTACCAGAGGTTCTTTGTGTGGCATCCATGATTATGAAATAGCCGTAAAACTGATGGTTGTGGGGTAGAGACCTTCCAAGCACAGCCGCACCATTGCCCCATCCTCTATCCTGTAAGCCAGGGAAGGAACTCGGAAAGGATCAGGGTGAATTCCACTATAACTAAATTCTGAAGTTTTCCTTCAGCTTTGATGCAAGGCATATGCAGCTGATGTATAAAAGCATGAAAAAGAGATTTGACTGTAAACACACAACAGCCGGGGGAGAGCTGAGCATCCCTCTCTGCTTGAAGCATCGTCATATTTACCACTGCAAGGTAAAGGTAAAGGGACCCCTGATCATTAGGTCTAGTCGTGGCCAACTCTAGGGTTGCGGCGCTCATCTCGCTTTATTGGCCGAGGGACAGCTTCCGGGACATGTGGCCAGCATGACTAAGCCGCTTCTGGCAAACCAGAGCAGCACACGGAAATGCCGTTTACCTTCCCGCCAGAGTGGTACCTATTTATCTACTTGCACTTTTGACGTGCTTTCGAACTGCTAGGTTGGCAGGAGCAGGGACCGAGCAACGGGAGCTCACCCCGTCGCGGGGATTCGAACCGCTGACCTTCTGATCGGCAAGTCCTAGGCTCTGGTTTAAACCACAGCGCCACCCGTACCACTGCAAACTGTGGTACAAACACACAGCAAAAGCCCATGGCCTGAATCAGTCCCAAGGCAAGTGAAGGATAGTGGCTCTTTTGGCAGGGGGATGAAGATGTTTAATTCTACATAGCTCGCAGGGAAACAGACCTCAAAATGGAGAAATGTGTGTCAGATACAAAAATCCGCACACTAAAAGTTGTAGGTAGGAAACACAACCATATACAACTGCACTCAGTGGGCTCTAAGCTGCCTTGATTGTGCAAGTAGCAGCAAGTGGGTGTACAGAAGCATCTGTCACACACATAACTAAGGGATGCTCAGATAATACCCACCTCTTGAACAGAAAGAAGCTGCCTCTTTCAGATCCACAAAACCTACTACAAGGGAGACAGGAGAGCAGGGAAGGGGAGCTGCTCTCAAGGGAAGAGGGGACTTCATACAGCTGCCCAAAGGTGGGCTCTAGAAGAGTCAGAGGCTGCACCCCCAACTCTGCCTGCACTGGGAAACCTGGGCCAATTCCCTTCTGATCAATCCTTAAATGGGTGCAAAGGAAATTGCTGCCATTTGTAATTGGAGGCATGCAAGGCTGCAAGAAATCACACACAAATTTGGAAAGGGGGGGTCATTGCAGAATACACAAGACAAGCAATGAAACAGGAATCCAGTGGCTTGGAGGGGGCATAAAGGGAGACATTTTTATTTTAAAAACAAAACCAAACATATCCCCCCCCAAAACTTGATAAAGCAGGTGTAACTTGTCAGTATCCAGAGCACCCTGAGCTTTCCTGCCCCCTGGTGGGGGGAAGGGAGTTGTTGCACCTTTTAAACTTGAACCGGATCTGCCAAAAGTTACTACAAGAAAGTATGTGACTGTTTTACAGAAGCACCATGTAACAGGTGGGGTGTAACTGCAGGCTTCCCCCTTTCCATACCTTTCTTGGTAACAACACCATCTTGCATAGACATCTTCCAGGTGATCTTGGCTGCAAGTTGTGTTAGCTGTGTCAGTGTTTGTAAAAAGCAAAAAAAAAAAAAAAGGAAGGAAAGGGTTCTGACCTCCCTTTGTCTCTTCAGTCTGGTCCTCGGACCCTTGTCTGCATAAAAGAGTCCACGAGAATATCCTTGCAGAGTTTTATTCTTAAAAGTCTTTGTGCAAAACACAACTGAATAACTATACACACCAGCACTAACCAACCCAAACACCAGCCTCAGCACAAACTAACATTTCTCACTTTATATATACAGTGGTGCCTCGCAAGACGAAATTAATTCGTTCCGCGAATTTTTTCGTCTAGCGAATTTTTCATCTTGCGAAGCACGAAATCCCATAGGAATGCATTGAAAATCAATTAATGCGTTCCTATGGTCAAAAAAAGTCCAAACAAAGCCAAATTTGGTACAACAAGAGTTTATTAAGTGCTCTTTAAAGTCACATATACTGTAAAGAGCATTTCAAAATTCAAACCCATAAATTTTTTTTAAAAACAGCAGAGTTGCCCAATGGTCACAGAAAATCATAAAAATGCAGAAAAAAACACACAAGCTTCCTGATTCTTGCAACCCCCTCCCCAACTGTTCCCCCAGCCACCCACCACACAGAAATTCAAATCCAGAATTTTTTTAAAAAAACCGCAGAGTGCCCCAATGGTCACAGAAAATCATAACAATGCAGAAAAAAAACACACAAGCTTCCAGATTCTTGCAAACCCCTCCCCAACACCAAGTCCTTGAATTCCAGACACCCCAACCCAAAATCCAAACCCCCCCAAAAAAAGTTTTAAAAGCTTAACTTACCAAATGGCTGCAAAAGAAGTTTTGGAAAAGCTTCAAAAATCACCAAAGTCTTTAAAAACCTCAAACCACGCGACTATGTACACTGTGTTCTATGAGTTGCTCCTCGAAGTCAAGTCGCAACTGTATTAACGGTGTTAAGAAAAAGGAAACAAACTTGCAAGACATTTTCGTCTTGCGAAGCAAGCCCATAGGGAAATTCGTCTTGCGAAGCAGCTCAAAAAATGGAAAACCCTTTCGTCTAGCGAGTTTTCCGTCTTGCGAGGCATTCGTCTTGCGGGGCACCACTGTACAACCTGCTGCAGGCCGCTGAGTCATGCTGACCCAGCTTTATTCGCGTTAAAGAAACAGCGGCCATTTTAGCCGTGACCAGCTGTGTTTCCATCAAGTGTGAAATACACTTGTCCATTGCATGGACAGGGAGGCCACCCCAATTCAATCTCCACCTCTGCTTTATCCATCCAGGGATCACCTCTCAGGTGTGTTTCCTAACCCCACTGCCTTAAGCACAAGGCACCTTTTTAATGTACGTCTATGCTGCTTTGCAAGAGGAAAAACTTCCAAAGCAGCTTACAAGACACAAAACCAAACCAATGATATAAAAAGCAAATCTTAAAAAAAACAAAAAACCACCGAAACATGTTTTTACAAAAACCCTAACGAAAGGTCAAAGTAACAGTTACACTTGGGCACAGGAACCAGACCCCACCCAAAGGTCTTCCCAGAAGCAAGCAGCATTTCTTCCTCTTTGGCACTTTGGCATTCTGCTGCTTTGGGGCTACAGCTGTGTGGGGTTTGCTTCTAGGAGCATCTGAATACACTGATAGGACAACACAGGAAGCTGTTTTATGCTGAATCAGACCACTGGCCCATCTAGCTCTGTATAATCTGCAGTGCCTCTCTGGGGTTTCAGACGGGACATTCCCAGGCCTGCCCGGAGATGCTGGCGATTGAATCAGGAAGCTTCTGCACAAAAAGTGTGTGCTTTGCGCCAGAGGCATAGCACGGTAAGGTGGTACCCGGTGCAGAATTTTTTTTGTCAGCCCCCCCCCCCCCAATCGATGGCTCAGGGTAGGCTTGGGAGAGACACCTCTCAGCATTCTTGGGGTGCTTGTGCTTTAAATGGGTTCACTGCCAAAGAAAGGCAGAGAGGCAGCATCACCCTAAACGCGCCCTGCTTCCTGGGTTGCACATGGTTTGGAGACCCTGCCCAGCGCCGGAAAGAGCTCCCTGTCTTCAGCACAATGGAGTCGCTGGGAATACGAAGGCCGAGGCCCCCGCTCTCCCATTTCCCTGCCCACCTACCCAAATCCCTTCTCGCTGCCTTACTCCATACTGGCACCCTCTGTTCCCACGGCAAAACAAAACAAACTCCTCTTACTTCGTCTTTCTTTCTAACCCAAATCTAATGTACGGATCCAGCCCAGATCCACTCACTGCGTCCTGGAGAGCGTGCACCTCTGGATGCAAAATAAATTCAGGAATCGAGGGGGGGGTTGCCCCCTCCCGGGGATCTATTGTCTCTCTTTGCTATGGCTCTGTCCCTATAGGAAGCTCAACCCTGCCAGGCTGAGCAGAAAGGATTCCGGAGGGCCAACTCCTCCCCTCTCCTCAGTCCCAAGGCAGGAGTTGGGGACCATCTGGTCACCCAACAGCCAAGAAGCGTGATTTGTGGTGGCCCCAAAGACTTCTCCCCGAACAATCCACCGGCTTCTCAACTGACCAGTGCAACCCTTGTCCAGTTAGCCCTTGCATGGGCACCTGGAGCGGCGGTCATGCCGTGTACCCATGGGGTGGGACAAGCTGTGGGGGGGGCCATCTACCGTGCACAGGGGCAGCGGGGCAAGCCCCCCACGGTGTGCCTTTTTGTCACCCTCCTCACGGATTACACCTGGGGCGGACTGCCTCACCCTGCCCCCTTCCTACACCCCTGCTTTGTGCTTCTGAGCTACTGGCCCCCAATGAGATGAACGGTGCCTCTGCTTAAGGAAGGAAGAACCAACCCCCCTCCCCCCCCACTGACACCATGGCTCTGTTGGGAATCTGAATACATTCAGCTTCACACACAGAGTCAATTAGGGCTTGGCCGACAGCCAAGGCAATGTGAAGGAGTAAGTCTGCCTGGTGATACAGAGGCATGGAGACAGCTCCATGATTGGTCAAGCTCTCTCACAGGAATGATGATTTATGGCCTACTAACTGGAATGTGTTAGTTCAGAGTTCTGAGTTCAGAGTTCAGTGTCAGTGAGTGAGGTTGAGAGTTGTGAGTCGTGTAAGAGAGAGCAAGTCAAATATCCGTGTTCTGTTCTGTTCCTGTAAATAGTCCACTATATATAAATAAACACCTATAACTACAAGTTACTGGTTCCTGCTTCGTCCATCCTGTCTGCAGCCAGTTGCCAATTGCTTTCGTGAACTCTACGTTTACTCTGCTAGGTCTGGCTAAGGTCCTGCAACTAGTCAAAAGTTGCGAAACACCAACAGGGTCCAGCATCCAGGTGGAGATCAAACAGCTGAGACGACAGAAAGACCGAGCCAAGTAGTAACAGCTTAATACCAGGGAGCCTTGAGGAAGATCCAGGCTCAGTCCACAACTTCATTGTGCTTCCTCCTTCCCAGGAATCTCTCTGTGGCTGTTTTGAGGCCACAAGCACCTGTTAGAGCACCTGGGGCTGTAACCGACAGTTCTGCCCTTTGATCCGTGGCATAAGAGATGCTCTGGTAGCCAAAGAAATTGGCAGGGCACTTTTCCTACAGTATGTCCAAGGCTGAAGAACAAATGCGGGAGCATAGGTTGCTGACCCTGGTCCAGCGAGAGATCAGAAGCTGTGGGAATAAGCTTCAGGTCCCTACTCTCCCATTGGTCTCCAAAGGTCACAGGCATCCTCTCTTCTCTTCTCAAGCCAGCCTCTGCAGCTCCTCCAAAGTGGGCATGAATCGCTTCTCATAACCAGAGAACTCCACTGGGGCAAGGGGCATGGTTTGCTCTGGGGCTGGTTCCTTAATCTCAACAATGTCTAGCTCTTCTGGGAACTTGACTGGGCATTGGCTTAGGGCATCCTGCAAAACAAATGCAATAACCATAATTTATTTGCCTCCTATCTGGCTCGGTTGCCCCAGCCGCTCTGGGCAGCTTCCTGCAAATTATAAAACCACAGTAAAACGTCACACATTTAAAACTTCCCTATACAGGGCAGCCTTCAGATGTCTTCTAGCACGTTTCCAACCTGGTGCATAAAATATACATAATGGCGCCAGATGAACCTCCCCGGGGAGAGCATTCCAGATAAGCACATTTATTCAAATATATCATCAGTTACTGTCTGTTAGAAGATGGGTTGATCAGTACTTAAAATCTGGCACAAGTTCTTTTTGGGTCCGCTCAGCAAGTGAAGAGGAAGAGGCAACTGGGACGGCTAGTTCTCTCTAGAAACCAGATCCTTCCCATCTGCTCCCACCACAAACAGAGACAGTACATATCTGGGTTGTTGCTTTTTTAACCCAATGACTTCCTACCATGCCAGAGGCAGCGCAGTGCTCATCAATCCGGGTAACATCACTGTGCCCTGGGTCTGGAATCTTCTCCCAGCACCACGGAGGCAGGATCTTATGGCAGAAGTCAAGGACCCTGCAGAGGAGAGACAGCGGACAAGAGTTTTCACATGGGGCTGCAAATGAGGGGGAGATGGGGAGGGGAGGTAAGTAGCCACAGATGTTGGGCAGGATGTTGCACGGGCCAGCCTGCCTCCCCACCACACCTCTGCCTTTTATTACTCACCTCCTGTAATTAACCAGCACCACAAGGAAGGCCACGAAAAGCAGGAATCCCAGAACGAGGAGGACTGCCAGGAGGGTCTGCCAATGGGAATCTGCAGGAGATCATGGGGATAAAACTCAGATGAACAAGGCCTTGCTGACAAGGCATGATTTTGTCCCGAAGTTTGATATTTCCCTATCAAGGCATTTCAAGATAGCTCCGGCTGCTGGGTTTACTGAGCTGTTGCATAGCCTTTGCACATGCCAAGCAGGTTTTGCTTGGTCCAAGCAACAGAAGTCCTAGAAGCCTCTCCTACCTGGAGTGCGGAAGTGATGCAGAGGACTGGGCACACCTTCCCCGGCTGAGGTAGATCCCGTCATGCAGAGCTGGTAGGAAGTCCCAGGCGTCAGGTCCAAGAGACTGTAGCTCCTCTCTGCAGCAGCAACTGCAACTAGGAAAGGGATGGATAATCTGAGCACAGGCGGGAGGAGGGCAGTCTGCACCCACCACTAAAAGAGCTTACTGCTCCAGTATCTCAATGTGTTGGCTGGGGTGGGTGGGAGAAGAGATGGGGACCATAATGAGAGCACATTGACATCAGACTGCTAGGAAGAAACTGAAGTCCAACATGACATGAAATTCTGGTACGGAACTGTTACTGAACTGAAGTTAAAAGGTAAAGGACCCCTGGACGGTTAAGTCCAGTCAAAGGCGACTATGAGGTGCGGTGCTCATCTCGCTTTCAGGCCAAGGGAGCCGGCCTTTGTCCACAGACAGCTTTCCGGGTCATGTGGCCAGAAGGAGTAAACCGCTTCTGGTGCAACAGGACACCGTGGCGGAAGCCAGAGTGCACGGAAACACCATTTACCTTCCCGCCACAGTGGTACCTATTTATCTACTTGCACTGGCATGCTTTTGAAATGCTAGGTTGGCAGGAGCTGGGACAGGGCAACGGGAGCTCACCCCATCACAGGATTCGAACCATAGACCTTCCAATTGGCAAACCCAAGAGGCTCAGTGCTTTAGACCACAGCGCCTCACTGAACTGAAACTGAAAGCAGATAATGACCCTAATGATTTTATTATTTATACCCAACCCATCTGTAACTCCATCCTTGTATTTCTAAAAGCCCTATGGCTACACACAAGGTCAATCCCATGCGCAGACATGGAATCAATCATGCCCAGCCCCAATGCATGTGCACCAGATGTCACATTGGCATAGCAGTCTGTGACTAGTGCAACCTGCACGCTGCACAGTTGTGGGACCTGGTTTGGTTTCCTTGGTCCACTCAATGCATCTTTCAACCCCGAGATCCAGGGGTTGCAGATTCCAGATGCAATCCATGTAGGCAGCTGCAAGGAAGACCTCCGTGTCGGCAACTCAGAGGGTCTTGGGCCCAGCCCCTCCCTCCCCGCAAACCTGGGAATTGCCTCTTGGTCTCAGGTGTCACTCACTGGTCCTGTTTGCCTTGGCGTTCCGTAAAGTGGGATGTCCCAGGTAAAGCGTGTAGTGGGTGATGTGTCCATTGCGATCTCCCAGCGGAATTTCCCCCCAGGAGATGAGAGAGGCTGTAGGTGAAATGCTTCTGTCCTGCAGTCCCTGGGGAGCAGCTGTTGGTGCTGGAAAGGAGAAGGAAGGAGAAGGAATGGGAATGTGTTGAAAAATATATCGTACAAAACCATCGTAATAGAAATCTCTGGATAAGTATTGACTGAACCCATTAAGTTAAGAACTGATACTTCTAATAGGTGAACGATTATTGGGATGAATAAAAATGAACGCAATATTAGAATTTAAAGAAATGAGTGTGATATCATGCACGTGGGTTGAAGGGAAGCTTTGCTTCTGCACATGACTGTGGCATGATGGGAAGTCTTGCTTCTAAGCTTTTCTTCTGCACATGCTGCACAAACCGTTCCAATACTAAGACATTCCCTCATCACCCTAGAATGTTCGGTTCATATTGACTTCTTGAAAACATTATACTCTGACCTGTTCTTAATGCATAGTTGACCACATCTACGGAACGCGATTGTTATGTTCTTTCATGTCATGATCAATCATTAGTAATAGTTTAAGTCTTGATAATCAATCCCTAGTTATAATTTAATTAGAAGGTTTCATGCCTGTCTAGTTCTGTGCTCCCTTTCCCAACCTTTAATCTATTGGTGATAAATGTAATATGTAACCTTTGCTTTGTACTTGTGTTAACGAATCAGCAATAAGCACATATGTGGCAAATGCTGTAATATTCAATAAAAGGGACTCTCCGAGACCTCCTCGAGAGATGCCTCCCGTATGACACCTTGCCATTAGTCTGTCGTTTATTTCAACCCAACAGTGGGTAAAGGAAGTCACTTGGGTATTTGGGTAGAGGGTTAGGTGTGGGGAATTTGTAATTAAATACACTTTAAATGGAAGACACTCCATTCTGCAATGATCCTCAGTGAAAGTGCTTTATTATGGGTGAACCTCTGCACAATGCACAGGAAATCTGGGGAACATCCATTTCCCTACAAATCTTAACAATGATTAATAAAATAAATCAGTATATAACAGGCTAAAACCAGTAAAGAGAAAAGTTTGGTCTTATCTGTTGAAGAAAGGCTTTCATTTTTTGGCCAATGTTGCTTTAAAAGGGGGGGGGGAGAATTAAAATCTCGCATTAATTATTTTACATGCCATCCAGATTAAGTAAGCTTTATCCTTTCTCTAATTGGTGTTGGAGGTAAAATGAAAAATAATGACGGACTCCTCTGTTTTTTAAACATATCTTGTGGTCCTGTGTTAAAATTCAGCTTTACGTGGCAAAGAATATACAGCTGGTGACAAAGCTTCCTTTGCAAACAGATGTGCTTTTGAGAATTATATTTTGAGTATACCTGAAGAAGCATCTCCACCACCATGGTTCACCCTGGACACTGAGGTCCAGCTCCGAGGGCCTTCTGGCAGTTCCCTCACTGCAAGAAGTGAGGTTACAGGGAACCAGGCAGAGGGTGTTCTCGGTGGTGGCGCCCGTTCTGTGGAACGCCCTCCCATCAGATGTCAAGGAGATAAGCAACTATCTGACTTTTAGAAGATATCTGAAGGCAGCCCTGTTTGATGTTTTATCGTGTTTTTAATATTCTGTTGGGAGCCGCCCAGAGTGGCTGGGGAAACTCAGCCAGATAGGCAGGGTATAAATAATGTTGTTGTTGTTGTTGTTGTTGTTGTTGTTGTTGTTGTTGTTGTTACATTAATAAGCAGTTCCATACACTTTTGAAGGGAATCTTCTTACAACAGCTGGGATCATGGCTAAGGGAGACCCAAGTCAATAGCAAGCTCCTCTTTCTGCAAGCTGGAACAACAGCAAGGTCCACACATGAAGAGTGAGCAGAAACAAGATGACTGCACTGTTTCAAGACTATAGGCAGAGGATCTCACACCAGAAAGCTAAAAGCCACTCCTCTTCCTTGCCAAAAGAAAACCAATACACCAGGTGGGATAGTTTCTTCCTTGTTCCTCATCCCACTGACAACCTCCACATTCCCTTTGCCCATCAATATTACCTCCTTCCTTGAAGTAGGCTCTCACAGGGACCGAAGCGCTGCTCCCAGGAGCAAACACAGCATAGACGCAGACAAGGTAGGGCACCTTTGCTCTGAAGTTACCTGAGAAGTGGGGAGCAAAAGCAATGTCAGGCCACCGAGGAGGTACAAGATGAACAAGCCTCTTTCTCCAAGCACAGAGACGATGTGGTGCCAGACATTATCTGGGGTTTGTTGCCTGTCTCTTTTCGCTCCACGCATCCCATGTGATTATCCAGAGGAGGGCCGCTAGTTGTCTCCACACCCAAAGAGGACTTGCATGTTTTTGGTTAGGTGACCACCCAAGTGTGGGAAAGCCCTGAGAGACCTCGTGGGGCTGGGTGGGAGTACGTGGAAGAGTACCTATCTCCCAGCCATGGTTGTGACAAAAAAAAAAGTACCTCCAAAAGATGCTATTTGCAATTTAAGGGAAGTCTCTGCCACGGTCCATGTGTAAAGACCAAAGAACATCCTCTGAGGAGAGGATTTCTGTTGGGACTGTGGCAGGGGGAAGAGAGGACCAATCTGCCTCTCCCCCCCCCTCCACAGTGCCAAAACCGATGGGTTTTCCCCAACCCTGCTATCTATATCCTTGTTTTTCCTTTGCCAACAACCTCTCGCTGTCGTGGGAGCTGCCTCCATTAAGGCAGACCGGAACCGGAAGCCTGCTTCCCTCAACACTGCTATCTATATCACAAAAAGTCTGCTAATTGCATTTCATACCACTAACAACACATTTACTTTGGCTTGGGAGTTTCTCTCCCCCCCCCCTGCTTAGAGCTCTCCCACACTCCTCACCTCTCAACAGGGCGCTGCTGCTGTCCCTGGGGCTCCGTGTCCAGTTCAGCAACTGTCCGGCGGGGTTGCTGGAGATCTCGTCTCTCCATTCCACCACATACTCCTCAGGCTGGAGCCACCGAGCGCTTGCACTGGGCTTCCACATCACCCTGAGACCCAGGCCTGGTACAGCCATCACCTGGACTTCCTCAGGGCCAGGAAGATCTGGAGAAAGGCCAAGTCGTTTGTCATTAAGAGCATCCCTGGAGGTGCTAGGTACCTTCCCCAGCACAGTGTTGGTGATGACCTTTAAAGCCCTAAACAGGCTCAGTCCTGTATACCTGAAGGAGCATCTCCACCCCCATTGTTCAGCCCAGACACTGAGGTCCAGCTCCGAGGGCCTTCTAGAGGTTCCCTCACTGCGAGAAGTGAGGTTACAGGGAACCAGACAGAGGGCCTTCTTGGTAGTGGCACCTGCCCTGTGGAACATCCTCCCATCAGATGTCAAGGAAATAAGTAGCTATCTTATTTTTAAAAGACATCTGAAGGCAGCCCTGTTTAGGGAAGTTTTTAATATTTAATGCTGTATTGTTTTTAACACTCGATTGGGAGCCGCCCAGAGTGGCTGGGGAAACTCAGCCAGATGGGCGGGGTATAAATAAATAAATTATTATTATTATTATTATTATCCAAGAAGACTCCTGTGACAGCATCACTGCTTGTGACATTCGCCAGGCAAGAGACCTCTCTGCATAGATGGTGCCAGGGGAACAAGTGCCCCCACAACAAAGAGCTTTTCCCCCCCCCTCCATTGCTGGGTGCATATACAAAGTGCATTCATATAATATTAACCCTGCAGCTCTTCAACATTTAAGATGCACCTCTTGAGCCAACAAAGGATCCGTGCATTGCAGCTACTGACATGCTCTTCAGCATGCCAACAGACCATTGGCAATCCAGTGAAGGGAAGTGGGAGGAATCTGTGGCACAGAAGAAAGCAGGCAGTTTCCATCCTGGTCCCCACATCCAGGATCAGCATGGAAGTGGAGCTCCTTAGCCACTGAGAAGATGTCTTCTCACCCTTTGTGCTGATGGGAGCCAAACAGAGTGAGAAGAGGAGAATCGGCTACTGAGAATTGGCTCCTAGGGTCAATCTGCAGAGAAGGCGCTCAGACACAGAGGAGAAATGTGGGGGACTTGGGAGAGATGAGGGAGAACAAACAAGCCTGTGTGGAAAGGGGAAGCCTGGGCTGAAGAGGAGCTTGTGGTTGCTACTGTCTCTCCATTCCGGCACAGAAGGACCATGCTGAAGAGATCGGTGCTATTTTTGCACTTTTATTGGTCTGGATTTGGAGGGGGGGTGAGAGAGAGGTGGGTGGGTGGGCAGCATGTTAGCTAAACTCTGTAAGCTTGCACATCCTCCAATTTGTTTCGTTTGCTAACAACGATCTCATTCTCAACCCAACAGCAACCCAAAAGGGCCAGGGAGATGAGGCGCTTTGTTCGAGTCCAAAGCCATGTTTAGGAGAGGAAGGGAAAAAGCGAGGAGTAAAAAGGAATTTCCACGTTTCCTCTTAAAATGCATAATAATACGCTCTGCCCAAATGCAGTTAATCCGAGTCTTAGAATGGCAGCCAGAGGGGGAAATCAGCAAAGGAATTCCTTATCTGACAGCATCTTAGTCTTGCGGGCACTGCTGGTAATGATACTACTAATAATGATAGTGAGGCATGGTGATATGCAAAACTGCCTGAATGGCCTGAAACCTATCTTTTCTAACATTCCAGTCACAGAGGTATGTACAGGGAAATCGGAGAAGGGTGTGGGAAGGTGGCAAAGTTCAAAAGGTTACAAATTCCTGTGTGAAATGAGTGCCTGGCCTGCTTGCAGTCCCATAAACCTCTGTTTATCAGGAACATGGAGATAAATTCCTGAAAGTCATCGAGGAAATTCCAGAGTATTCTGGTACAGTTTTACCTCAGGTTACATACGCTTCAGGTTACATACGCTTCAGGTTACAGACTCCGCTAACCCAGAAATAGTGCTTCAGGTGAAGAACTTTGCTTCAGGATGAGAACAGAAATCTGGCTCCGGCGGCACGGCAGCAGCAGGAGGCCCCATTAGCTAAAGTGGTGCTTCAGGTTAAGAACAGTTTCAGGTTAAGTACGGACCTCCGGAACGAATTAAGTACCGTATTTTTCGCCCCATAGGACGCACTTTTTCCCCTCCAAAAATGAAGGGGAAATGTGTGTGCGTCCTATGGGGCGAATGAAGGCTTTCGCTGAAGCCTGGAGAGTGAGAGGCATCGGTGCGCACCGACCCCTCTCGCTGTCCAGGCTTCAGGAAGCTATCCGCAAGCCTTGCAAGCCCAGTGAGACCTCCCGCCGGGCACGCGAGGCTTGCGGGCAGCAGCCTGCAGCCCGAAGCACAGGGCGCCCTTCGGAGGGCGCCCCGTGCTTCGGGCAGGTGTGCGCAAGGCTTGTGGCGGCAGCCGCGGCTGGGGGGCAAATAATTTTTTTTTATTCATTCCCCCCCCCCAAAAAAACGAGGTGCGTCCTATGGGCCGGTGCGCCCTATAGGATGAAAAATACGGTACTTAACCTGAGGTACCACTGTATTGCATCTGTGTGTCTGGAGGAGAAAACCCATTCTGAGGAGAACAAGTAACTATTGATTTCAAAGTTATTCCTTAGAATCATTGAATTACAGTGGTACCTCGGGTTATGAACTTAATTCGTTCTGGAGGTCCGTTCTTAACCCGAAACCATTCTTAACCTGAGGCGCGCTTTCACTAATGGGGCCTCCTGCTGCCGCCACCACGTGATTTCCATTCTTATCCTGGGGCAAAGTTTGTAACCTGAAGGACTGCTTCCAGGTTAGTGGAGTTTGTAACCCAAAGTGTTTGTAACCTGAGGTGTTTGTAACCCGAGGTACCACTGTATAGAGCTGGAAGAGACCAAGTGGTGCATCAACAGCTAACTATTTTATAGGTATCTTTAAAAATAAAATAGAAATATATATGTTTACGTCTATCCCCCAATCTTCCCTACCCCATTTGCATTGAAGAGATATCCTGACCAAACATGCCATGGTAGCACATGCTCTTTCTGGAAAACAAAAGCTGAGGCACCCTTGCCTTTCTTCAGTTTTTATCAAAAGCCGCTTAGAAAAGCACAGCCCCGCCCCAAGCATCTCCTGCCCCCCCCCTTCCTGTCCCACAAAGGGACAACCGCAAGTCGTGGGGGAGGAGAGCCGATCACAAGTGAATGAGGCAGTTTTGTGGGTCTTTTTTTCTGTTTCTCTGGGGTTCTGCGGTTCCCTCTCTCTGTGTATGTCAGACGCATGCATTACATTACCAATGTTGAAAATGCTGCTTTCTCCCAGCCCAATACATTCTGTAGTACTTCCCTATTGGGTTCAATTGTTTTCCTTAATAGTTGCCCGAGTGACATTTCCCTTGTCTTATGTACCAGCCTTTGTAGGAAGAGTTTGTATTTTGCATCTTTTCTTGCACAGTGGAACCTTGGTTCCCGAACTTAATCTGTTCCGGGAGTCCATTCGACTCCCGAAACAGTTTGAGAACCAAGGCGTGGCTTCTGATTGGCTGCAGGAACTTCCTGCAGCTAATCGGAATCCATGCCAGACGTTCAGCTTCCAAAGAACGTTCGAAAACCGGAACAATCGCTTCCAGTTTTGAATCGTTCGGGAGCCGGAACATTTGACTCCCAAGGCATTCAGGAGCTGAGGTTCCACTGTATCCTAACTCCACCTTCAAGGTACTTTAAACTATTAAGGCGAGGTGGGGGAGAATTGGACAACCAGATATGTTGTTGCACTACAGCAGGTACAGTAGTACCTCAAGTTAAGTACTTAATTCGTTCCAGAGGTCCGTACTTAACCTGAAACTGTTCTTAACCTGAAGCACCACTTTAGCTAATGGGGCCTCCTGCTGCTGCCGCGCCACCGGAGCCCGATTTCTGTTCTCATCCTGAAGCAAAGTTCTTAACCTGAAGCACTATTTCTGGGCTAGCGGAGTCTGTAACCTGAAGCGTATGTAACCTGAAGCGTATGTAACCTGAGGTACCACTGTATGGGGAACCTTTGGCCCTCCAGATGTTGCTGAACTACAACCCCCATCATTCCTGGACATTGGCCATGCTGCCTTGTCTGACGGGAGTTGTAGCTCAGTAACCTATGGAGAACCAAAGGTTTCCCTGTACTACAGTTTCCGCAACCCCCAATTATTCACCATGCTTGCTGGGGCTGATGGGAGTTGTAGCGCAATGAAGGGCACAACACAATTTTGGCCCTACAGTCATACCTCAGGTTACAGATGCTTCAGGTTGTGTTTTTTCGGGTTGCGGACCGCTGAAACCCGGAAGTACCAGAAAGGGTTACTTCTGGGTTTCGGCGGTCGTGCATGCGCAGAAGCGCTAAATAATAATAATAATAATAATAATAATAATAATAATTTATTATTTGTACCCCGCCCATGTGGCTGGGGTTTCCCCAGCCACTCTGGGCAGCTTCCACAAAGACCAAAAATACACTAATATGTCATACATTAAAAACTTCCCTGAACAGGGCTGCTTTGAGCCTGCGCAGACGTGCTGAATCGCAACCCGTGCATGCGCAGACACGCCGCTGCGGGTTGCGGACGCTGCGGATTGCGAACGTGCATCCCGCACAGATCATGTTTGCAACCTGAGCATCCACTGTATTTCACTTCCAAACCAAGCGAACTTGAGTAGCTGAATTGCTATGCGAGGATTAGCATATAGGGTTGCATTTTCTTATTAGGTCTGACAAAAGTTTGGGTGACAGGCAATGCCTGTCTCTCATGAACAGGATGTTAGGGGAGGAGCACAGAGGGCAGCAAACCACCTTCCCCCATCAGCGGTGAGGATGACTCAGCTCTAGTCTCGGAGGAAAAGGCAGGAAACAGGGCGGGCGTGAGAGGAAAGACCCCTTAGAAGCAGCCCTTTGATAAGGCATTATCAACAACTCTTGCCTGCTTGTTCCAAGCTGAGGTTGGCAGGCAGCGTATTCTTAACAGAATTTCGGGCCGATACCCAGGCGTAGTCAGCGGAAAGAGGGAGGGCAGCATGGCAGCAAAGGCACACCATCGTAGTGATGTTTTTGTCGCGGTCCCGGAAAACAACTTCGTAGTCGAGGATGACTCCCCGAGCTGCTTCGGGGTCTGGTGCCTGCGAAAGGGAGGTGAGCAGAGGTTCCTCCAGTCAAGAATAGAGATTATAAAAGAAAACAAGAAAAGAAAAGCCTGAAGAAGCCCACCCAGTCAAACAGATCCTGCTCACTAAGGACACAGCTGCATGGCAGTCCCTGCTCACACACACAGCAGCCAAAGAGTCATAGATGGTGCAACTACTTTTATTTAAGTAGATGGAAAGTCCTGTGCCTTCAACACACTGCAAAGATAGTGCAAAAGGTCCACAGGGTGCATCTCCTCTCAGCGAGGGAATGGGGTGATCAGAAAAGGTTGGGCTGTTGCTAAAGGGCAGGAAGCTGACAAGTGAAAGATGGGCAAAATAAGGTTTTTTATCAGCAGCAACTGTATGAAAAAGCACTCAGATGTCATTCTAGTGTTGGTGAGGCAAAAGACCCTGGGCCCAAGCACACATGAATATTGTATAAAGATGCAAAGCCCTTCTTTCACACCCTGCAAAATGGTAAATGCACAGTTTTTAAAAAAACTGGGCAATGGCCGCCCACCCGCAATTCCCGAGCCTCCCCTGATCAGTCAAAACAAAGGGGGCAGGAGATCACACAAGACACATCCTATGCGCACAAGACACATCGTATGGGGACTTCTGGTGAGGAAAAATGGTGGGCGCCACGGCAGTGAGCAGCTCCTGAAGCCAGCCAGAGCCAACTGCGCTACCAGGCTGGCTCTGGGCTGCTGAGACTGCCGCTGCCACATTTCGCAGGGACAGATTTGCAAATCTGGGGACATTCCAGGAACCGGGGAAATCTGATAACCCTATCCTGCACAGTATTTTTCCTGTTGTTTTGTTTGATGGGCCGTGAGTGCACCACGGAAATTTATGGAACATCTATTTACAGGTGGCAATCGGAAACTTGGCAAAAGTATGCATTCTTCTTATAGAATCATAGAACTGTAGAATTGGAAGGGACCCCCAAGGGATATCTAGTCCAACCCCCTGCAATGCAGGAATCTAAACACAGAATCGTAGAATTGTAGAGTTTAGCCAGATGCAGGCCAAACGCGTGCGTGGTTATGGCGAGGTCAGATCTAAAGCAAACCTGATTAGAATTTGCTTTCTGGGCCTGCAAACACAAAGCTCCCTTTAAAAAAAAAAAAAGAAAGAAAACCAATATTTATAATATTTCTGGCCCCATAGGGAACCCTAATAATAATAATAATAATAATTTATTATTTGTACCCCACCCATCTGGCTGGGCCTCCCCAGCCACTTTGGGCGGCTTCCAACAAAGATTAAAAATGCATTAAAATGTCACACATTAAAAGCTTCACTGAACAGGGCTGCCTTCAGATGTCTTCTAAATGTCAGGTAGTTGTTTATCTTTTTGACATATGGTGGGAGGGCATTCCACAGGGCGGGTGCCACTACCGAGAAGGCCCTCTGCCTGGTTCCCTGTAACTTTGCTTCTCGCAGTGAGGGAAGCGCCAGAAGGTTCCCCTAAAGCAGCTGACAGCCGTAATTAAAAAACAGTGCACCAGTCCTAAGAGGAAGTGACCATGATTTGCTAACATCCCTGTTATCTGACAGCATAGTAACTTCGTTTTGCTGCAAAGCTCAGCATATTTGCTAGCAGTCTGTGGTCTGTGTAGTGCCATCAGTTCCCAGAAGCTGACCAAAAGCTGAGCACAGAGAGTCATTACAGCTCAGGGGAGATGTTAATTCAGTTAAACTAAATAAACTTCAGGTTCCCCCCAGCCAGCCAGCCAATAGCAGGGAGTGTATGTCTGCTCATTTGCCAAAAGGCTCCATGTATTATACACTCCAAGGCTCCTCAAATCCTGTGAAAATTCTTTAAAATTCAATTTTCTTTTTTTAATTTTTTATAATAAGTTTTTATTGTTAAAATAATTCATCATTAATACACATATATTACAAATATACAAGCATACAAACATACATTTCATACAATCCTTAAAAGTGTTCAAACATACTTACACTCAGTCCCACAAATAATTCCTTTTCCCATCACCATCCACCACCACTCACCCCACCTTTGTGTTAGACTTCCAATCTACTCAATTGCAATTTCTTTCCACTTCTATTACTTTCTTTCACACACCTTTAGCCTAATTTCATACTTCTTTTTCTATTACACATTGTTATCCATCTTATTTAGTATTTCAGTATTTGAAACGGAACTTGTTTATTCTAATAGGAGTTCTGATTTTTCGATATGGTTTTGCAAGTATCTTTTAAACACCTTCTAGTCCCTATCTATCTTCTCTTTTGAGATCCTTCCAATTTCTCCCATTGTTTTGGATATATTGTAATACTCCAATAATTTTCATTCATCCCAGTAAAAAGGAGACCAGCAAGGTTCACTTTACCTTCCACAGCAGGAAGCGACTTGGAACACCTTTCTCAGAAACACCAACTTTTTGCCACACGTCTACCTGACCCAGTGGAGCTAAAGGCAACAGAGATGCAACAGGTGGTTAGTGAGAGCTAACAGAGCAGCTGGACAATCACAGGTGCTTTCCTCAAAGAATAAGTCCAAGAAACAAATGAATAAGGCACCATGCACAACTGACTTTTTCCAAGCAGACAGAAACAAAATGCACAATGGTGATTTAGTAATGATCAGGTTTATACTCCAATTTTGCTGCATGGAACCAGTTCCCCCAAAGATGAACAGAATCTTGAATCCCAGAAATACCTGCCTAAGGAGTTGGTGGGCTCTGCATATGTTTAAGCAAATGCTGGGCAGCCCCCTAGTCACAGGTTCTGCGGCTGCATCCTGCGCTGTGAAACTTGCATTGAAATGGGGTCATCAGGGAGGGTGGACCAGAAGACCTCAAAGATGCCTTCCAACTTTGGAATTCTACGATTCAGTACCCCAACCCCATCCATTCCACATAACGAATGAGAGTACAAGGTCAATTCCTTATACAATGGCCTCTCCCCACATTTACATATATATTTTTCAGTTGTACACCTACATTTTTAAGTGTACGTCTCAAAAATGTGAGACATGCATGTGACTAGCAGTTGTTTGAAATAAGTTTATCAGCCAAGCTCCTGCTGTGATGTTAGCGCATCCGTCTCTAAAGACAGAATGTTTCCTCCAGGAAAAGACAAGGAGAAGAGAAGGGGACCATAATGAGAGCATATTGACATCAGACTGCTAGGAAGAAACTGAAGTCCAACATGACATGAAATTCGGGTACTGAACTGTTACTGAACTGAAGGTAAAAGGTAATGGTAAAGGACCCCTGGACGGCTGAGTCCAGTCAAAGGCAACTATAGGGTTGCGACACGCATCTCGCTATAAAGGCAAGCTGGTGTTTGTCCATAGACAGCTTTCCGGGTCATGTTGCCAGCATGACTAAACCGCTTCTGGCACAACAGAACACAGTGGTGGAAACCAGAGCACACGGAAACGCCATTTACCTTCCCGCCACAGTGGTACCTATTCATCTACTTGCACTGGGATGCTTTTGAACTGCTAGGTTGACAGGAGCTGGGACAGAGCAACGGGAGCTCACCCCGTCGTGGGGATTCGAACTGCCGACCTTACAATCAGCAAGCCCAAGAGGCTCAGTGGTTTAGACCACAGTGCCACCTGTGTCCCTTCCAGGGCTGTACGTACCTGCCTCCGGGGTTACGAAGGTCTGGGAAGAACTCCATTCACTCCAGAAACCTTTTTTCATTTCTGGAATGCATTGTACCTGCACCTCGTAGGAAGTGAATGGCTTCAGGTCCTCCAGGTCATACCCTTCCTGGTCTACATGCTCCTCACTCAGCTGGGAAAGAACATTATCGTCATCATTATTATTACTCTTATTATTCATCGTAGCAATAGAAGTAGCAGTTATATTCCTCTTTTAAAGTAAGAATCTATAGAAAACATCTCACAAATCAGGTAAAACACCCCCAACCCCATTTTCTCCTGCTGTTGTTGTTGTGCTGATATACTTGCCTTCAAATAAAAATAATAAAAACAAAACAAAACAAAAATCATCAACATAAACATTCATCAGAATAGCAGGAAGTTTAGCGGGGAGGAGATGCAGGAGAGCACGGGGAGTGAGGTGTTAGGAGACCATATTCCCTCCTATGAACCTGTCCTGGTTCTGAGATCTTCAGGGAACACCCTTGTCTCTGTCCCACCACCACCTCAGATACACTTGGTGGGGACACGGGATAGGGCCTTCTCGGCGCTGGCTGCTCCAGACAATTGTGGAACTCCCTCCCTAGAGAAGCCAGACTGCCTTCTTCCTTGTTGTCTTTCTGCCGCCTAGCGAAGACTTTATTGTTCCAACAGGCTTTTGAAAACTGACTGCTTTTAATGAGAGGGCTGGTGCTATTTCTACAGCAATTAATTGTATGGTTTTAATTTAATTCTATCAATGTTTAATTGGTTTTTAATGTGTTTTTTCTGTTCTTATCTGTTCTTATTATTATTTGTAAGGCATCTTGAGCCCCTCTTAGGGAAAAAGGTGGGGTATAAATAATAATAATAAGTTGTTATTTTTTATCACTGAGAGGGAAAGCAACGCCAAACAATTGGAGCTGAGGCTCCTGGGTTCTGTTCCAGTTTGGGAAGCTGTTTAACTTCCACTGAGGTCTCTGTGCTTTCTTCTCAAATCATTTCAAGGTGCACCCACAGAGAGTATGCTTGGTCTCCCAGGTTTGTTGCTGTGATGTGCCAAACGGCCACAATTGTCTCAGACTCCTTAGGTTGCAGTTTTCCCAGAATACAAGCTGGATAACAGCTGATGGGATGGGGAAACAGACCCATGCATCCAAACAAAACAGACTCACGTAGGTCCAGCTATGGTCCTTGGACATCTTGTATCGAAGGGCACAGGTGAGCGGCTGGTGATGAAGGGATTCAGACCAGTGAGGGTTCTTCCAACTGACCATAGCGACAGAGGACTCAAACACCACAGGCTCCAGATCAGGAGGAGGAGGCTTCACTGAAAGAAGCAACGCAGAGAAAGGCCTCAGGCACAAGAACCCTTGTTGCTTACCCTTCACTCCCACTTCCCACTCTCCACTCTAAGCATCAGGAATGGAGCCATAACTATGCTATACAGTCATACCTTGGGATAAATACGCTTCAGGATAAGTATTTTTGGGTTGCACTCCACGGCGACCCGGAAGTAATGGAGTGTGTTACTTTTGGGTTTTACAGCTTGCGCATGCGCAGACGGTCAAAATGACGTCACGCACTTGCGCGGAAGCGGCAAAACGCGACCTGCGCACACGCAGACACACTGTCGCATCTTACGTTCTGTTCAGGATGCAAACGGGGCTCCAGAATGGATCCCGTTCGCATCCCGAGGTACCACTGTAACAACAAACTCTAAACAAAACCCAGGAAACAAATGCTGAGGAGTAAGATCAAGGGTCAGCATGTCCACAGAGCAGGTGGCCTGCAATTCCACATCACAACTTCCACTGTTTTTATTACTAAAGTTACTGGTTTCTTATGAACAAGAGGAAGCAGTCTAGTGTTTTTCTCAGAAGTCAGGGAGTGATTAGGTGGACTTCTGCAGTCAGCGCAGTGACTTTTCAAGGTGTTCTAAATTCTTTCAGGATCCAAATATTGGGAGGCCAAAACCAACCAACCAAAAATGCAACATGAGATAGCACATTTGATTCACTTTCACAATTTAGTCTACTCACAGGATTTGTGCGCACATTTTTGAGAAAGCACACACAGGACTGAATGCAGTGAAGAGGTGAGTGTTGCAGAACTAGAGATAACTTGGATGGGCTGGAAACTGCTTTAAGTAAATTTAACAGGACCCACTGAAAGCCCCAGCTACATAATTTGAAGTGTCAAACTCTTTAGGGATATAAGTTGCCATTTTTTATTGAACAATAGAAAAGCTGAGGTGTCTGGAATTTCACAGCTCTTGACATCACTGTGGAATCTGCAGGCGTGATCCTCTATTGCAGCGTAACACCATTATTCAAGCTGCCCTGTACCACACAGATGCAAGATCAGCTCCAGATGTGAGATGGCCCTTGGCAGAGTGCCCTCTGGCAGCCCAGCCTCCCACATCACTGGTCCCCCATCCACAAGCTTTCATGGTGGTGGAAGTGGTGGCATCCTGAATTTCCCACAATACCCCACAGTGATGCTACATCAGGTTAGGTCTTTAGGCATTGTGGGAATTCCAAAGTGGTACTCACAGGCCCAGCTGTTTAGTTCTGGGGATGAAGGCCAGCATTGCCACTAGGTCCCCTGTTGGGGTCTCAGCAACTGCCAAGAGTTACCTGATGCTGACACTGAGCCTGCACTGATACACACAAGTGAGCAAGTACACTGGTACTATTTTTAGCACTGAGCCTCGTGGGCTTGCCGATCAGAAGGTTGGCGGTTCGAATCCCCATGATGCGGTGAGCTCCCGTTGCTCTGTCCCAGCTCCTGCCAACCAAGCAGTTCGAAAGCACACCAGTGCAAGTAGATAAATAGGTACCGCTGCAGCAGGAAGGTAAATGGCGTTTCTGTGCGCTCTGGCTTCTGGCATGGTGTTCCGTTGCACCAGAAGCATTTTAGTCATGCTGGCCACATGACCCAGAAAGCGGTCTGTGGACAAACACCAGCTCTCTCGGCCTGAAAGCGAGATGAGCGCCGCAACCCCAGAGTCGCCTTTGACTGGACTTAACTGTCCAGGGATCCTTTACCTTTTTACCTTACTATTTTTAGTAATATTTTTTATCCTCATCTGCAAGTTTATCTAGACCCTTCCCCAAAGCACTCTGTGCCTATTTTCTCTCACCTATTTCATCCAAGCTGAAGTTTAACTTAGCGGAAGTTGCAATCCCAGCCATGCCGTGATTGGTTTCCACCCAAACACTGTAGCTGTCTCCCTGTGTCAGGTTGCGCCTTTCAATAAGCAACCAGTTCTGCTTGCCTGGAGCTCCACGCCTGGGGGGTTTGCCAGGATGACTAGAGAAAGAGGCAGAAAGAGGAAAGGCAATTCCGGCATGAATCAAAAGTGAGTATTTGCCACTCCTTAGTTATACAAATTCCTGCCAACCTAGCAGTTCGAAAGCACGTCAAAGTGCAAGTAGATAAATAGGTACCACTCCAGCGGGAAGGTAAACAGCGTTTCCGTGCGCTGCTCTGGTTCGCCAGAAGCGGCTTAGTCATGCTGGCCGCATGACCCGGAAGCTGTACGCCGGCTCCCTCGGCCAATAAAACGAGAGAAGCGCCACAACTCCAGAGTCGGTCACGACTGGACCTAATGGTTATACAAATATATTGCCCAGGACTTACCATTCCTTGCAAAATCTTGCCACAAAAATCCTGCAAATGCTCCATTTCCAATTCAGAACAAAGAGTTATGTAAAGTGGGTAATTTGTTTTGTTCTGAGTGTGGAATTTGTAAATTCGGTCTCCTAAGACTATGCATTTTCATACACATGCCTCTGTGTTGGTTACAGAAATAATAATAATAATACATATGTGATATAGAAATAAATAAATATACAGTACTGCCACAAATTTTAGAGAATGGTTGCTTTCTGGAATGATTAGGAATGCCTACTAAAAAACCCCCAATGCTAATTCATCTACAAACAAAGAACAGTACATATTCAACTTATTTTTTAAAAAGGTAAGCAACAGGCAAATGTGGATGGTTTGTGAAAAATAATCAAGAATTTGGAGATGTAAGTAGGAAGTAGCGATTGCCCCATGCAAAGACACAGAGAAAGGTCATAATGAATACTGGGCAACAGAAGCTTAATTCCTGACCGGCCTGGAAGTGGTCTATATGCAGAGATTGTTAAAGTCAACCTGAACACTTTCCCTCCGAGTAATAGGGTATCTGAGGAATTATAAGGTATAATTATGAGGTACTACTATTGTCTCCATACTGCAGATGTGGGGCTCATTGGATTCTGGCTTGCCTAAGGGTACCTGGTAAGTTCAAGCAGATGTGAGATTTTTGGCAGGGGACTTTCCAACTCACAGTGACGCCAGCCAATAGAGTGATGTGTGAGGAGACAGGTTAGTTTAAAAACAAGGTCTGTGGGCTAATGATGAGTCTAGACTTATTTGCAAAGCTGTCTGAAGCATAATGGCAGACAACTCCTGTCCAGGCAGGTAACTTCCAGAGTCAGAAACTCCCTGGAAGGTTCTGTCAATCAAACGCAGTGACTTCTTCTGCTAACAAGACCTTGGTAGAAACCCTTTTGCCTCCCTGAAAAATGCTGAAATGGCATTTGAAACTCAACGCGGCTAACAATAGAGTGAGGAAGTTGCAGCACATTGTGAGGACTGCCACCCAAGCGCACCGATGTGCACACACACACACACTTCCTAAGGCCGACAAAGCAAATTCTTCCTGACATTTTGCAAGTTTTGCCTCTTTCATGCCAAAATCCACAGGCTCTCTGGGGCTGGATCAGCACAGGGAAACACAGATAATGCCTTGCTTACTATTTCAGGCTCTTATAGTAGAGGACATGGGTAGTATTAGCATCTGGAGGCTCTCTGGTAGACCAGCTGCAGTTCACAATATTGCTGGGCACTGACTGGTAACATTTCAGGTCCGTGGGGACATCAGGGTCACCTGCAAATAGAGACATATTCCAAAATCAGCACTCAAGCCACAGAAAACACAGCTATTATCTTACACTATTAAAATTCAAGGGAAGTGATCCTAGTTGTCCAGACAGAATTACCACCCTTATCTTACTATTTGTTTGTTTGTTACATTTCTATCCTGTCCTTCCCCCCAAAGGAGCTGAGCGCAGCAAACAACAAGTGACAGAGCAATAAAAACATCATTAAAACATCTCCAATATACAGTGGAGCCTCAGTTTTCGAGCATCTCAGAAGCTGAACGTTTCGGAAGCTGAACGCCGAGAGCCCGGAAGTAATTGCTTCTGTCTTCGAACGCACCTCGGAAGTCAAACGGCTTCCGCTGTGTGTTTTTCCATTTTCTCAATGGATTTTGCCAATCGCCCATTGTGCCTCAGTTTTCGAACATTTCGGAAGTCGAAAACCGAGGTTACACTGTATAAGCTAATCACCAAATGGCACCTTAAACCTAGATGGCAGTCACCACAATGGAATTTCTAGGTGCCACCCCCCACCCCACCCCGTTGGTGGTATTATTATTGTTGTTGTTGTTATTATACTGATTTATATTTTAGAAAACAAATCTCAAAGGGGTTTACAGCATCCCCACCAAAGAATCCAGAATAAAACAAGGGGGCTTTTCTGCAGTGGCTCCCCATTTGTGGGATGCTTTCCCCAGGGAGGTTTGCCTGGCACCTTCATTGCATATATTTAGGTGCCAGGCAAAAACATCCCTCTTCTCCCAGACCTGTGGCTAATTAAGCAATCTATGGCATTTTCAACGGGCGGGGGGGAGGTATTGTTTTTGTACGTTACTATGTTATGGGAACCAGGTAGAGGGCCTTCGCGGTGGTAGCAACCTCCCTGAAGAACGTCCTCTCATCAGATGTTAAGGAAACAAACCATTACAGTGGACGCTCGGGTTGCGAACGTGATCTGTGCGGGATGCACGTTCACAACTCGCAGCGTTCACAACCCGCAGCACAGTGCCACGTCTGAGCATGCGTGGGTTGCGATTTTGCCCTTCTGCGCATGCGCAAAGCGCGATTTAGCGCTTCTGCACATGCGTGACCACCGAAACCCAGAAGTAACCCGTTCCGGTACTTCCGGGTTTCGGCGTGTCCATAACCCAAAAAAAATGCAACTTGAAGCATCTGTAACCCGAGGTATGACTGTACAGTGGTACCTCGGGTTACATACACTTCAGGTTACATATGCTTCAGGTTACAGACTCCCCTAACCCAGAAATAGTACCTCAGGTTAAGAACTTTGCTTCAGGATGAGAACAGAAATTGTGTGGCGGCGGCACGGCAGCAGTGGGAGGCCCCATTAGCTAAAGTGGTGTCTCAGGTTAAGAACAGTTTCGGGTTAAGAACGGACCTCCGGAAGGAATTAAGTACGTAACCAGAGGTACCACTGTATATGAGTTTTAGAAAACATCTGAAGGCAGCCCTGTATTGGGAGGTTTTTCTGTGTACTGTAAACTGTCCGGATGGGTGGGGGAATGAACGATGATGATGATGTTTCTATATTGTAAACCACCCTGTGCTCCTTGGATGAAGGGCAGGATAAAAATTTATTAAATCATCCTCATCATTCCTCTACAGATGCAGCTTAAAAGGCTCAACAGTAATTGCATTTCTGACCCACAGCTCCCCACCACACACACCTTCTCAGCATCTTCACTTCCTTCCTGTCAATACCACACAGGCCCCTGCTGTCTCTAGGCCTTAGCCCTGCTTTCTCCTTAGCCTGCACCTTCATGACTCCACCATTTACTGTTTTCTCTAGTCTTTGCTTCTCAACCACTCCCTGCTCTGTCCGCCTTGCCTCCTGGCCTCTCTCCCCAAGAGCTCACAGCCTTTCCTGTCCTTGCTCCCCTGCCCTCTCACACCCTTCTCATTCTGAAACATTATCTCCCCTGCCCTTATTCCCTCGCACATTTATCTGTCTCCTACACCACCACTTCCTTCAGATACCTGTAATCCATTGCTTCACCTGTCTCCTTCCATTCTGAGAGAGCTTAATTCCCGGACAAGCTTGATGTTGGTGATATCACACCAGCCTAGCTAATTAGCATCACAAACTGTGGTGCCCAAGCTGGTTTGCGTCCCCCAAATTTTAGACTTGCGGCATTAAAGACCTATGCCACCAGCCACTCACTCGCACGTAATAATAATAATAATAATAATAATAATAATGAATTTTATTTATACCCCACCCTCCCCAGCCAAGGCCAGGCTCAGGGCAGCTAACAAGCAATAATAAAAACAAGTTGAATGAATACAACTTAAAAACAAGATTAAAATACAACATTAAAACATTAGGATGCAGCCTCTTCACAGGAGAAGAAAGGAAAAAAGAAAGAGGGGGAGGGAATCAAACTGATTCTAAGCCAAAGGTCAGGTGGAACAACTCTGTCTTACAGGCCCTGTGGAAAGAAATCAGATCCCGCAGGGCCCTGGTCTCATGAGACAGAGCGTTCCACCAGGCCGGAGCCAGTGTTGAAAAGGCCCTGGCTCTGGTTGAGGCTAATCTGACTTGCTTAGGGCCCGGGACCTCTAGGGTGTTGCTATTTATGGACCTTAAGGTCCTCCATGGGGCATACCGGGAGCTGGGATAGCCACACAAATGCTACAGCTAAGTGGCACAGTGCCACAAATAATCAGTTGCCACACAGCTGTGTGTGAGAGACAATAGCAGGAGTCGTAATCGGCTCAGCTATGAAATTTTGGAGACAGTCCTGTATGAAGGAAATGATGAATGCTGATCCCTTACCTTTTTTCAGCCCAAAGACCTTTAACGACAGAAGCAACAGCCACGCTATATTTCCCCTGTTTCCCATAGTGCCAGCTGTGTCCTGTATTGAGAGACAGCAATGGTGGATCATGAGATAAGGACAAAGTCAAGCAGCACTGAATTAAATGCCTCCCCTCCCCCTCATTTACTATATTTATTTATGTGGACTTTATATGTGTGTCCATGTCAGAACGGCACATAGGAGCCTTTGAGGAACTAAAGCACAAAACTTTTTTACGAGCTCGAAGACTGGCAGGGGATTGATTCAGCAGAAACACCAGCATGTGAGGAGATGCTGAAAACTTATAGAGGGGAATCATAGACATAAAATCCACACAGAAAGACAACATTGCTTGTTTTAACTCGCTTGTGGGAAGAACTCAGAGGCTGTGAAAGAAGGAAGGTTAACAACAGAAAGAATTAGAGGAACCATTGGAAGTGTCTATGAAAAGCAGAAGTATGAGATGATCAGAACCCTCCGAACTTGAAGCATGGGAAGTCCTACTAAAAATTTAAAATTTGGCAGAATATTTGGATTATTTGATATGTATATGTATAATTTTGAATATTTAATGTGATTTGATTGGATTGTTAAAGTGGAAAATTTAATAAAAATGAATAAAAAAAACAAAGACTGGCAAGGGAAGCAGCTGTGTGGGACTCACCACTGGCAACGCCACAGGTACCATCCAGTGGGAGCCATTGCTGACTGCATAACTCCATGTTCTGCCTCCAATGTCAGAGGCAATGTGTGCACCTGAATTCCGGCTGAAGGTGAGCACAAGTTGTTGGGAGAGTGCTGCTGTGGTCAGGTTATTCTTTTGAGCTTCCCATAGGCAACTGGTTGGCCACAACGAGAACAGAACACTGGACTAGATGGGCCTTTGGTCTCAGCCAGCAGAGCTCTTCTTATGTCATGGGTAGACAAACTAAGGCCTAGGGGCCAGATCCGGCGCAATCGCATTCTCAATCCAGCCCATGGAAGGTCCGGGAATCAGCGTGTTTTTACATGAGTAGAATGTGTGCTTTTATTGAAAATGCATCTCTGGGTTATTTGTGGGGCCTGCCTGGTGTTTTTACATGAGTAGAATGTGTGCTTTTATTTAAAATGCATCTCTGGGTTATTTGTGGGGCACAGGAATTCATTCATTTATTTTTTTCAAAATATTGTCCGGCCCCCCACAAGGTCTGAGGGACAGTGGACTGGCTAACATTCTCCTTTCCCTTCCTCCCCCACAACAAACACTCTGTGAGGTGAGAGGGGCTGAGAGACTTCAAAGAAGTGTGACTGGCCCAAGGTCACCCAGCAGCTGCATGTGGAGGAGTGGGGAATCGAACCCGGTTCCCCAGATTATGTGTCTATCACTCTTAACAACTACACCACACTGGCTCTCTACCCACGCTGGCTGACCCCTGCCTTATGTTCTTAACTACATTCCACATAGCATTTGACACAGCAGTGGACAGGTGGAGAAATCTTGTTCTTGCAGTAAAGGTAAAAAGGTAAAGGACACCTGGACAGTTAAGTCCAGTCAAAGGTGACTATGGGGTTGCGTCGCTCCTCTCATTTTCAGGCAAAGGGAGACGGCGTTTGTCCGCAGACAGCTTTCCGGGTCATGTGGCCAGCATGACTAAACTGCTTCTGGTGCAAAGGAACACTGTGATGGAAACCAGAATGCACAGAAACGCCATTTACCTTCCCGCCGCAGTGGTACCTATTTATCTACTTGCGCTGGCGTGCTTTCGAACTGCTAGGTTGGCAGGAGCTGGGAGAGAACAACGGGAGCTCACCCCGCCATGCGGATACGAGCCGCCGACCTTCTGACTAGCAAGCCCAAGAGGCTCAGTGGTTTAGACCACAGCGCCACCTGCATCCCTTTCTCGCAGTGGCAATGGTTGAAACATTACACATAAGAATGGTAAGGGCTAACTATGTTTTGTTGCCTTAACCAGGAGGCCACAAATTTTGGCTGACCCTGGTAGTCACGCATCGTATCTAGAAGCCACCAAGCCTCGCCTTTCTTACTTCTTGATCCACAAAGGGGAGGTGGGTCCCTTATGTACTGCTGCTGGACAAAGTGATCATATAAGGCTTAACAAATGCACAGAGTTTCATTTTGTTTGCAGCTTTTACAGCCCATGCTGCTAATTGTGTGTCCCTAACAGAAGATGCAGCCATTTTGAAAGATGCACTCATTGGACATGTCTTCATGCAACAATAAGTGATAAACCACTCTGTGTTTCTACTTTGCTCCTCCCCCGGTGCGAGAAGGTGGGCAAACCAGCCTAGTGCAATGTCTGCACCTGGGGTCTGGGTTTATTTCTTCCTAGCAAGTCAGAATTCAAAAGCAACATATAACATTGGTTTTTAAAACCTGGCTAGCAATCCTGGCTTGTTAAGCAGAAACAAACTATGATTCCAGGTTTCCCCTCCTGCGAGGCCAAAGCAATCAGGCTCCATGCACCTATGTGGGCACAGTATTTATTTTTGTTCCCTGACAATAGGGATCTTAACTAAGGCAACCCCGACCCCTAAAACACAACTAGTTGGCTCGCCCAGGAGCCACTGCAGAAGTAAGTTCCTGGGGGAAGTGAAGGTGATTGTAGCAATGGGAACTTATTGCCAGTCCCCTTTAGGACATAGAGATCAACCTGACCCACCCAGTGCAGTCCCCTCCACTTTCTTAAAGGGACAGACCCATAAAACTGGTTGCCAGCCTACAGTGTGCAGTAGTTCTGCGTTCTTGAAAAGAAGCAGGAGCAGGTCTCTTTCCTTACTGTCACTTTTCCCAGCTGAGCTGGATCCTATGGTTTGAAAGCAGGCTTCTAGGGCTGTCTGAGTGCTATACTGAGACTTTTAAAAAGACCACTCAAAGCGCATCCTTGCCCTCAAATAAGTTTGGGCACCGTAGTTTGCTCCTCGCAGGGTTGTGATTCCCAGCAACCCTTAAACTATAGTGCCCAGAATTCTTCAGGAGGGCCGTGACCAAAAGGAGGAGGAATACCAGGAGGAATGGAAGAAATTTAAAGACTATTTAGCTAAATATGTTAAGATAACTTAAATAGAATTACTTGCAAGTATCAGATTGGCCTAGGATTTAAATATGTGATGTTATAGAACAATATGTTTAAAGTTAAAATGAAAGAAAGAGGTTAATTGATTAAGTAATTTTTAGTTTTGGAAAACTGCTACAATGATATATATGGAAATTCAGCCAGGGGGATTCGAGGAAGTCACCCAACAATGTTAACAAAAATGGAATTATTACGGTTAGGATTTATGTTTGCGTGTTTGTTTGTGTTTCTTTTTGATGTTTTCTTTTATATGTTTGTCATAAATTTGGAAAATCAATAAAAAAATTGGGGGAGAGAATTTTTCGGGAGGGGACAAGATGCGCTTTAAAGGCATAGCGCGTACACAACGTCAAACTGGAGAAAGGGAGAGAAGTGGATGAAAGGAGAGCCGGGGACCACGTCGTGGTGGAGCCCTTCCCGGCTCCGGCCCCAGACAACGAGCGAGCAGCCAGCCTGCCCAGCTCAAGCCTCGTCGATGATGCAGCGGCTCTTATGCCCTGCCTCCGGATCTTATGCGCATCTCCGGATCCTCTTTCCCCTCCGCCCAGGGCGCGAGCCAAAGTCCCACCTGCCAAGAGAGAAGACCGAGGAGGACCCACCGTGCCAGCAGGATCCCCCCAGAGATCCCAGAGGGGAGAAAGTCATCGGCTCGCCTCGTTACTTACACGGCATCCTTTGCGCGCCGGGAGGAAACTCCAGCGCCCGCTCGGCCAGACGGCGGCTCCCCAAGCCGCGCGCTCCCCAAGGCGCCCCTCGGGGACCCCGGCGGGACTCAGGCGCGACGAGCCCCCGAGCCGGGTTCTTCTCTTCGCGGAGGAAGGAAATGATCTCGGGGCTTTTTGTCTTTTCGAGGGCGCTAAGTGTCGGGGCGCTCGCTCCTCCCGCTGCCCGATCACGCTCCGCCCCGCGACGCACCAAGCCTGTTCCGCGACGGGCTGCTCCTTCTCGGAGCGCAGTCGGGGGGCGATGGGGGCTCGTCTTCCCTGGGTGGAAGGGGCGACAAGCCTCCCTTCCTTGGCCTTCCTGGCTTTTTGAGAGCGGAGGGGGAAGCGGGTGGAAGAAAAGCAAGAGCCACGCCGGGATTCCGTAAAGAGGAAATCGTGTCTCATCCAAATCGTGACTCACACGACAAACTCACTCGTTTCCCCTGCTTGGGGAGTGGGTGGGGTGGGTGGGCAGGGCGCCCATTCCTCCCAGCACGTGTGCGGGGCTATGGGGGGAATCACAGAATTGCAGAGTTGGAAGGGACACCGAGGGTCATCTAGTCCAACCCCCTGCAATGTGGGAAAACGTTAGGGAGCCTTAGCAAAGGCGCAGAGGCGTAGCGTGGGCGGAGGGCGGCGACCGTCGCTCCCGGCGCAGCCGGACTGAGAAGGACGCAGCAGCTCAAGCGCCCTGCGAGCTCAGCGCTTTTTCTGCGAGTCTTGCAAAGTGTCGCAGTTCGCCATGAGTGCGCCCCTCAAAGCCTGGCGGGCAGTGGGTGGGGGTTGCTCTGTCGGCGACCCCCACCCCCACACTCTTCTCATTGGAGAATGATCTGGGTCTCCGGATGGAGGAACAAAGTACAGTGGTACCTCGGGTTAAGTACTTAATTCGTTCCGGAGGTCTGTTCTTAACCTGAAACTGTTCTTAACCTGAAGCACCACTTTAGCTAATGGGGCCTCCTGCTGCCACCGCACCGCCGGAGCACGATTTCTGTTCTCATCCTGAAGCAAAGTTCTTAACCTGAGGTACTATTTCTGGGTTAGCGGAGTCTGTAACCTGAAGCGTATGTAACCCGAGGTATGCCGTTTACCTTCCCGCCGGAGCGGTACCTATTTCTCTACTTGCACTTTGACGTGCTTTCGAACTGCTAGGTTGGCAGGAGCAGGGACCGAGCAACGGGAGCTCACCCCGTCGTGGGGATTCGAACCGCCGACCTTCTGATCAGCAAGTACTAGGCTCTGTGGTTTAAGCCACAGCGCCACCCGCGTCTAAACCCCCACTAAATACAATTTCTGTAAGAATACAGGAAGCCACACTGAAAACAGTGTGAAAATGGCATTGGACTCCAATCCGCCCAGGGGTGAAACTAGGCTTTATTTCACCAGAGTCAAAAGACCCAGTTTGGCACACACCCCATGCGCATTTGCGTACACACACAGAGAGGCTGGGAGCCTCTGTGATGCCCCTCTGGAGGCTTCACCTGGAGCAAAACCCTCAGTCAGCCCCCACCCCAGGGCCGGATTTAGGTTTGATGATGCCCTAAGCTACTGGAGGTAATGGGGCCCTTTATATGTCCAGCTCTCCTTTGTCAACAACAAATTGTCACTGTTTTTTGTGTTGAATATATGCTATATGGTAATTTATGGACCTAATAGGTATCTAAACCCATTAACACATAACAAAATATGTATTTTTTCAAAGTAATTGTTGAACTGAAATACAATTAAGAAGAAGTATATTATTTTAGGACAAGACTTACCAAGGAAAACAAAGAATTTATTCATGTATGCTACAACAGCGGCAAGAGTCTTGTTAGCACAAGGATGGAAGGATGAGGAAGTCCCAAGGAAAGAACAATGGCAAGAAAGACTGATGAGTTGTGCGGAATTGGCAAAGTTAACATATAATCTACAAGAGAAGAACAACCGTGACTTTAAGGAAGAATAGGAACTTTTTACAAACTATTGAAAAAGACAACAAAAGGACTTGGATTCCTTTGCAGGTTTTGAATAGACATCCACAAATTTATTAGTAGAACATAGGATAGATAAGGTAATGATATGTATAACTTTTTAACGTGCAGAGAATAATATGTGCAAACAAATCAGAGAGGGGAGCTGAGGGAAGTCTCTGGAGGTTGGGAGAGGGAGGGATGGGAGGGAGGGGATAAAAAAGGGGGGAAATGTAATTGGTTATATTGATTGATAATTTGTTTGTTAAAATTGTTCAATAAAAATATTTTTTTAAAAAAAGTATTTTAATAGTGAAATAATTATTAAGCTCTAACTTAAAATGATTTTTTTATTCATAACAAACTTAATAATGCAAACACATTGGCATTTGGCAACAACAAAAGTTCCTTTAGAAACACAATTTACAAAGACTCATATGGGGGGGGCAAGAGAGTGGGGCCCTAAGCTATAACTTGTTTAGCTTATATGTAAATCTGGCACTGTCTCACCCCCAAGCTACGGCTCTGACTCCGCCTATCCAGAATTGGCAAAGATTACTCTAATTCATGGGTAGGCAAACCAAGGCCCAGGGGCCGAATCCGGCCCAATCGCCTTCTAAATCCAGCCTGCGGACGGTCCGGGAATCAGCGCGTTTTTACATGAGTAGAATGTGTCCTTTTATTTAAAATGCACCTCTGGGTTATTTGTGGGGCATAGGAATTTGTTCATTTCCCCCCCCCAGACAATATAGTCCGGCCCCCCACAAGGTCTGAGGGACAGTGGACTGCCCCCTGCTGAAAATGTTTGCTGACCCCTGCTCTAATTTATGCTGGCATGGCTGTGGTCACATTGGAACACTACTCCATGTGTGGTGGGATTGCTGCATGGTGCAGAGATTCTGGAGCCAAATTTTAGAAACTATCTCCACCATCACATCTCGGGCACTGCCGTGGGCAACCCTGACCTCTGTCCTTCTTTCCTTCCCTCCCTCCTCTGATGCCCTCTTGTTTCTCTGCCTCCCAAAGGCTTGCACAGCTGTTCATTGCGGCAGCCCTGGCTACAAACTCCACAGACAAATGGTGCTTCTGGGGCTGGCCAGGAGGTGCTGGTTGCTAGGAGCTGAGGTGGCCTTGGAGTAAGCAAGAAGCGAGCGAGGGAACCCAGCCAGTCCACCAGCCCTTGCTGCCTGTCCAACGAAATGGACAGACAAGTGGGAGGCCGGGCGGGCAAGCAGGCACTGTGCTAGCCTTTCTTGTGCTTGCTGTGTGCAAGGTCTGCCTGGGAGGTGAGTGCCTGGTAACCTTTGGCCATTCTCCGTTTGGCCATTAAGGCTGGGGGCCTCCTCTGCCCAGGCCCCTGTGGGGTGATGTGAGGAGGCATCTCTCTTTGGGGTGCGGGGGGCAGCTCAGAGACCAGGGACGGCAGCAGCGGCTGCCCTGAGGACTCCCAAGGAGAGGGGAGAGGAGAGGAGGCTGAGGGAACCCTCCACAAGGGAGGGTGTTCAAAAAAGGACAAGAGGCTGCCAGCTCTGCATTCAAGGGGTGACAGAACTGGGCTCCTGAGCCCCTCAGGGGTGCCGCAGAAAGAAGGTAGTTTGTCAAGGGACCCATGGACTCAAAAAGGTTGAAAACTCCTGGCATACAGCATTCATTTGGTTAGACCCACAAGAGTCATTCCTCTTTACCTAGCCCAGTTGAACGAGGAATGCCAATTTCAACTTTGCCTGCATACCCAGGGCTTTAATGAAACTTTGGAAGTATGTGCAGATGCAAGAAGCACCTTGAGAGATTTCGTTGGTCTTATCAAAACTCTTCAGAATCTGCTCAGAATTCTTCAGGCACTTCTCGTAGGGGGGACAGTGGAGCAGCTTGGTCATTTTAGATTATGGATTGAATGTGGAGGGTACTCTGGGCTGTGATATATATGGTGATAAGCTAGCTTTCCTGTGTTTGAGAGTCCTGCCCATTCTGCTTAGTGGAGGCCATTGGCTTCTCTGAAATTTAGCTTTGATGGCACCATCATGGAGTAACCCCCACCAATTGGTTTAAAACATACTTTAGGCAAACATGCTGTGGCATTTCTAATTTTAGGCCTGCTTATGTCATCAACATTGATATTATTATTATTATTATTATTATTATTATTATTATTATTATTAAATCCACCTTGAAGGGTCTTCTTGTTACCCTCCATGTCAACAAAGTTCATCTCTCTGTTTTGTTTCATTTCAGCTTTTTATTTCAGCTTTCACGTAATGTGCAGTCTTAAAAGAGAACAAACACTGTCTTTCTCCAGGAAGAAGGAACTGATGAACAGAGAAGCAGCAGCAGGGCAAAGACTGTTGCTTGCAATGCCATCCTACTCAAAGCAAAACTCAGCTGCACATTCGTAAGATAAAACGTGCGACGGACAAGGACACACACACACACACACCCATCAAGGGACCAGGGCATGACACATTCCTCGTGAGCGTTTCTCTGCACCACTTGGGAGGGTTCCTTGTTCTACTGTGACTGCAGGAACATTTGGTTTCCTATTGCAGTAATGGCTGTAGGAAAACAAACTTCAGGTTTATCAACAGCAGCTGTAGGAGGGGAGCAGCATAAGGGAAGCAATGGTAGAGTGGGAATTTGTCAATTAATTGGGACTTGCCAGAATCATTAAATCCCACTCAAATTGTGTAGGCAGCCACTTAGGAGAGCTGTCTGGCAGTATGCCAGTGTGGGGTAGGTAAAGGTAAAGGACCCCTGGACGGTTAAGTCCAGTCAAAGGCGACTATGGGGTTGCAGCGCTCATCTCACTTTCAGGCTGAGGGAGCTGGTGTTAGTCCACAGACAGTTTTCCGGGTCCTGTGGCCAGGATGACTAAACAGCTTCTGGCGCAACGGAACATGGTGATGTGCACAGAAACGCCGTTTACCTTCCCACCACAGCGTTACCTATTTATCTACTTGCACTGGTGTGCTTTCGAACTGCTTGGTTGGCAGAAGCTGGGACAGAGGAACGGGAGCTCACCCCGTCATGGGGATTTGAACCGCCAACCTTCTGATTGGCAAGCCCAAGAGGCTTAGTGATTTAGACTTTGTCTCATAGGATGCTGGGAATTATAATTCTTGGGCACATTTTCCTAGCTTGGTGAAAGGGGTGGAGCTTTAATAGAGATATTTATGGTCAGCTGTGTGCACATTTTTGTGTCTGATGGCCTGAGCTTCAAGTTTACAAATATTTGAAAATTTGAAGTCCCTTTTTGTTAAACACCCACACGCACACTCAACCTCACATGCCGCCCTTTAGCACAGGGAGCTGATTTCACTCTTGCTACAACCCCACTTGCAGCAAGCATTGCTCAGTCCTGCCAAAACATCTCGGGCTCCACGGTCAAAGCCCCAGGTTTCTTCCGAGGGACTGTGGCTCTGCTGGCCATGCCAGCTCCCATAATAGTCAGACGGATCTTTCGGCGGGGCGTGGATCGGGACCCATTCATTGGATGAGGAAGTTGCAGCAAAGGCTTCTGCAGAATCTCCTCCGGGGAGGGCACCGACATTTCCTGCAACGAGAAGCCAATATGGAAAATTGGGAGGAGCAGGCACAATGCATGTGGCTCAGCAAACAGAAAGAGAGACCAGGGTTCAAAATCATGCCATCCCTACCAGGGGTATTTTCTGAAAGTCAGCCTAAATTTGCATCTGTAAGCAAATATTATGCAAATTTGTGTCATGGCATGGACCCGCACCTTGAGTCATAAGAACGTAAGAGGTAAAGAAAGGTAAAGGACCCCTGGACAGTTAAGTCCAGTCAAAGGCGACTGTGGGGTACGGCACTCATCTCACTTCAGGCTGAGGGAGCTGGCGTTTGTCCACAGACAGCTTTCTGGGTCATGTGGCCAGCATGACTAAACCGTTACTGGCGCACGGAGGACCATGACGGAAAGCAGAGTGCACAGAAACACCATTTATCTTCTCGCCACAGCAGTACCCAGTGCTTTTTTCTGGGGGTATGCATACCCCTAAACATTTTGTGAATCTTTGTACTTTTGTCCATTTACTGTATTTATTTCCCCCAATTTGAACTAGAAAAATGGTGATTTTCTTGAGTCAAAATGAGAGTATCCCAAACATTTTTTTAGGGAAACAAAGCACTGGCAGTACCTATTTATCTACTTGCACTGGCGTGCTTTTGAACTGCTAGGCTGGAAGGAGCTGGGACAGAGCAACAGGAGCTCACTCCGTTGCGGAGAGTCAAACCAACAACCTTCCAAACAGCAAGTTCAAGAGACTCAATGGTTTAGACCACAGCGCCACCCATGTCCCACCAACCTCCAGAATTTGTCTAAGCTTCTTTTAAAGTCATCCCAGTTGGGAGACATCGCTCCCTCCTGTGGGTACAAATCCCACAGTCGTTTATGGACCCAGCAACGGCCCCTGTTAACAATCCAATATATTATATTATATGAAAGAAAGGGATGGATTGGGGACAGCAGAACCGAAGCAAAACATTCAGCAAATTCCAGTTCTAGCAAATTTTCAAACTTTGCAATGTAACTGTCAATTTTCAGCTAGAGTTCAAATTTCAGAATAAGCCACCAGCAACAAAGGAGCCTGGGGGACATTCATCTTTTAAAAAAAATGCCTATAAATATGATAAGCAAATAAATGAATTGGCAGTAATGATTTAAATTTGATTGTTCTTTTTTTAAATGTTCAAGAGGATGCTTTCTGAGTGGCTGAATGAATGAATGAATGACGTTAGTAAAAGCTTCATGCTACTACAGGTCAGCCATCCTATAAAACAGAATCAGAATCAGAAGAATATTTATTTGCATCAGCCACTAGCCATAGCAATAAAATAAAATGAAATGTACTGAAGATAGAGGCAAAAACTTAGCTATAGAAAATACATTTTGGGGGTTTACATCAATAATCAAATAATAGATCTTATTCTAAGTGTCCCCACTAAACACCTTGCAGTGTTTGCTGTCACCTGATCATCTTGATCTGCTAAAAGAAAGGACACGGCGAGCAACCCAGCATGGACAATAATAGAGGGGTAATAACCTCACTTCTCAAATCTTCATAAAGAGTGCAAGCCAGAAGCACATGAGCCACTGACTCCATACTGCCATCTCCACAGGGACATACTGTATTTTTCCATGTATAAGACGCCCCTGTGTATAAGACACCCTCTATATTGGGGGACTGAAAATTAAGAAAATGGGGGGAGATTTCCCATGTATAAGGCAACCCCCCTTTTTAAACATTATTTTTTAGTAAAAAACAACCCTAGTCTTAAAGGCAGAAAAGTACGGTAACTGTTTTTCCAGTGGAATTTTTTGAAATCGACCCTCAAATACAGCCGAAGGCAGTATATTCAATCTTGTGAAAGTGAAAGCTTATCTGTATTTTGGAATTGTTAAATTTTGCAAATAGGGTGCCGAAGTGTCAAAATGACTAAGTGGAAAATAATCATGCCATGGACAAAATTTCCTTATTGTGGCCAAATTATTCTGTCGCTCGATATCTTATAGGGCATATAAAACATGTACTACTGCTACTGAAAAACCGTTGGATATCAAATACTGGTGCCAAATGTCAAATACGTATTGGACATTCATGCACGCATGTATTCAATGTCATAATTCACAGAAGATCATTTC